TTTATTTATTTTATTTATTTTATTTATTTTATTTATTTTATTTATTTTATTTATTTTATTTATTTTATTTATTTTATTTATTTTATTTATTTTATTTATTTTATTTATTTTATTTACTTTAATACTCTACTAAAACCTTAAAAAGATAAAAGAACTAGTTACTATAGGATTCTTAGATAATATAAACCTACTTATTATATTTACCAGTATAAAAGAAAATGCTTATTCGTTAGCGTAGCTAACGTTTTTAGTATATAGGGAAGGGTATACTTACTAAGCTTATTTATCGAGATATTTTCGAGTTAAGGATTTAGGTAGTTTTATAGCCTATATATAGCTCCTAATTAGCTAGAAACCCCCTATAATCGATATAGCTAATATAAATTCAAGAAAAAGTTAGTAGAAGGGGTAGTATAGACCTAGTAGTAAGAGAAGAGGGAACACTAAACTATAACTACTACTCTTATATCTATATCGAGCTAGAATTACTCTTAAAAAGTATATAATTAGAGTATAGGATATCTAAGAGCTTTAGCTATAATTTAGTATTCTCTATATACTTTTATAATATCTATAGCTAGAAAAAGGTAGGTTAAAAGGGGCGTAGTAGGGTTTTAGTACCTTATATTTATAAGGTACTTAGGTATTTATATATTTATATAGGAATACTAAAGTACCTATATATACTATACTCTCGTACCTATATTAAGCTAGATTTATATCTAAAATATATATAAATAAAGTATAAATAATCTAAGAGTTTTAGTTATATTTAGATATTCTTACTATGTTCTTAGGATTAATATAGCTAGAGTAAGGTAGGTAAATACCTATATAGTATACTAGACTATTAGTAGAGGAAGCGCTAAGGTACTAAGCGTATAGGCTAGGAATACTAAAACTGCTACCTCTAGTACTAGGTACTCTCGCGCCTATATTACGCTAGAATAGTATTTAAAGTATATACTAATTAAATATAAATATTCTAAGTACCTAGGCTATATTTTAGTATTCTTACTATACTATTATAATATCTATAGCTAGTAGATTATAGACGTACGTACGAGTATAACCGTGGATTTTAGTAGAGTAGCTACCTAATAAATACAAGGTACTAACTAAGGCTTAATATATTATATAATTACCCCCCAATAAAACTCCTACGATAATATTGCGATTTTATAACGGTATTTAGTTCTAGAAACGTTATCTACCTAGCTTCTAGAAGGTAGATACTAATAAATTAGTATATAAACTACTTCTCGAGCGTAGTAAGCTACGGGTGTTTAGGGGCTAGCCCCTAAGAAAATAAAGGCTATAGGTATATAGGTAGACTGGGGTAGAAGTAAGTAGGTTACGTAGGTAAGTAAAGCCTCGAGCTACTACCTAGCTACTAAAAGTCTTTATATAAGGGTCTAATACTAAACGAGCGCTAACGCTTTATCTACCTTAGTTAAGAGAGATTACTTATGTTCTTAAAAGTAGATAGAGAATATATAAAGATTAAGTAAGTAAAAGAAGAATAGTCTTTAGCTCTAAGAAAAGTAAGCTTATTTATTTTACTAAAACTAAAGAACTATAATAAAGGACTATAAAATTTATTAATATAGTTCTTACTCTTAAAGATAATATAAGGTTTCTAAAGATATAGCTTAATTATAAGCTTAACTAGAAGGTATATAAAGATACTATTTAGAAAAAGCTTATAATATAAACCTTTATCTTAACTAGGCTATTAGCTAAGACCTAGGGTATTAACTATAATAAGTCGTAGTAGGTCTATACTATAGTTATTAGAAGTATAATTATATATGGAGCGTTTACCTAGTACTACTAAATAATAAGAGATAATAAGATTAAAGGTATAGTAAGGTCCTTTATAACCTACTAATTAAACTACCTCCGACTAGTAATAGGAGTATATAGAGCTATAGCTATTAGAGACTTTAAGCTAGAAAGTAACTCTATTCTAATTAACCTCTATCTAAATACTTACATAGCTAGGTTCGAAGCTAGCTATAAGAACCTCTTAGTAGGAAAGGTAGTATAAGAAAAGTATAAGAAGATATAACACCAGCTTAGAAGTAGAAGAAGGGAAAGACTAGTAGTCTATAGCTACCTAGTAGAATAGTTAGCTAAAAGTAAGAGTAGATAGACTAGAAATTAGCTTAAGAGTATAAAAATATTATATATAAGGATGAAATAGTACTAAGAGACTAGTTAGAAAGGATTTAAGTAGGAAGAGAATAAACCTAAAGGAAGTACTTATAAAAGAAACTCTAAGTATTAGACAAGGTAGATATACTTAATAAAGTATAGTAACTAAGGAACCTTTATAAGAACCTTCTAATAGTAAAGAGCTCTCTTCTATTTTAGGTAAGAACTAGGAAAATAAGCCTTAGAGAGTTTCTTTTCTAGAGGAAGGTCCTTAGCTAGTAGACTCTATACTACTAGTATAAGCTTAAGATAGATAATATAAACTACCTAGTACTATATTATAGTAAACTCTTAGAAGAAAGATAATATTTATAAAGAGTACTAGAAGGATAAATAGCTATTAGACTAAGGGATATATAAGACACGCTTAAGTATAGCTATAAGATACTAGTACTACTAGAGTAGCTACTCTTACTAGGGAGACTAAGTAAGTACTACCTAGTAATCGAATTAGAAGGTAAAGAAAGAGAGGAGAAATAGGAGAATAGCCTCTAAGTAGCTATAGAGGGACTAGTTCTATACTAAGTAACCTACCTAAGAAAGAGACTCTAGTATTTCTAGAGCTCCTAGTTAGTATTAGTTTATTTTATTTTTACTTTATTATTATTTAGTTTATTTAATTATTTTATTTTAATTATTTTATTACTTCCTTTTATACTTTAGTAGCTAAGCCCTAGCTACTAACCTAGGACCTTACTCTTAGCTACTAAGTAAGTAGCTAAGCTTTATACCTTATATTAGTAGGAGATAATAAAGTATATAATAAGTAAGACTTATTAACTTAGTTAGATTTAAGTAAGAAGAAGTACTATATACCCTTAGGGTAGGCTTTATACCTAGCGGCGTAAGATAAATAATATTATAAAAAAAATCTTTTTATATTATTATTTTCTTTTAATAATTATTTTCTTTATTTAATAATTTATTATAAAAAGAAATATTTTAAAGTAATAACTTTTATATTATTAATTATATATTATTTAAGATAATAATAATTAGCGTATTAGAATTCTCTTATCTAATTCTATAAAGTAGTAAAAAAAAAATAGTTTAAATATTTTATATTAAACTAAAAAAATAAATTTAAACTTATATTAATTAATAATAATTAAAATATAATCATAATACTATCTTCTTTTTAGTTATTATAACTTAATTATTAACTATTATAATAATAGATTTCTAGGTACCCATCTAGAAACAATAAGTAGCTAACTTATTAGGTAGTAGTTAAGTAGTTAATATAAGTACGTAACCTAATTACGTAAGGTAGCTATCTACGAGAATAGTACTTATAGATAAACAACAAATCTATTAACTACTATAGTAATAATACTTAGATACGTATTATTTCTACATCCATAGATAGCCCTATATACTTGCTTACCTACATTCGCTGGCGCATATGTTATAAATTGTTGTTGCGCGAATACATCGATAATTAGTCCTACGAGGGGGCAAAATCGCCAAAAGTCGATTTTGCGATTTGGCCATTTTGCGCCAGAGGGTCGGTAACGGCCACCATACAACAAGCGGATCATTGGAAGAGAAACCCGGGTGGGCGTGGTATGTAAATAGAAGTAGATGGGAAAGTACCGAAGCTTAACTTCGAGTTGAGTTGCTGGATTCAAGATTCAAGATTCAAGAATCAATGAATCTTTCTATCAATACTCCATAGTGTATAATAGTCATGACAACAGCGTTCATGAGATGAACTCAAGCGGGTAGACCGACTGTAGAGTTGCTGAAAGAATTGAGAATTTGAGGGTGATTGAAGAATACGAAACCGCGGCGAGTGGTTAAGAAGATGCCCTGCCCTTGTCCTTCAGGCGTAGTGCAGCTTTCGAATTTTAAACTTCTCCCCAACTGCACAAGCAAACTGTAGTGCAACTCTCCCGTAGGAGACCGTCGGGGACTGTAAGGAATCATCCTGGGAGAATTTTTCTTCAACGGCAAGGATTGACGAGTGGAAGCGAGAATGGAAAAGAAAACTAACGAGCCCCAAAGGAATTCGACGCCAGCGATCAACAAGCCATCCCATCGACGTTTCAACATGGACCAGACAGCCGTTGAAGTTGAGCCACTCAAATGACAGCGAGCCCTTTTTACGCCACAGTGATAATGACTGGCTTAACGATGTACAGGCCTCGGTCGTACTGCTGACGCTATCTCACAGCTTTCTCCCGAGGGAGGGGGTACAGAATTGTTTTCAATCGAGTACGCTCTGTAAGGACCTGTAGGATTGGAATACAGTTCCTTCTTCGAAGTATATTGCCCGATTTGTCCATTATTACTAATTTAATCGGAAATGTACGCACAAGCGAGGAAGGAAGAGTTGTTACCCATCAATCGGTAAAGATAACCACCTAGGTTCACAGACGTTTGTTGCTTGAAGGGTTTTGAGCTTGTTTGACTGAAAGATATTCGGTGTCTACGAAGTCTTAGAAGTTTTATAGTGCAGTAGTGTATAGGAAGGTCCGATGCACAGCTTGCTCATGGCCCTATTGTTGTGGAGTCTTCATCTGCAAGGGACAACGCAAGTTCAGTGTGTGGCACGCTAATGAGAGCCCATAAAATCATTTTTAGCCCTCGCAATCGTGCCAATCTGCGTGCACAGCAGCCAATCTCTACATCCTGGCCTTTGCAGATGGAGCCGGTGGATCAGATGCCGCGCGGAAGATTGTCACGACACCATGATGAGGTGCGAGTGGGAGTGAACGATGCCCCCCCCCTTTCCCCCGCCCGCCCACGGCCGCAGGGATCTTCGTCCACTCTCACCCTCTCCAAGGCTTGACCAGGCCAGGCACTGCCAGGGGAATGAGTAACCTTGTCGAATTATGGGTCGGGTGTCCTGCTTAATATCAAGCGACGAGCCACTTCGGTGGAGGGAATTCCAGTTTGCATTTCCTGCTCACCAAGATCGTCGCTTCTTCGTCGCTGAACATCGGCGGTGTTCAGAGACAATTGTCTTCATAAAGTAATTCCCTGTCGCACCTTCACTGGTCGCTGATCTTCAGAAGGGACATTAGGGGGTTCTTTCACCGAAGCATTGCATTCGCTAAACGCTACGCCAGCTCACCCCACATTGCAAACGAAGCCCGGAATATCGCATATCTTCGAAATCCCAAACACTTTGCTGGATAACGCACCACAATCATTTAACACACTATACACATAGACAAATTCTCTGTAATTTGCCGGACAACATACAGGGCACATTCTTTTGCACTCCAGGACGCCAGTCGTCTTTTACAAACACACTCTTACCCATCTTCTTGAGCAAAATACAACCTCAAACGACTACATCATGACTTCACAATTTCGATTCCTGGCTCTGGCAGCCATGACAAGCGTGGTCTCCGCGCAGAACAAAACGGCCCCGGCTCAGTCAGCGACTGCCTCTGCTGCAGCTGCTGCGCTTAAGAAGAAGGCCAAGGCTCTCAATCAGGACTTTTATAACTACATTTTCATTATATTAGCCTCCTTGATTGTAGGGCTGACGATTTGGAGGGTTACCATCGAATCAGTAAAGTATGTCCGAAGATTAACATGTCTAAACAACGAGACCCAAGGATACTTCAGAATACCGTCACAACGATTCGCTAGTGTCAAAAAGCACATTCTCTACGCTCCTATCATTTCCAAAAGACACAATCGGGAAATTCAATTATCTTCAGCAATGAACGTCGGAACCTTACCCACTCGCTTCCAATTGGCCTTCCTTGCTGCAATGTTTGGCAGTAATATCGCTTTCTGTTTGGTCGGTATTTCTTGGAGTGAGCCTTTCGCTACCGTTGCCGTGCAGTTGAGAAATAGAACTGGAATACTTGCAACTGTCAACATGGTATGGACCCTCAAAATTCAATATCACGCGGCACGTAGCTAATCCTTTTATTATTACAGGTCCCTCTTTTTATCATGGCCACCAGAAACAATCCTCTCATTAACTGGCTCAATCTTTCTTTCGATACGTTTAACTTATTGCATAGATGGTTTGGAAGAATCGTTGTCTTCGAGGCTCTAGCTCACACGGCAGCATATCTTTCAAATGCGGTCAGAAATAAAGGTTGGGATGGCTTTGTAAAGTCTCTCAGCACTTCCCCGTTGATCATGTGGGGATTTATCGTACGTTGCTACCACTCGGCTTCCCATCGAGAGTATGCTAACATCAGTAGGGCACGGTCGCTTTCCTGTTCATGTCAATCCAAGCCAGTTCCATCCTCCGTCACGCCTTTTATGAGACTTTCAAGTACCTCCACATCGCATCAGCTGTCCTTGCTCTCATTGCAGTCTGGTATCATCTCGTCGCTGCGGAAGTTCCTCATCTACAGCTTGTTTACGGTTGCATTGGGATCTGGGTTCTTGAACGACTTACACGTATTTTGAACATTTTCTACAGAAACGTTGGTAATGGAGGAAGCAAAACATTGGTAGAGGCTCTCCCGGGAAATGCCTGCAGAGTCACGGTCGATATGGCCCGTCCATGGAACTTCAAGCCAGGTCAACACGCATACCTCTACATGCCAGCCGTTGGACTTTTTACCTCGCACCCCTTTTCCGTCGCTTGGTCCGAGGAAGCCGAACGCCCAGACAGTGAGAAAATCGCTATGAATCGTCAAGACATCCTCGCTATGCAAAAGACCTCTATCTCATTCGTCATCCGTGCCCGAACTGGATTCACAAATACATTATACAAGAAGGCTGAGGCAGCCCCAGACGGGAAACTAATCACCAAGTGTTACGTGGAGGGGCCATACGGAGGCATGCACATGATGCATTCTTACGGAACTGTCATGCTTTTTGCAGGGGGAATTGGTATTACTCACCAAGTTCCTCACGTCCGTGATCTTGTTGCGGGCTACGCCAATGGAACCGTCGCGGCTCGCAAGGTTGTTCTCGTCTGGATCATTCAATCCCCAGAGCATTTGGAATGGATCCGACCTTGGATGACAGCCATCCTCGCCATGGACAAGAGACGTGAAGTCCTCCGCATCATGCTCTTCGTCAGTCGTCCCCGATCCACCAAGGAGATTCACAGCCCTTCGGCAACTGTCCAGATGTTCCCTGGTCGACCTAATATCGAGACTCTCATTGACATCGAGATGGAAAACCAAATCGGGGCCATGGGTGTGACCGTCTGCGGAGGTGGTGCGCTGAGTGATGATGTTCGAGCTGCGTGCCGAGCCAGACAAAACGCCACCAACCTCGACTTCATTGAGGAGGCTTTCTCTTGGTAATTTATTCGCAATTAGTTTGACGAAAAGCGACCATTTTGCAAGATTTTAGCGTATGATATCCCCTTCTCACTCAACACATTCACTGTTTGGGTGGTAGTTATTGTTTTTTTTTGGGGGGGGTAAACCATTGAGGGGTTGGATAGCCATTTATTGAATTGGCATGGACTGGATGGTTCGGGGGTACTTTTCTTTGTGAATATTCGAATCTTTAGACACTTCTTGTACATGGTAGGATAACTGGGGCGGTGGGAGTGGTATCTACTCGTAGATGGGATGGGATGGGATGGGAATGATGAGAAGGGGAAGGATGTACAATGCGTGCAGGATACTATTACACGAGCTTTGTTCCTGCCTGAACCAGAAAGAAGAATCATGAAGATGAATTAGAAAAATAGAAAAACTTCAATGTAATGTTCCATTATGATTCCGTGACTTGATTCAAGCTTTAGATGTTTATTCCGCTTTCAGACTGAATGTAACCAACCTCGCTGAGCTCGCCAACCTTGCCGAGGTCGGTAGTTGCTTCCGATATCCATTCCGACGTCACGTCTTACCGTTCCCGTCCCCCACATTCGACCTGTGACCTCCTCTACCAAAGAACCAATCTGAATGTAATTCAACTCCTCTACAGTCTCATGGGATTCTCACTCCCAGAACTCTTCATTCGCTTGAGACCATTCACAAACCCGAGTGACAGTGAAATCGCACCACCTTGACTAAGCCAACGCAGGGACTTGCGTAATTCCCGACCGACTACTCACAACTCTAGCTCCCACCCAACCAAAAGGCACAAGGCAACGACGTCAAAACCTCCACGAGGTTAGCATCAGCACTAATCTGAACTGCAATCACCTACTGCATTAGTTTACGAACTGTCTGCACAAGGCAGATACGCCAGTGACTATTTAAACTGAACGCAACGGCGTGGCTGCGAGCTTCTTTTCATCGCAACAATCCGAATCCCGCAATACAAACCAACAGGAACAAGACAACTCAAGCACCAGCTGCATAATATAATACACACCAGAACTCACCATGGGTCTCTCCTACAACGTCTACCTAAACTCCCACAAAATCTACGGCTGCAAGAACTGCAAAACCCATCTTGCAAACCACGAGGACATCGTCTCCCGGGTATGTCTCCCCCCCCTCATTCCCCTCTCTGTCCCCTCTCTGTCCCCTCCATCTACTCTCCCTAAGTCCCGATACTAACCATGTCTCTTTTTGTACAGAACTTCCGCGGCCAACATGGAAAAGCCTACCTCTTCAACAACGTCGTAAACGTAAACTCGGGCGACGCCTCGGAGCGCAACATGACGACGGGCCGCCACATCGTACGCGATATCGCGTGCAGACAGTGTGCCGAGACGGTGGGATGGAAGTATGATAAGGCCTTTGAAGCAAGCGAGAAGTATAAGGAGGGAAAATTCATTCTGGAGGCCGAGTTGCTCTGCACTGTTACGTAAATGGACTGCGAGGGATGGCGGATGGCATTATTTGCGATGGGATAATATGGGATGGGATTGGTGTTTGGGTGTTCTTCTTCTTCTCTGGTACAAGTCTTTTATCCTCCGATGGCGAGGGGAGAGGACAGAGATAGAGGTCATTTGAGGGTTGTGAGGGTGTTTTTTTCTAATTTGGGGTTCGGATAGGCTGGGCTCGGGTATATGGAGAAATGGGATAGGATGGGATTTGTTTATGGGTATCTTGGAGTCTGCTCTACTTGATAGGTATGCATCATTTGCATGGTATTCAGATTGTTTTTCTCCATGATTTTCTCTTTTCTTTTCATTATAAACTAAGTAGAACCGGACTCGTGCCGAGTCATAGATTCCCCTAGCTTTTCGTGGACTTACGAAGTCCACGAAATTCTAGGTTCTTAGGTAGTACCTAAAATCATTCTACATGACATATTGTTTGTCGTCTAGAGTCTGAATGTGCTTCTGCTGAGGTAAATTTTCTGCATCTTGTGTTTGGGAATGGCTCTTTGAATGGAACTCGAGATTTCACGGAAGCTAGACAGTGTATTCCTCTAGTTGGATACGCCAGAGGTATTCACATTCCTGCGCAGCCTGATTCCACGTTAAAACTCGGATTTTCAGTAGTGAGAGGAGGCTTGAAACCCAGCAAGCCTCAGTCGTTGATGCTGTCATGGGATAATTAGTACAGTCATGATGCCATCTCTATTCCTTTTATGGTGGTCGTTTGCTTTTAGTATCTAAGTGATATGACGGAGAAAGCAAATTTTTACGGTCTAGTTCGTGGGTTGCGGAATATTCCGTCTAGTCACTTATTTCTTCCGGTTTTTAAGCTTGAAGTTAGGAGGGTTGCTAATGTTTTAGTACTGGCAATTAGATGTCATTTTTATAGTATATCATAGAGCATATTTTCCACCCTCACCCATTTCCCTTCGTTATCCTTTCCAGTTCTAAATATCAAAACAGACAGGAACTTAAAAATATACATTTGAATACATTTCCAAACACACTTCCTTACTTCTCCCAAGTCACAAAACAAGAAACCATGGCCCCCACAATGCCACCCACTCCCCCCTCAGAAGTCGACATCGACATCCCCCCCAGCACAACAACCACCATCATCCCCCCCACAAAACCACACACACACACCATCATCTTCCTCCATGGCCGCGAGGACTACGGCTCCAACCTCGCCAATTCCCTCTTCGACTCCAAGTCCTCCTCCCCCACAACATCCGCTTCCGGATCACTCTCGCTACGCGAGCTCTTCCCCAGCGTGAAGTGGGTTTTCCCCACTGCTCCACTCCGCTACTGCGCCCGAAGAGACGAGGAATTCCAGAAGAGTTCTTTTGCGAGCTTGCTTGAGGGCGAGGAGGTGATTAGTCAGTGGTTTGATATTTGGGATCTTCAGAACCCTGGGGAGAGGAAGGGGCTTATGCGAGAAGGGTTGCGTGAGAGTATTCGGCAGATTGAGGGGATTGTTGAGGAGGAGGCGGGTATTGTTGGTTCTTCAAAGGTGATTCTTGGGGGGATTAGTCAGGGGTGTGCGGCGGGTATTTATGCGGTTCTTGTTACTGGGATGCGGATTGGGGGGTTTATGGGGGTATCGGGTTGGCTCCCTTTCCTGAGGGATATTCAGCGTATGCCTGCTGGTTGTCAAGGGAAGATCGAGGGGGTGTCGGCGCATGTTCAGGAGTTTCTGGGGTATCATGGCTATCAGCCTCCCAAGAATGGGAATACCTGTTATGATAAGTCCCCGATGTTCTTTTCGCACTCTAAGGATGATGAGGTATGTCAATGATTCTTGTTTTCCCTGTTGGGGGCTCAGGCGCTGATTTATCACTGTAGACTGTCCCATTCGCTTACGGCGACGCGCTGTTTAGAAATGTGAGGAGTATTATGGATAATCATGACAACATAATATTCAGGCAATATAAAGATGGAAGGCATTGGATTCATCCTAGACATGGCGTCGATGATATGTTTGCGTTTCTTCATAATATTGTTGGTATTCCGCGGAATGAAATGGAGGCTGCAGATGAGAGAACAGAGGCACTAGAACAAGCGAGAAACGTGGGGTATGAGGAGCGTTGTAAGATATTGGCGGGGGCGGAATTACGAAATATAGAGAGGGAGATGGAGGAGTCGATGAGAATAGGTTAATTAGGAAGAGGTTAAGATAATAATATATTAATGTTTACTTTTTTATTTTAGGTGGAATGGGTTAATGAGGACAAGTAAAGGCAGATGCTCAAAAACATTCGCTTAATTAAGTCAGTCATTAGAGGCACCCTCTCAAAGGGCGTTGATGAATAGATAACTTACTATCGTAACTCCTTCCAACGTATTTCATTGTCCAATTATTTCAAGTAATGGAAATGATTAATCGAAAGTTATAACACAATTAAAAACAGGTTATCAAACTATTTCGAGCAATCAAAGCGGCTAATTAAGAATCGGAGGAAAATAAACGATATTTCCCTAATCGATTGAGGCTAATAGCGTTTTATCTATCTAGAAAGAAGTAATAGTAAGAAGTTAATTTATTACGGTTTTTCTTGTTTACTGCGAGGCCTTACACAGTAAAATAGGGTTTTCTACTTGGGTTTCCTGACAACACTTAATGAACCTAAGACCATTAAATCCGATTTTATCGTAGATTCATAGTACCAATCTTTTTTTGTCCATGTTATTAACACAATCGATCATGCCATTAAACCATAATCGTCCAAAAGCCTTGGGATTCAGAGTGCAATCCAGCTTCCCTGCGTCCAATCGATACTCCCCAACCAGTCCATATCCTCCGCCCCATCCCCAAATCCTTCACTAATATCCGACAAAATAGGATCAATCATACTCCCATTACCGTTCACATTCCCATTCATGTTTCCATTACTTTGATCCTGATTAGCCGATACAGTACTGAACTGTGGATCCAGAACATGGTCTAAGACCTTTCTCACAACTTTTATCAACCGTCCTGCGAGTTTATAATTTCCATCCGTGGGACGAATCCATTCTAGAAATCCGATGAAGAGAGTCAGTTTTTGAATTGCATCTGAGCGAGAGGGTGCTCCGTTTTGGTGTTGGTTCGGAGGACTCTGGATGCTTTGAAGGGGGGATTGTGAGCCTTTGAGGAGTTCGACGCATAGTACTCCTGCGCTTGGGATGCCGTAGAATGTTATCTTTGTTGTTGAAGTCAGTATTGGAAGAAGATTGCACTGGAGGAAGAGGTGAGGAAAAGATGAGGCATAGGAAAACCCACAATCCAATCGAAATATGAGATATATGGCTGGAGTTCATCTCTTCTCATCCAGAACATCAATACCAACTCCAGAGTTTCCATTGCTGTGGATATGAGGCTGGGAGCATTTGAAAGCCCGCGAGCGGAAGCGACTCGCTCAATAAGGAATAGGTTTTGGAGAAAATCAAGCATGACACTTGCTTGGGAGAATAGATTGCTACCAGTGCTTTTCTTTGGGATTTTTCCAGTCTCGCAGTAACGAAGTTGTTCAGGGATATTATCCAGGACTCGCTGACAGCGATTGCGAAGATCTCTATCACATCTGTTAGCTCGAGCAAAAACAACAACAGTAGAAAGAACCTACGATATATTTCTCTCTGCTATGAAGACGTTCACTCCTAGCGCTGATTCTAAAATCTCTTCACGGATGACACAAAATTGCCATGTTGCTCGAGACGCGGTAATAGAATGTATTTCTCCTTCAGTATTCCATCCATTGGTGTCTAGTTTCGAGATCTCGTTGGCGAATTCATGCTGTGGCAGAAATAATTGTTCATCCGAAAGGTCAAGACATGGCTTTACGTCGCAATATAGGCGACTTAGCACAGGCGGGATTCCATTCAACGACGAATCTGATTTGTCCGCGTAGTATACATTGGAGAAAAGCCTCCTTTTGTATTCGGAAGCGGTTGTTATTTTGGTGTTGGAGTAGTCTGGGAGTCTATGAAGTCCAGCTGTGATGGCAGTTGTTACCATGTCTCCATGTCGACATCTCGTTAGGTAACCTAGCTATGTCAGCCAAATATCATCATCAGGCGAAAGAGATTACGTACTATCGTTACCAGCGCAGCTACTTTCCAAAACATGTATACTGTAAACGAGAGCGACAACGATCTCGTTAACCGTTTCGGAAAAGTGGCAATGTTTCCGGCAAACATCAGCACATTCAGTCATCCTCCATGCTGTTTCTTTTCTACCTACGATTTTCCTGTCATCGTTTTCCGACATCTGGAAAATAGGGTCTGAATCTTGCAGCGCAAGATAGGCGCTCCCAAAAAAGCAAAACAAAAGTCCAAGCACTTCTATGCGGAGGTTTGTCCCAGTAAATGTATCAAGCCACTCAATACCATCTTCAGGCGTTGGTGATAACGGTCGTTCCTCATTTTCAAATAGGTGATCAGCGAAGATGGCTAGGTTGTATTTCTGGTTTACATCCCCTGGCCGTGGGATTACTAGTAGAAAATTCGCATACGTTGACCACAATTTGGAAATGCAATGTCGGATCATGACAGGGCTCAGTACAAGGTTGCTCAAAGAAACGGATGTTTCCAGCAGTTTCTGGCATGTATCTTGCGAAGGAATGTTCGACAGAACTTTAACTAAATCATTCCTTCTCATGTCCGGCGCCGAGGGTCGCTGTCTGCCGACTTGTATGTTTCAATTAGCTTAAGAACCACGAACAAAACAGCAGCATGGGCTTCATTGTGAGGATGAAAGTGAAAATCTTTAAGGAATGAACAAAGAGGGTCCCTTACGCAAGGGTTGTCCGAATGGCCAAGCCCCGGGATGTTTTCGAGTATTCTCATCTATATCCAGTATATCTTCAATATTTTCACTTTTATGCTCGGAGAAGACTGCGGAAAAGCTTGTAGGTCCATTATATCGAGCTGAGCGTGGGTAAAGCGAGGTCTTCCAGCTGCCATCATTGGGAACCTTGGGGGCTACATAACCGCGAAAATGATTTTGAATTTCACCGTTGACTTCTTGTGGAATGTTTTGAACGTTTCCTTCAATAGGAGTTTCTTGAAGTATGACTGGACTCGACAATGACATCAATCCCAGCGAAGCTTCCGTTTGAGAAGGCGGGTTTACTTGTTGAGGTGACGGGAGTTGAATTTCCGAATCTTGCAGGTTGGTTGGAGGTCGTATTTTGGTCATTGGGGCTGGATGATAAAGACATCTGTCTGTCATTCTCCTTCTGACGCATCTCCCACAAAAAGGAGCATTATGATCGCACTGTATCCCAGGGTATTGGAATCAGCATGCTTTTTTAGACTTTCTCGGGAGTAGTAGGAGTAAGAAAGTAGAGACTTTGTGGGTTATTCTTGCTCTAGAAACAGCCAAAAGGAGAGCTTGGAGTTCAAGAAAATGAGACCTACTCCCATCTTTCCCTTTCTACATGGCTCACAGGCTTGCTTTTGTCCATTTCGGCGCAAACCGACAATTCTTCCTACTGGCGGCATCCTGAAATCAATAAATGGGGTCCGGATCGGACCTCGCTCGGAGCTCGTCTAGATGGCCGGGGGTTGTGGTGTGATTCAAAGCGAAAAAGGGGACTTCTCAATTCGAGATTTATACGGACATAGACCTTAATAAGTCGAAAATGCGGAGTAACTTGAACAATTGAAGACATGTCGTTCTGCATCCAGCCGACGAAGAAGCATCGCCGCATCGCTGTTGGTCAGGTGGAGTAGAAGAGTGGGTATATCACGTGTGAGAGGATGAGAGCCCTGCTCTCACCCGGACGCCGCAATCAGCCCAACGACCTAACCATTGCCCCAAAATACAACAAGCAACATCCTCCTTCGTCCTTCGGCATCGAATACCTACAGAATGGATTGAAACTGACGAGTGCATGGATGAGAACATCAACATCTTCCGCAGCTCTGTAAACGAATTGACCCACACTCCGAGATCTTCTGCCAAAGCATTACCTAGGTACCCCGCGATGGCACCACGACTTCCTACCGGCTCATCGGACCCCATTTCCTTTACTTGCACCTGCAGCGCATCAAAAGATCCAGAAGGGGGATACATCCTTCTATTCTATCGCTACTTCGCGGCCTCCCCACCACTCAACCTCAAAGACCAAAGTCCAGCAAATGTCCCCTCGTCTTTGGCCACATTCCACACCAATCTTACCACCAGACTTGAAGTCGGTGGCAAGATACGTTTAGCAGAGGAGGGTTTCAACATAACGGTTGGCGGAACGACGGACGCGATCAGGGAATACATGCGGGAATGTAAGGAGCATTGGTCATTCCAAGGGTTGGACTTGGACACTGAACAGAAGCAACACGATTTCTTCAAGCCCTCGACAGGTGGTTGCGCGTGTGCCTTTGGCGGTGCTCCAGCGAGCGTGCGAGTTGCGGCCGAGATAACGCCCATGGGTGTCACAAATTACAGTCCAAAGAATTGGGACGATATCGAGGTTTTGAGTCCTGCGGACTTCCACGAAAGATGCTATACTGAAGATATCACTCTACTAGACGTGAGAAATTATTATGAGTCGAGGATTGGGTATTTCATCGATCCAAAGACAGGGGATCCAGCTCTACGGCCGCCCATTAGGAGATTTTCGCAATGGCCGCAATACGTGAGAAAGTACATGACGAATAGCGTTGACGAGGACGAGGAAAAGAAGAAACAAACCCAGGGGAAACAGATTTTGACTTTCTGTACCGGGGGGATAAGGTGCGAGAAAGGTGCTAGATACATGCAAGAGAACATGGAAAAGCAACCAGGAGCGAGTGTAGCTACCCTTATGGGAGGAATTGCCGCCTATCTCACCTGGATGGATGAAGAGATCAGACAGAATAGAAAGAGATCCGAAGACTCATTGTTCAAGGGGAGAAATTACGTCTTTGATGCTCGTGGTTCCACATCTCTAGATGGTATATCGGAGCCAGTTTCAAAATGCCATGGATGCGGAAAACCCTCAGATCGTCTTGGCAAGTGCCGATCAACAGGATGTCATTTAGTTCTTGTTGTCTGTTCTGCCTGTGAGCTTTCATCAGACCCGAGATGCTGTCAAAGCTGTCTTAATATGGATCTCGGCTGGGGACTGAACAGCAACGCCCCCAAAAATATCAAGTCCAGGACTGTTTGTGAATGCGAGCAGAAAAGAGAAACCGAGCTCTGGGGAGAAGGGTCTAGGAAGCTACCAAAATCACGAAGAGCCAACAAGGAAAAGAACGCAAGACAAGACATCAACATTCAAGTGAAAGTCATGGATTGATTTCCTTGGCAAGCTCACTAGAATGGTAGCTCCAATCCATCGATATTCAAAAAGATCAAGCTGGCTAATGCCAAATCCCTCACCAGAGTGAGCCCCGAGGTTGGACTATAAAGACAACCGCGAAGGCAACCTAGGGAACAACGAATATCATTGATTTGATTACATTATATTCAAGATATAAACTCAGACCGTGGTACTGAGTAATTGGTACGGTATGCAGCAATTAACAAATGAAAAATGCACGGCAAGTGCCTGAGAACGCCTCCCGTCCTCCCTCAAAACGCCATTATTGCAGCGCTAAAATGACAAAACAGAAGAAATACCCCTCCTAAATGCCCTAAATACTCCCGACAGAATTACTAGATCTCTCATTGAACTGCCTCCGTAGGCTGTCTCCGATTTTGATCATCTTCGATAGCTCTTTCCCAATATTTTCTTTTGCACGAGAACCGATGTTGAATGCATCCCAATATAAATACTCCTCTGGATATTTGCATAATAGATGGCCATTCAGCTCCAGAAAATCTGCCTCGTTATCTTCCTCGTTCGCGCTTTCGCGGAGACATGCTTGGTTGATGTTCTGATATGGAGAGGGGTTTGTTCCGCGACCTCGCGCGTCGGAGATTCCTGCGACTTGCATTTGATGCTCCGCCAGAATATCGAGAACTTTTTGCGCGAGGTCGAAGTAGAAGATGTCCTTTATTACAGTGACTGCTTCGTTCGTAGCATTCCTTGACTCGTGGTTTTCAGTGTCGATAATTGGATGTTCTGTCTTCTCTATTTCGTTTCTGTAGAATGTGGGCATTTCTTTCAACCATGACAACATTCTGTTTTCCATTCCGATATTCCATCGGGAGGTGAGGGACAAAGCGTTTCTTTGTTGCTCGGCCATGGTACTTGGTGGAATGGGGACGGGACGGTGGGTTTTCCATCCTGGTACAAGTGATGGATCCAGAAGATGTGGGATAATGACTGGGAATAAAGGTGGGTTGGTGTTCTCTACCTTCGTGTTCGAATGCAAGTACGATTTTGCATGGTGCGCGTACAAGATGTCAAGCTGATGAAACAGCTCCTTTACCGAGGCGTCAGTTGCGATGATTGCTCGTTCCAGGTCGAGACTAGCGAGGCTGTAAACATCCCAGAAACCGTGGGAAATGCAGAAGATAGTCTCAACTTGCGTCTCTGAAGGAGGGTTTTCAGCGATATACGACTGGATCTGTTGACCTAGGTCCGGAAGAAGGTTGAGAGGTGCATAGCTAACATGGGAATGTTTTTTCTCTTCGTGAGAGGCGATATGGATTTTGTTTTTAGTTAGTGCTCCTTTTGGAGGATTAGCCGGATATTCATCCACTGGCTGTGATGAAGCGTAGTTAAGGTATGATGCACAGTCAATCTATCAGATATTAATCTCCCTTCCAAAAGCTTCTTTATACTTGTACAATCTGGACTACAGAACTACTCACCTCCTCACAAGCAACTCTCACCCAACTCTTGCCCCTCCCGCTCATACCACTTTCCGGTCTATCGTCTACCCATGAATCCCCGAAAACCACCATTCGCACCCTCGCCTCCTTAACCTTTTCCTCTTCCTTTGCCCCCCATCGAAATAAACTCCCGGTATTTAAGATGGGAGAGGGAATCAGGGTGCTGTCTTTTTGACGGGCTAGCACGAGGAGGATGGTGGTTAAGGAGAGGATGGACATGAAGAAGGGGAGGGTGAAGCAGCGTTGTATTGCCATTTGTGGGGGCTTTATGGTGGACATCTGGGGTATTTTGATTTGTCGATTTTTTATACCGGAAGGGAGATCAAGTGTTATAGATCGAATTAAGGATTTGAAGAAGAGTTCCCTTAAGAAAAGAACAGAATCTGTGAAAGAAGTAGAACGAATCGACTCTCGCCAAGAGATATTGCGCGAAACTGATGTGATGAAGATAGTCAGTCAGGTCGACAGGGGTTTACCGCCAAGCCGCGTGTCGTCCTCCCTATTTCAGCGAGTGGAATCCCCTTTCGAGTTCGCCCTTGGTCGTGAGACAGAATAGGCCCTAGGAAATAGAGATTGAGACGAAGGGGCATAGAAACGAAGGAGATGTTAATGATAGGTATAGAGAAGGAAGTGTAGGAAAACAAGGACGGGTGGGAGGAAATTTCAATGGAGACATGGTCTGTTGCTAGCAAGCTAGGAACGGAGTATCCATCCTACGATTTTCCGGATGACGCTTTGTGGAGGTAGGGTGGGTCTTATGGGGATACTCTACCCTTTGTTTTTTTCTTGGGGGAAGGGGAATTGGGTATTGGCCTAGATTGGACTTTGGATGGGAGAAGTTGGATTGAGTTTTTTTTGTTTTGGTGGTTTGGCTATGGAGGTGTTTCTTGAGGGGTTGGATTGGTTGGTGGTGGTATTTTAAAGAGTGTGAGACTTACCTGTACAGAGTATTGAGGAACATGAGTTAGTGGATGAGTGACGGGGCAGTACTGTAAGACGGACCAGTGATCTCGCGATGGATATACGGAGTACGAAGGGGATTGATGAACCCCGATGAGTTCCAAGACACTCAGCCTTGCGTACGAGACATGCGAGGTACGAGGGCTTCTTTCTCCACAGTCTCATTTCAGGGTGAAGTCCTAGGGTGAAGTTCATAATATCCTGTGTGTTATTTATGATGTGGATGGGTTCTTGCTAATGAAGAAGCTTTGCCGAGGATTGGGGTGTGAATATGTTATGAAGGATGAGCACAAGGTATGAGCTAGGAAGTCGAAGTTTGAACATTTGGGTTTCCTATAAAGGCGGAGTTCATTCATTTCATTGACAGAGGGTCTCCAACACTGTAAATTGGTTTGAGTGCAGGTGTACTGAAATGCAGACACGAGAGCGTAGTTTCTTCTCCGTCAATGGCTTAGGATAAACTCTCAATTCAAACTTGGAAGGAATCTATCCCGCTAAATGAAATCCTTCGAGGTACAAGAACAGTGTTATTTTGTGCGCGATATTAAAAATCGTTTGGCCAAGCTATTGCGTACATATCTACCAACAATATGCTTTTCTGACAAACGCCATTCCCATGCAACGCCAGACTCAAGCAAATCAACAACACATCTAGCCAACCAAGCCCAGCCAGATACAAAAGCACTCTATCGCTTTTTAGAAATCACCCCACTCGTTCGCTGCACTTTTGATGGTGGCGCTGAATCTGCATCATCACTCTCCTCGTCCGAATCATTATCATCGTGGTCCACCTCGTCCTCATCGGCGGAATCCTCGTCTGTTTCCTCAGCCTCATCGTCTAATAAATTATCGTCGTCTGAACTCTCCTCTTCGTCCGATTCTGCGATGACCCCGTTGGTGGTGGGCATGTCTTCCGAGATATCGCTGTCGTCATCTGAACCCTCAATCTCTCCATTCTGTACAACTCTTTGAGCTTTGGCGGTCTCTTCATTATCGCTCTCTTGTCCCTCCACGTAGATGATACCCTCGTCATCCTCGTCCTCGTCCATCCGTAATCGCTGATTCTGCATGCTTCGTCTGAGCTCAATTTGCGCATCTAGCATATCGAGCTTTCCCTTGAGTGACAAGAGAGGTTGGAGACCCTTGGCGCGCTCGCTGATTACTTTTTCCAATTCGGAAAGTTCTTGTACCACATCCTTCTGCGTCGTAAGGTATCCGCCATGTGCAACAAGTGTCCATTGAACCCAGACCATCAATGTTCCAGCTCTTCCAGGTCTTCTGTGTAATCTTTCTGCGAGCTTTTGTAGTAATTTTCCCGCGAGAGGCGACTCAAGTCGTTGTATGGTATTGCGAATAATCTGGACGTCGGTAGTATGAAAACAGGATTCGAGAAGTGAGACATCATTTGTCCGTAAAGCTTGGGTGAGTACTGTTCCTAGAGAAGTGCCTGATGGAGGCTGTATCTGGGATCCTTTTGGGTATGCAACTGCATTGGTTTCCTCAAAAGCACCAGCAACATCGACAATCTCAGCATTCGCCCTCACGAGATCTCCAAAACTTGGTTCCGCGTTCTCCTCTGCATCTTCTGGTATCGGCGCATCTGCATCTGTCATGGCAATATCATCTTTCGATAGCTCATCCTCTGATACTTCAGCAGCACTCTCATCCGCCGAATCTGCATCCTCGTCGTCACTGGATATGCTCACGACTTCCTTGGATCCATTGGTTCGTGCCTGCATGGTATTTCCACCTGCTGAGACGACCGTTCTCGAATCATTGAGATTTGCTTTCCACAACGCCTTTGCGCTTTGATTCACCTTTGGCTGCGCGAGCTTCTGAGGGAGTTTCCGTTTGGTAGACATGGCTGAATATATGTCTGGCGATATCGCTGGAAGATGTTGAATATGTGGTAATGGATCGAGTCCGAGTCGGGTGAGGTCGAGTCGCGTGGCAAGGATTGGTTGTGGTTCTTGTTTGCGGAGCTTGAAGCTATCTCTTCGCATGGAAACTTTTCCCAATTTTTTTCTGGCTATCGCAATCGGCGCCCGCAATCTGTGTCATGTGATTTGGCTATCCGACCAATTAGGTAAAGTGGATTCATCAATCTAGGTAAGCTTCACCATCCGCTTGTGTTATTCTCCACTCTGGCACTCTTACCCAGCCTACACATCTACGATTGATATCTTTTCAAATGCTACCCAACTGGTGTGATATATCTGTATTCACCTTATCAGATGCCGTGTCTAGCTGACAGGACGAGCTGTTATCTCACTCAAACTGCAACAAAGCTGCCATCAAGACTGGGACCAAGTAAGTTAGTCAATACCTACAGCACTGAGGATGCTTTGAGACAAAAAAAACTGGCAAAAGAAGTTACCAAAGCTATGATTGATAACTCATCAATAACTGAGAAGTTCTCTTCTTAGTGCCTCAATGGCGACCATGCTATAGAGCAGGTCATTCAGCTCACAGCAGTTTGTGACAGTCCATGGAGTTGGTTATTCAAGAGTCCTTACTTTCTATTCAGCCTAAGATTATTGTCAAATGTGAGCTAGTGCAAGACTGACTGCCTACATGTTCATACGAGCTACACCTACCAGTGTTTTCAGAGAAAGAAAGAAACATAACGAGCAACTTTCACTTGAAGAATCTTAGTCCAAAGGTCACAAAGATTGAATCAGTACACAGCTACCAATTCTATGAAAGTTGTGAAAGGAAGAAAGATTTATTGCTGCTCCAAGGTGCCTATTTACCTGGATCCTGTACGCCTACGCTAAAAGGACAGACGACAATGCTAATACTACTATGCAGATAACATAAGAAACCAAACACCAATTTTTCATAAAGGTCAATCGTACCACACTTCCCATATCCTCACCCGTTCTCCCCAAACATTCTCATTCCCTTGGTATAAAAATTACGGATCAGCACCGTAAACTGTGATGATATGCTCTCCGATAGACTCAAGCATCTCAATCACCATCTTTTTGGCGGCCGCAACTGCCTTCTTGCTTCCCTTGAAGCCGATTTCTCTTGGATTCTCTCCAGGGAATGTCTTCCAGGCATAAAGACGGAGCAGCCATTGGCGTTTTGTACTCGCCGACGATTGGACCACTCCTCGCGCTTCTCGCACTTGATGCCTTTCTTATAATATTCTTCTCCCCAGCGCATGAATCCGTATGCCTTCTCATCGACGCCTAGCCCATCTTGGTATTGTCTGCCCTCGACGGCCGGCGCATCGCTGAGACTGACCCAGTGGAAAGCTGGTTTGTTATCGCCAAGCCACTTGTTCTTGCCAACTCCTTCCAACGCGGTATCGTTCATTACTCTATCGATGTCGCGTTGGATGTGTGCCTTGTATCTATGTTGACCATTTGTCAACCCATTAGTGGTGGCGGGGCGGAAGGTATGCTCCAGGCCAACTTGTCCAGGCTCTGGTTTGCAGAGATTGCTTTGAACGACCATGAAAACATCCCGCAAGCCAGGCAGTCCTGGGAAGATGTCGTCATTGGAGTATGGATTTTCGGCAATCGCTTTGGTGTTGAAGTTCCACTGATCGTCCCGAACGAGTTCCAAAGGACGACCAGTAGCACGAGCTTCTGCCTCTCGGATTGCTCTGGACCCTCGTGCCGCCTCAATGCGGTAGAAGCCATGGAGGCCCTGCATTGGAGAAATACTACCAACGATGCCATATGTCTCGTTATCATTGTCGCAGCATTGGGTAAACCTTCCAGATGAACGCATCGCAAGTCTTTGTACATCCATATCGATGCAAAGCAATGTACTACGGCAGGCCTCCTCTCCAAGGTAAACAATGTCTACTTTGGGATTGAAGTAAATCTCCTTTTCTGCGTGGCCAGGACTTCTGGTGTCAAGTGTACGCAGCTGGTAGACTTTCAAAGCCTCACCCCGAGCCTCCTGGTTTACGTGGAGGATAGCTGGTGGCTTGCGAGAGTTGGGACAGACTCGACGGATTGTATGCTTTCCGAAGCAATTTGTGTCGAGCATGTTCTCGTTGTTTCTGACAATCGGTCCATATTCGATCTCGATAATGTGAGGCCATGACATGACCTCTGTCCAGATCTGGACTCGTATTTCTGCGGGTAACTCGGAGAACTTGTGGAAGGTGGTAAGCGGCCGTGAGGTCTGCGAGTATTGTGCGTATTTTTAAATGTCACCATGTTAGGAGTGTTTAGTTACCGAGCAGGCTTGTTCGCCTCAGACACCTTGATGAAATTCATCTTATTCTGGATTTGATACAAAACATTATCAAAATCGCTGCCTCCTTGGTTCATTCCTCGAGGTACGCCTGAGTTGCGTCCATTATTTCCAGACTTTTCATATGTTATTAGCTTATGTCTCCCAAGGTATCCTTGAAGGTTACTTACACGGTCACTGCCACCGTTGTTGCTTTTTCCTCGTCTCCAAGCCGAGAACTTAGAGCCACGATTGGAAGGATCATTTTGTGCTTGGGGAGCGACTGCAAGAGGACCAGCTACAGTTCCGGGTTGAGTCGGTAGAGAGAAGTTCGAGGGAGCCTATACGAGGGCTGCGTCAGCACTGTGGGCCTACAACAAGGGGGACGAGGCAGCTACTATACTTACGTTTGCACTCTGAACTACATTAGATCCCAAGCCAGGAAAGTCTGTGTTCGTATTGAAGTTTGCTTGCTGTCCGTTGGATCTGTCTGCTCCTTGGGGATATATTCCGCCTCTGCCTCGACCTCGACCACGACCTCCTTGGCCACGGCCTCGTTGGCTTGGCTGGAATCCACCATGACGAGAATTGTTGTTGTTGTTTGACGCCATCGTACTCAGTCAAGAAATAAACTGAAGTATAATAACAGTGTTCGTATCGGAAAGGATGATAAGTTGTCGTGGACTCAAAAGGCACAAGAATAGACTTAGCAATATGTTTGCAAAGGATATGCAAAGATGCATTACTATGAGTCTGTCGGTGGATAGACAAAAGTATGAAGGAAAGTTTACCAGCTAGGAGCAAAACCTAGTGGTAATTTGTACCTAGAATTGGAAAGGCTCTGGCAAGGCACCCAGGCATTGAATGAAGCTCCGCCCAAAACGTGTCGGCGTGTAGTCACCAACAGAGTTTCCTTTTTGGTCGGGTCAAGTAGAGGGGTCAAGCTTCGTATCTCAATTCACTTGCGTTTCATCGAAGTATATAGAAGTCTGTGGCAACCAGAAAGACTCTTGATTGGCAGTAGAACTGCTACATAACAATGTTCACTGAACAGTCAAACGTGGGGTCTGGCGTGTGGTCGTGGTCAGTGCTGTAGCTTGGTGTTGAGTATGACGCTTTAAGGTATTCTCTTGTAGAGTTATACTATAGAAGGAAGGGCTTGGAAGGGTGGGGAAATGAGTGTGGCTAGTAAATTGAATTGGTTTTGTGCAGTTTGTCGCGGAACAGAGCTACAGGACTGGGGGGTAGGATGGATAAAGGCATCGCCCAGCACTAAGTACTAGTACCAACCCCTTCGCATACACTTTCCCTAATTATTTTCCATGTCTTCATATTATACCTAATTAAGCCACTGCAGGACCAAAAGCCAACTTCCTGGACAAGTGGGAGGCTACGTATATAAAAGCATATCTTCACTACAATCCAACAACCGATCAGCCTCCCCCTCAACCTGACCACTTCCAGTTTCCACAACCACCCCACAAACAATGGCAGAAATCTGTTTGTATACCTACCTATCCTCATTAGGCTAGTGGAATCCACTTCCATGGATACGGAGAAAAGTTTGATGCGATACTTCTTGGTGGTGAGTCAACTTTTATTATACCCTGTAGGTCCTTACTATTTCGGAGATTAGAGGTGGGTTGGATTGCCTTGGGTGTCTGTCATGTGATTGGGACGATAAATATTTGCTTGGTACACCATGAGATATCTTGAATGGGTTGGGGTTTGGATTAGAAGGGGTTTGGGGAGTTGTTGGAGCTACTTTTGGTGGGGTTGTTTTGTTTTCGCTTATTTGGACACGTGATTGGTTCCTGCAGATTTCCACTGGGGAAGGCATTCGAGATAGGGGGTATGTGAAGTTTGGACTTGTGACCTTGAGGACTACGGATCGGTTGATGTCTTCGCGATTCTTGCGGTTAATGTCAAATGCGGTTCATGAAATTCATAGACTGGCGGTAGTATTCTATTGCTTATTTAGTTCCCTTTAGAATAGTATGCTACGAGACCTCCCTAGTGGGATTGGTCCTCGGTAGTCTCAAACGAAGCGATTTAAACTCGCGACTAAGATAATTAGCAACAAGAATTGTAAGGCGAAGGAAAGCCAAGGTCCCATGGCATGCCATATCACCCCTGATTGTCCATCGCCTTGAATTTCGCTGTGGATGACCCCGCGGATTCTCAGAACCAAACAATTACCGTGTACTGCAAACACTGAAAGTTCTCATTGGGGAAGACATTCAATAATCAATTTGAAAGTCGTCATTATGCTTGTAGCTGTGGTTGTAATGGTTGGTAAGGATTACACATCACTATATCTGCATCCTATTTTCTATCAAGTAGGTGATTAGGATCTCAAATTCGTGACGAAATCGAAGAGATTACGGAAAGGTAAGATGAAATCAGTAAAAATATGGTGCTGTCTCACTAAAATTTGATTGATACAAGTGCATTGTCCTGTCAAAGATTTGAAAAACTGAGAGAAGACAGAAATCTGCTAGGGAATTCCTAGTAAATAGCTATATAGTTAATGAGTAATTAATATAGTAGTCATCCACTCTCTGGTTAGATGAAGCTTAGCGTCAAGGTCAAACACATGTCGTTTTACAACATCGCCTTTATACCAGCACATTCCTGCTTGGAGAATATATAAAGAAATATCGCTTCGGATTATTCTCTCATACTACATGCTATTACCTGTCAAGCCCGGGATCATGAAAACAATCTACCAGCACTTCACACTTCACACTGTACCATCTCCAGAATCCAAACCACCGTATAAGAATCCACCGAGCCGTCGATCCCGGGTTCACATCCAACAAATTCCTTGTGTCCAAAATCAACCCAAGACCCTCAAAGCCCTCAAAACCCCTCGAGATCCTCCCATGAAATATGCTCATGAGGAAAAAGAAAAGATAGCTACCAGTTCTCATTTCACAAAGAAAGGTTAGGATTACTTCAATGCAAATACTCGTAGCACCAGGTAGTAGAAACTGTCAAGTAGGAACAATAATTTATGCTAGCTCTTATACTTATCGATTCATCGACTTGCATTACACATTTTCTTGCTTTACTCAAGAGTCAATGAGGTACTGTACATAGATAAAGGTAAGGTCAATGAAGTATTCTCGTTTTGATACTTATAATTAGTTTGTTTTAGATGTACTGTACTGAGACTTTTCTAGAACTTCCGAAAAGCATTCCACCACCAGAAGAACAAGCCCAGGTGCTGGGGTGACTTCTCATTACTTCTTCTAATTAGCCCATATGCCGAACGAGCCACAAAGAGAACTTAATCACTATCCTTCCAAGAACTTTATACTCTGATCATGAGCCGTCACCTTTCTATCTTTTTAAAAGAGTCTTATTACCGTCGCTGTAAAGAATATCTATACAACATGAACCCAGACCAAACGCTACAAGCTTAACCGAGGCAACAAAATTGCTCCTCTCCAAGCTTTTCCTCCCCTTTTTTTCACATCAATCACTCATACATGTCTGCGTCTGCCGCGTCATCAAGATATGATATGGGCTGATAATTGGGGAAAAGGCCGAGTGTCATGCCCCTCCACCCGCAAACCCCGACTAGACACTTTGGCGATTCACAATCTTTCGTACTCTGACCTTGATTTCCAACAAGATATCCCCCTTCCACGGCCATCGCACCTCCATTATGAAACACTGCTCCCAGACCTTCCATTCTCGTTCCTGGATATAACTCACATGCCAGCTTACTCCTTTGATGAACCCTCCACCTCATGAATCCAGTCTGGTAATCTAGTCCTCGCTGGTTGACCTTTTCTCTCATCCCCCTTCGTCTCCGAGACCTTCTAAGCGCGGATTGGTCGTATTTATCAAGGATTTTGGCGTATTTCTCATGATCTTTCCGGGTGAAGATTGCAATCCGGAGGTTCGAGTCAAGCCTTTTCAAACACTGTCTGAAAGGGTCGATTGACCATTTTGGCTTCCTTTCGGGCCGTGGTCTGACTTTTGACTTGTACTGGGGTGCTATTTCCCGGGTCTCATTTGCGTTTAGCGAAGGGTGTAACTCGATTTCAGGTGTTAATGAGCGATGGCGAGGAGGAGATGGTGTTGGCGGATCTGGGTAGAAATCGGAATCGATATACGGTGCGCTAGAATAACCTGGAACATCGAGTTCGCTTTCGTAGCCATAATTTGTGTCGGAATCAACATATCCTTGATCCTCTCTTTCGATGCTTTCAGTGATATCTTGCTCAGCAACAGCTCCCGGGGTATAGGCGACAAATTCTTGTGAGCCAGTCAAATGGTCCGAGGGGAGATGGTCTCTGATTTCCATCAGCGCGGACAGCATTTGGGTGTCAACCTCTGTTAATCCTCTCTGGTTTCGCGTAGGTAAACTGTCTCCGGGGTATTTGTGGTTTGCTGATGTTTCTTCCAAAAACTCTTCGAGGGGAATCTCCTGCAGAGAGTACATTGAACCAGCGTCAAAATCATTTACTGGGTATGGTTGTTCGGCTGTGTACATCTGATAGTTATCCACGTTGCTCGAGCGGAGGTTCATCTCTGAGAAGTTCGCGGACATATCGGAGTATGATCTCGGACGCGTATTTCTGGACTTTTGGTCTATTAGTACATGGAATGAAAACCACACTTTCGAACAGTGAAGGAGTTGAAATGCTAGGAAGTACAAACATTTGAAGAATTGCCGGCACGGGTTTGTAGCAGCTCATCATTGGTGGTGCTACTGGATGAACGAAGCCTTCTGGAGCCAGAACGAGTGAAAAAAGTTGGTGCCATTTTGTATTTTGCTATTTCAGGTGGCGTATATTCAAACTATTGGAAGATACAGTAATCTCACACATGAACCGTTGTATCGTGATGTTCAGAAAAAGTAGATTGTTATGAGCAGTGCAGGTCGTGACAAGCCGACGTTTATAACGAGTGACTGGGTAGGATGCTCATGTGAGGTATCGAAACTCAATTAGGTTGCATAAACGAATGGATAGTGGTCAAGAAGCGGACATGATGCTCGAAGATACCGTTTTAGAAAAGAAGGAATGCTTATTTGTGATGGATATGGCGAGCAGCGAAAAAGTGCATCAGATCAAGAGCAAAGTGCCTTGGCGTTGAGATGTATAGCGCCTGCCAAGCACAGTTTTATTTCTGGATGCTCGTCGCTTCCCATGGGCTGCTCCTGCTTCTGTCCACAAGCGAGGATGTAAAATCACGTGATTGAAATGAAGCCTCGTCCCTCCAGCTGGCCCCATCTATCAGCTGGGAAGCTTTCTCACGGGGTTGGGTATATTCTATTATGAAAAGTATTCTGATCGACTCGTTCTAAGAACCCAGAAGTCCGTGAGAATTACAAACTTTGAGAGAATACTGAGCTGTAACGACAAACTTCCACCGAAGACAGCATTCTCTCGAAGTTAGTTCTTCAAAAATCTTGCTCGCCATATCTGACATGAGCCAACGTATAAGGAAGAAACCCACAGCTGGCCCGCGGTCCTTCCATTCAACTTCAACTTCTTGTTCAAGATCACATAAGAATCCAAGAACGTGCCCCCCATAATCCCAAGCCTCATCAAATTCATCTTTAGCTAGGTATATTTGTGCCAATTACAAACGACGGGCCTATTTCAATGTCCTGTACAGTATATCCAGTCCAATTTAACCAGGAAAGAACGAGCAGACCCACGACTCTCCTAGCTCAATTCCGTATGTGGCAACAATGTCCTGTACAGTATATCCAGTCCAGTTTAGCCAGGAAAGAACGAGCAGACCCACGACTTTTCTACACTCAATCCTATTTGTGAACAAAGGAGGTTAGTATAAATGTATCTCAAGGTCAAGGCAGAGTCAGGTATTTACCAAACACCTTTCTAAAGCGTTCTAAGGCGTTCTGGGGCGTTCAAGGTGTAGACAAGGACACTCTACATCACATACATAAAATCACCTACCGCACTCACTTCTTTCAGGGACGAATTCAAACCTCTACAAACAAGACCATGATATAACTAAACCTCAGTAATACCATTATGAAATACCTTCAAATTCATCCACCCTCAGTCTAGCACTCAAATCTACGCTAAGTCTGTATCCTTTATTCTCTAAAAAGATCCAAGACCAGTCTCAGGAACCAAGGTACCTAGAAAATGTCTCGTTACAAAGTACATAACGTACAGTCCCAGAATATTTACCCCCCTTCCCACTCCACAACAACAAGACAAACGCCAAAAATACTATAACCCAATAGCTAGCTAGCAAGCAAGCAAGCAAAAGGACACAACCACCCAGCCATACCAAAAGGCTGTCTTTACACAAGGGTATACCCACCACCAGTAAATACCACAACGCCACCCCAAACCCCCTCCCATATCATAAAAATACCCAAACGAAAAAGCAACGCCATGCCAAAAACTCCAAAAGTCCAATGTTACACCACCCCCCTCCCCCTCCCCCTTTCACAAAATCCTCAAATATAAAACGAATCCCCCGATTCCGAAACAAAAAACTGAGCCCCCAATTTCTCTCGCTCCTCATGCGCCTTCAACTCCTCCAGAATAGTCACCCTCGGATCCGGCCCATCGAAGATCTGATCCTTGACATGTATAATGATAACCTTGATCCCACTCAAGGGGCCATCGTACGCGGAATTCGTCGTTTTACCGCTGACGAGACGCTTCCGCTTCTTGGAATTATTTGGAGGACCGCCGAGTACTTGAACCATAGCGGCCAGACTCTTCAGCTCTTGGAAGATATACTTGGGCGTGAGGTGACCGAAGAGATAATCGTCCTCCTTGGCATCCGTGAACGAGGACTCGATGAAGATGGCCTTTAGTCGACCCGCGACGATTTTCGGAGCCGCTTTTTCCCATACGTATTTGTTGAGTGGTCGTATAGAAATGGTATCAGGTTCCACGTCTCCGAAAATTAGAATTTCCTGTTTGCTAGCGACGTCACGAATGAAAACCGCTGTACTGTCAACAGGACATTCATCATCTCGAGTGGAGAAAGTATTAAATTCGGGTTTGTAGCCGCTGGCGGTGGGTGTTTGTGTCTTTGAATCTCTTGGCGCACCAGTAGTTGAAATTGTAGTTGATATTGGATACGACCACCCTTTCTCAGCATCTCCCTTCATCGTGTGGCTGAAATGTTGGAGTCTACAATTTCCGTGGGTGATTCGCATTGCCATCACATCCAAACCCTCTGCAAGCGTCACGTAGCCACCGTCCTCGATTGTCGGCTCTCCTCCATCAGTCAACTCATAATAGCTCACTAACTTGACTCCAGCATGTTGGTCCGATAAATTTGGCCAGATGATACCGTTGAAGATAAACTGTCGGAATGCTTGAAGGGTGCTCGGTAAAGCTGCGAGCTTCTTTTGCCGCTTAAAATCCATGCCTGCAGTCGCAAAGATAAAGCCTGAGGTATGGTCAAGATGCGGATGTGTGATCACGAAGGTTTGAACCAGTTCCTTGGTGATGTGAAGCGCATTGGCGTTTTTGTTGATGTGTGGGAGAGTGAGTCCTTGGAAAGGACCAGCTTTTAGAGTAATCGGTCTTTTGGAGTCGCTTTTAGTGTGCTCTTCTATGATTCTTGCCATAGCAGCAAGATGGCACCCAGCGTCGACTGCTAGCAAACAATTTATTGTCCAATCTTTTGATGTTGAACGCACTAGCATACTAGTTGCACCATCCTCAAAGGGACCTCCACCAGCTCCCTATTCATCATCAGCCATGAACAACAAACGATAAAAAACTGTGGGGAGGGGAATGAAGGAATGGAAGCCTGAAAGCGACACGTGACTCAATTTTGCACTAGAACCTGGAAATGCGGAGTGTATGCACGCTTGGTTGCATCAAATGCAAACCACCTTAATTCCGATCCGAACCTTCAATACAAAGCAGGAACAGCACAGCCTCTCTGCAACATAAACAAGAGGCGAGTCTGCCTCCAAAGGAGCAAAGGAAAATGTGCAAGATGAGCGATGTGAGAAAAACAAACCTACCAAGACAATAACCTGCATGCGAGGACCCATCTGCAGCTTTGGCGTCGCCTGCGCTGTGATCGTTTCCTGGCCCTTGGGCTTAGGCTTGGCCTTTTTATCCATCGCAAGGGCGTCCATTGAAATCGCAATCGCAATCGAAATCAGAGGAAGATGAATCCAAGAATGGTGTCGGTCAAGGAGTCCTGAATGAAAGAGCGATTTATTCTGGTTCTGGTGAAGCAGGAAGAGCAGGCGACATCCCTGATTTGGGAACAGGGAATGTATAAGTAGATAGATGCCCTCCACTGGTGCTGGTGGCCTGCCTCTACCTCAGTACTGCTACCTACCTAGTGGTCGCACGTGACACCGCTTTCGCTCCAGCTTAGGTACCTACTTGGGCTGTCACAGGTGCTATTGTACACCTATCTGGGAAAGATCTCAGGAGTAGGCTGGTTATAAGTTGTTCAGGGACCAGATAAGGGGGGCGACTTCAATCTGGCAGGATTCTGCGTGTGACTGCGACCGGGACACCTCAGTATTCAACACTCGAGACTCGAGACCGCTAGAATGCAGTTCCCGGGTGAATGCTCCGCGTCCTCGTTGGTTATCGTCGATACAAACAGAGCGCCGAGTGAAAATAATTTACAAGAACCAGAGCGCTTAAGAAGAGAGGGAACAGCATGTTTTGAGCACCCAACAATAATAGATATCCGACGCATGTGGCCAACTCGGCGTATACGTATAGGGGACGCTCGAGAGGAACAAAGACTGGGAGAATGGCGTTAAGGGGACTCAGAAGGTTGAACAAAGCAATTGATCAAGTGCCATGGATTGGGATCTTTCCGAAACTCGGAGCCACTGCAGAAACATTGTCTACAAGACTCCTCTTTTGTATACTCGAGGCCACAACTGTGAACCTGCTTCCCGGCCCACATATACACTGTTCTGACCTATGTCGCATTATGAATAAATGACCTGTCCAATACATGGACGCCCTTGAAGAATCTATTGCGCTAGAATCCCCCATACAATTAAACTGAATTGTCCCGAATCACTTAGATTAATGAAGGTATATTCATTTCATCTGTCCTAAATCGCTCGTATAACTATTCTAGTTGTGCGAGGCTTTTCGGGTAACATTACATTGTTCTGACCTAGGTGTGTTCAAAGTAATGACCACTTCTCTTACGGGGTATCTGTGTAACTTAAAATAGCACGAGCTTGTGCCCTGCCCCTCCTACAACGAGATCGCGCGTGCGCTGCCCAGATTTCCTTCCTAGCACCACTAAGCTTTATGTCTCTTGTCTCCGCAAGGCAAGTCACGTTATATACATCAACATGTCCGCTTTACTTCTACTTATGTCCACTTTCTTCCTGTCTACATTACCGCCCTGCTAAGTTCATGTGCATCAAAGCATCACCTTTCCAGCTGTCATCATCGTCGTCGTCAACAGCTCCATTCTGGATTCGCAGACCTCCTCCGGCTTGTTGGCTTGGTAAGCTCCAAATATCACCGCGGCCGTCGTTGGCCTGCACGTTGTTTTGATGATCAGTGTCACCTGGTTTAGGGCCAAATGGAGGTGGAGAACTGTCTAAGGAATCAAATGGCCCGAATCCAGGAACAGTGAAATCATTTCCGCTGTGCGCTGGTAGAGTGTTCTTAGAAGCGCCGTATTCCTCTGCGGGCAACTCAAAGTGATTGGCTCGGTTATTGGTTGTAGTGTCATCACTCTTCTCCGACGCGTTACCGCCAGCGATTTTTTCATTGTAGTTATGAGCAGGCATCTCTGAAATCCCGGTTGGCAATGGGGCGGCATTGATTTGCCCTTGAGCTCTTTGGCGCTCAAGTTCCTGTTCCTCGAGAATCTGTGGAGCAGGCTCAACATTTCGAAGACTGCTGGCCATAACACTGCTATTGCGAAGGCTAGCGACGGCTGTCCGCTCCAAGGGAGCTTCTGTTGTGTCTGACATAGCAGATTCCGGATCCCTGATGCCGAACTGCGCCATCGTGCGCATTTTTCGAGTGACCCAACTAGCCAGTATCTTCCCTCTTTGTTTTTCGCCAAGCCTTGACCGTGGGAAATCCCCACGGGCGACAAATGCTACTATGTCAACCACAATTTGGTGCTCGTTCAATATCGCATTGACAATGACGGGTACAATAGATGCTAGATAAGCTTTCCTGCCCACTTCAACTAGAACTACAATCAAACCTCCCGCTTGGAATATGGCACTATGTAGTCGTCAGAAAGAGATGATGTTTCAAACACAAGGAACAACTTACCAACCACCAGGTACAATATTTCGGTGACATTTTTCAACAGATAATTCGATGTCCATTGGGAAATGGCTTAGACCATTGATTTCGAATGTTTCTCCAATGTTCCCTAAGACAAACAAAACCTGCATATCTACTTGAGCTCCGTTAGGTCCAATAGGTCGACTGACATTGTGAAGAAACCCGAGGTCTCCGGTACGGACGTATTGCACACCAGGATCACCGTCTACAGTATGGCCGTCAAATCTCTCAGAGTCAAAAGCATCCTTGGAACCGTAAAAAGATTTGACGCAAGCTTCTGAATCAACCCAAATCTCTCCATATTCACCGTCGTGACAGAGGTTCCGGCTTTCTGGATTAACGATGGCTATCTGTGTCGAAACAGGAACCATGCCTGAGTCTTGAATCAAGAGTGCTCTCGAATCAGAATCGGGATCTACTGGATAAATCAAGCCTCTCCTCAGTGCCCCTGTATCTAGCCAAAGCTCGATCGGTTCAATACACATATACGATCTAGACGCAATCATGGGATTGAGAACGTGTGAGTAGATAGTATTAATGGCTGTCCGATCCATACCTGTCGCTGCGAAGTGCAGACGAACCTTTTGAAATACATCAACCCGTGGCCTTCCCTCGGCAGAAATCATCATATTTTTCAGTTCGTGAAGCGTGAAACCCTTGCCTGGCATAATCGACATTGCGTGGTCAAGCATTTGCGGGGTTGCGTAAGTGTCTTTGATCTTGTATCTAGATAACGTGTGGAAGAGAGATATTGGATTTTGAGCAAACTCAACCGGTGATACGAGATAGGTGGGTGCACCAACAAAGATTCCCATCAAGCAAGTATGGATGAATCCAAGACCACTTGTGCTGCGAACGCATCCCAACACTGGCCTTGAACTTGTCATTTGACAGGTCTCCTTTTGAACTTTGCACATGCCCATAATTGTATCATGGCCTAGCTGAACGGCAATTCGTCTTTGATCTGGCGTCCAGTAGGTCCAGACAAGTACAGGGTACCCAGATTGGACCCAGGCTGGCTGCATGGTGAGGCCAAGATCTCGACATCCATTGTTCTGTTTGGGGGGCTTTGTTGTATTGTAAACAGATGGGACAGATACCTTGAGTACTTGGGCAGATTGCTTGACGTGTTGGGAGACGGCTTTTTGTTTAAGAAGGTGATCGACGTCTTGGTTCACCAGCACTGCCTTGACGGTATAGTCAGATACCATATGGAGGAAAGCCGGCGCGTCTTCGTTCAGTCGATTTTGATCGAGAGGAGCCATTGGGATAGCCGTGACACCCAAACAGAAACAAGCATGGGCGGCATACACAAAATCCTCAGAATGTGTAAACATCAGAATCAAATGATCCCCAGCCTTAACTTTGACCTTGTTTTTCAGATACATCGCTACAGCTGAGACTTTGGTATCGAATTTCTTCCACGTGATGCCCTTTCCCTCCTTCCCTCTCCCGTCAATAGTGCAGTAGGAAAGCTCATCAGACTGGCGTGCTACTCTCCATTGTAATAGATCCACAATGCTAGTGAAATTGTTCAAAGGAGTGGAGGTGCGATCATCTATGACAACCTCTCGACGGTCGATGCCAGAGTATTGCTTGTCACCTGGGGACAGAATGTCTTCTCTGGTCTGTGAAGCGAGTGGAGACCATATTCCGCCAATTGGATCTACGCCAATTGGTAGATTGAGTACAGCTCGTTCAACGCCAAATTTCACATGAACGCATGGAAGATTCCCTGAATCAAATTCCCGTCGACATAGCATGTTTCCAATCTCCCGGCGGCCATTCTTGAGAACCTTTGGTAGACTGTTGGGAGCTGTAATCATCACACAATAAACTCGTAGATGGTGTTCTTGCATGAGAACTTCCATGCAACGCTCTGACAGTGAGTCCAGCAATGCCGTGTCTAGTTGTCGAGGGGGTCCTCCGGACGTTGCTGGGGCCGTGGAGGCGGACATAGACTCAAGTAGAACGATAGGGAGATGCTCATCGTTGACAAAAACATCAAAGGCGGAACAGTCGTATATCTTCGACACGTTCTTCATTATACTTACTATGATATGCTGCACAAAGAAGTAACGATGCTCTGCAATCTCGTGCCCATGTTCGACCCATTCGACTTTTTGCCGCAATCGATCCTCATAAAGACCAAGAACGAAGACCTTGCCTTCAATAACGGTGCCCAGCAAGCCGGTGCGCAAGAACTCGGGTTCTACCATCATTGGCGTTGGGTCGCCTTGCTCGAATTTGTAAGGGCGGGCATGGAAAATCTGCTCTGTGTGCTTTGGCAGCGCCCAAAACCCTCCTGAGAGAGAGGGCGAATCCACCCAAACCTCACCGACGGAGTGCGGAGAAGCCAACAGGCCAGTTTCTGGATCAACCACAGCAAGAGTGGCATCAGGAAGTGGAAAGCCAAAAGCACCCACTCTCACTGTTCCTTGCTCAGTACTAGCCTTTTTGCGTGCCTCGTCTCCGATGGCGACAACGACCACCTCATTTGTTTTGAGCGCCTCGCGATCTAGTAGCACCTCGCTCAGCTCGGTTCTTCCACGCTGTTCCGTTCTTGTTGTGGTACTGCCACCAATCAATGTGCTGAACCCATCTTCGGCGATTTTGTCTTTCTTTTCAGTCTTCTCCTCTGTATCAGAATCAGATCCTATGTCAAGTTTGAGAGGACAGCCCATATTCTCCTCGCCGCCTAACCAGTCTCGCATGCTTATTACCATACCGCCATGCTCCGGGAGACAGAGCATGGGAGCCACCAACTCTCGTGCTCTGGGATTCCTCATGGGCCGAAGCCATCGGTCAGCAAGAACTTCGTGGAATTCGCTATCGACAGTGATAGTGTCAATCAGACATAATTTCACGTGCTGAAAGTTTGGCTCGATCCCCTTCTTGAAGTTTCTGGTCGTCATTGGATCCTGCTGGTAGTTGTAGGCTGCTCGTTTCAATCCTGGATAGTCGGCCAGCATCAATGTCGCTCTATACTTTGTAATGAGATGTGCATACAGCCCGGGCGTCTCAACTGCCTTACTTTCCATCCAAACAGTCGTATGACCACCATATACGGTCAACAACACACCTAGAATCATTCCAATACCTTGACGAGGATCCAAATATGAGAGCAGAATCTCGCCACGATTTCTACTCCCAGCCATGAGTCTGCCATTTTTGTCTCTCAGTTGAGAATTGAAGGTGTCTCCCGGGGTGTCCTCTGGAACGGTTGATATTATAGCGCTTAGACAAGCCATTTGATGCATGATTGTACGATGGCTCATCACGACACCTCTCAGGTCTCCGGTAGGTGCCCGCGAGAATTCAATATAAGCAAGATCAGGAACAGTTAGAGGAGGGACATCGTCCTTTTTCTTTGGGTGAAAGCTCCCAAATTCGTTGGTTTTCCACCATTCCACACCCCGTGGCCAGTTAAGTTTTTGCGTTGTAATGTCTCGCTGGAAGGCTTTCAGGTTGTAGTCGGTAGTGAGGGCAAGATGTGCTTGTGTAGAAGTGAGAATAAGGTTGAGCTTTGCGTAGTCTTCTAAATCATTGATAGGAACAGCAACCACGCCAGCAATGAAGCACCCGAGAAGAGCGATGGCAAAATCGATAACCTCTGTATCACGATAAATCAGAGCAACTCGATCACCACGATATAGTGAACTTTTATCTCTAATGACTTGGGCGACTTTTTCAGCTCTACTGGTCAGTTTATCCCACGTGATGGAAGCAATTTCTTTTCCCTTGCCATCTAGTACCCAGTACGCAGGCGCTTTCGCAGTTGTTCTGCTTCGGTGTCTCAATACTGCGGCAATATTATCGAATTTCGACATTGGAGTATTTCCATCGTGAGGATCGTAGACAGCAAATGGAAGGTCCCGGGGCTCTAGGGGCATTTGGTACTCCAGTGCGGCAGGTGGGGGAAGATCACTAGTGTTAAGCATTGGAGGTGCCATCGCGGCCGTTGGAGAGAAGGCATCACTTGAAGAATACCGTTGTGGCCCACCGCCGTAAAACCCCGGTGGTGCGTTGTTTTCGTAACCTTGATTGTTATTGTCGTACCCTTGCTGGCCAGCAAAATCCGAGAAGTAACCCTGTTGCGACTCTCCTAGCATTGTTCCATGCGAATCCATCATGGTTCCAGCCTGGCTTTCATAAGCATTGCCTTGCTGCTCAGAATAGCCTGCTTGATAGGCTGGATTAAAAGCATAGTTCGCACCTGAAGCCATCGTTGATGTTGCCGTCATCATGGTCGGTTCGGCAGACACTTCGCCGGGTATCAGTGCTTTGGGTAAGAACAAAGAGTCTCGACTATATGATGTTGATGTTGGTCTCTGTGTAGGATTGTGAACTCCTAGCTTCAACTCTTGCGGTCTTCCCCCTGAAGCGAAACCCCCCTCATGCGCTCGGCTATCTCCAAAGCCACCAAAACCACTTGCCATTGTATCCAAACGAGCACCTGAACTCGATCTCGCTGGTGACTGTGGTGGTATTTGGGGTGTATGGCCATAGGAATCGCCGGGATAGTTTGAGTTCGCATTGAGTGCGGCGAGCGATGCGCTACGAGATTCATCGTTTGACGGATGCACTGTATCGTTGGAAGAGTGGACTTGTAGGCCTCTTAATTCGGGAGTATTGGCAGAAGCGGCCATAAACTGGGAGAGCAAGAGTGTCCGCCGTTTTTGGTACCTGCATGGGTGAGTTAGTGCTGAATTCCCAAGAAAATGTGCTCGCCATGAACTGGCAAAACTGGGTGAAGATGTTCGTACCCTTTTTCTGTGATATCGCCTTCCTAGAGACTCGTTAGTAGAAATACTAAGGATACCGGCTTCCTGCCAGAATTGTGGCGATCCACGCAAAGCGTCATTCTTGAAGTTTAGAGGCTTACCTCAAGTTCGTGATCCAACTCCTGCAGCTTTTCCTGCAGCGCCGGATTGTTTGACGCCATTGCCTTGAGGCAAGCCTAGGGAGGCGCAAGGACCCTGTGAGGATGTATTTGCGGTGCGAGAAGTTACAGATCGGTCAAGGAGGGCGAAGGATGTAACGCGCATACATGGATATACGAGGGTGTAGGTGCGTCACACAGAGCGCAATTAGTTTGGACCAAGATTGTGGTTGGCGGATGGATCGGTTTGGAAGAGAGAAGAAGAAAGGACGGATTGCAGGTGAAAATCTACGTTTGTCAAAAACAGGCAAAGTGAGTGTGGGTATGAGTATGAGTGTATTGATTGAGGCGATCAAGACGCTGTGAATGGCCAACGGACGTGAAAGATGTCTGGAGTGAGATGGAGGTGCCTATATAATTTGGCCCATACAGTACGAGTACTTGTACCATGCTTATCCAGGTTGACAGTTGGACGTGCCGAGCCTGTCTTGCCCTCCTCCACCCTCTGCCAAGCAAGGCTGATCGGATGGACCCACTTAATGACGATCGGCCGATCACGTGGGCGCACTAGTGTCTGCGCTAGGGGTTTTTGGGTTTTCTGGTTTTTTTCCCTGCATAAAAACCTTCTTTCAACTCTGTTTTGGCTTCCACCACCATCGCCATTTACGAACATCTACTCATCCACTCTCTCATTATCATGCTGAGCTGGTTCAATTGATGGATCGGTCACATTGACCATTTGTATCAGGGCGGCATGTGCACCTGTGTAAGTGGGCATCCAATAGGCGGTCTAGCCTCACACAAAAGAGTGAAAGAACCCGCCCGGCCTTTGATCTCACTGAGTGGGTGTAAGGCAAGTAACACTAATAAAACAACAGGAATTTATGACCATATTCTACTGCGCTACTAGGTATGCAGACCTCTTCTACTTTCACCTTCTCTCCCCACAGCAATAGCAGCGGCAAAATGATTATTTTCGATAGACCTGTTCAGAATATACTTCGGTATAATGTAGATGAACTTGGAGACCTTATGATTTGCTTTTTATACTCATCCAAATTATGTGGATTGTACTCACTGTTTGCACATGAAAGCTAACTTCAAAAAGACAGATTAGTATTCTACTATGAGGGGAAATAGATGGAGTGGTGCGTCACAGGAAACATGGGCTACTAGGCAATAGTTGAAATAGTATATGCTTCGCTCTCATAGAATGATCTTCAATTCACCACAAGTTTTCTCCTTCCTACCACTGCACTGGAACATACTATATGCTCGTATCTTCCGATTCACCACAGCCCACCATCTTATCATTCCAGCACTCGAAGTCTTGGGTGCGCCTTGGGATGTAACAAAGCGGACTGCTTATTGAATGGGAAAGACAAGGAGGCATTGTTCCTATCCAAGACTGTCACATCGCTCTTTTGTTTCAATCAGGAAGTTAAACAATGGCTCCTTCTCTTGGTCCTCAAGTCCCAATGATCTGTGATATAAACATAGTCTTGTTTCATGCAAATGACTTTGTCTTAAGCCACTCCCTTTATCTGACTCGATTTTTCAATAAAGAAACGATATTGCTTTAAGAGCCCAACTCGCTCCGCAATATTTCTGTTCTCTATTTTTCATCAGTTTCTTTCACCTTACTAAGTAGCCAGCGCACCTGTTCTCACCAAGACACTGACCGGATCGTGTCTTTCCTTCATTATTAGAGACCACAATTAGCATACCACACTCGCTTTATTTTACGCATTACGAATATTCCGAACAGTCGCGCTGTACCATTACATTTTCATAACCAAAAAACAACAGCCAAGAGATAAACCCAACAATGGATCACCAAAACAACGATAACTTTAACATGGACACCTTTGAGGGGAACGCAGAGCAAAACCTCGCAGATATCAATGATCGGCTCGTGGCTTTTGGCCAAATGCAAGACTTTGATTTCATGGAGAATGAGACTGGTTTTCAGACTCCTGTCGCCCCTGAGGGGGGATATCATTTCGAGCAAGAGTTCGATGTAACGCCAAACTATTCTGAGCCATATTACAACGACACAGGCTATACTTACGACAATTTCCCGACTCTCAACCAAAGTTTTGAGCCAACAAATGCTGAGCAGTCGAACTTTCAGACACTTCCAAGCCCCCGAACGAGGCTCAGTGTGGATACTGCAGTTCCCCAAATTCAGCAGGGAGAGTACCAGAACCAAATTCTGAACGAATTTGACAGTCCAGCAACGCCACTTCAAGTCATCGATCAGTATCATAGCCCTCAAGGATTTGAGCCGGACCTTCAACAACTACTGGTTGATGAACTTCAAAATCAGAATGGACATGGAGGCCGATTTTCTCGCTTCGGAGGAGGTCGTAACAACCCTCGTCCAAAGGCGCTCACAAGTACGGGAAAGGAGAGCAAGAACAAAAGACCAGAGAACATTGCAAGTCTCAATCCATCCAAGTTCTACGAGCCTCTACCTGGGGGCCAACCACGTTCTTGGGGGCCAACAAATCCTCTGACAAATCAGCCACTCTTCCAGTATACCAAATACGGAGAACTCGCTGTTGGTCAAGAGTTCACCACGGAACAGCTCGTCGACTTCCTTTTCCAGAATCCCAATCACGGGATGCAGCAATTCCCTCAGGATGTAACTGCTTACAGAGAAAACTCAGGCCTCACAATTTGGATTCAGAATCCTCCGGCAGACAGCAGCAAGCGGTATCCCGAAAAGGGTTCCGACAAGTGTCGATGGGCTGAGTGCCCAGTTAAAGACCATACGATCCACAAGGGCTTCTACCGCGTTGCCTTTGATGAGAGGTCTCGATACTGGGCCGATAGAAATGTTTTTCTAGACCCATACCACAACGCAGGCTACATGCATCTCTTCTGCTTTGAAAAGATGGTTGATTTTCCTTCAGTCTCCAAACTTCTTAATGTTCGACCCGACACCCGCCAATTTAGGGAGGGGAAAAACAAGATGGCCATCACAAGAGACCATAAAGCCATGGAAGCAATCTGCAATGATTTCATCCGCGATTCCCGATCCTGGCCCGGTGGAGAGCGCAGCGCTGATTCTCAAGATTGGTATCCCGCAACTCTCTGCTCTGCTCTCACGGAGTTTCAAATTGCTCACTACCCCAACCGAGTACTCAATTTGTTTACGGCCCGAGGCGGTAACAACATCAGTATTCATCGTGGTAACTGCGATGTCTACGCCGCCAATGAGGTAGTCAAGGAACGTAGGCCAATGAAACCTCGGGCCCCCGATGCTAAGAAGCCTGGTAGGAAGCGAAAGGTAAGAGAGCCTTCTCCTGAGGATGCAAATCCTGCCAACGAGGAGTTTGTTCCAGACACCAACATTCTAGAAAGGATCGACAGTCTACCTAGCAAGAGGCCCGCCAAACGACCAAGACGTAGTAGCCAGAGTCCGGATGGTCTGTCGCCTACTTACTCAGAATCATTCTGATGACCTACCTACTTGGTATGTTACCATGACCTTCTCTTTTCTGCTTTTTATTTTGCTGCATTTTAGCGAGTCATTTATACCCTTTTAAATGTTACAAATATTTTTCAAAACTTTTTTCAATTCCTTTTCTTATTATCTCTTGTTTTTTGACAGTACCTGAAATTTCTTTAATTCATTTTGCTACGTACATGGCTCTTAAGCAAGATCGCATGTCATAAGTCTCCTCTATTCTTCTCTTTATATTCCATACCCGTGAAGGTAAGTTTAATGGCAGGAAACACGATGACTTGGTTTTTAGGTACCCCGTCGCCTTAGAAATTGTAAAGATTTCTCTGGAACCGTGCTGGAATCGCAAGGATGCATCAAACAACAGAAGAAGAACGTACTATTGTGTCATCAACTCAAATATTTCGAGCATTTATAGTAAAGATAATTGATTACCTATGAAGCTTTGAGTGACTGACTTGTATAAAATGCGTGAATTGCTCCTCGTAGAACTGTGAGTGAAATCTGTCCTCCATAAATAACTTCCTAGGTAGTTAGAGTATTCAAATTTGTCTTGGACGAGCCAATTCATTCTTCTCGAAATTTCCTGTAGAATATATTTGAGTGGTCATGACGCAACCTGACAATCTATATGCAAAGTGTCGGTGCTGCTTTTACGGCAAAGTTCTGCCACCATTCACCGCCCCAGCAAAGAAAAAAAGTTGTACAGAGCTACGATAAGAAGTTCTACATCCCACTAAATTCCAACATCGCGACCAATTGCGCATCCATAACAACCATGGCCCCCTCCGCAAAGAATAAAGTCGAAGATGACTTCATCCTCACAATCTCAGACAACGAAGATGATCTAGCAGCAGATATTGAGGAGGAAGTCATCGCATCTCCCCCGCCATCAAACAAGAAGCGGAAGCGCGCCACCGAAATCGCGAATGCGACAACGAAGAAGAGCAAAAAATCGAAGAAGGGAAAGGCCACAGAAGACGATGAGACGGAAAATACAAATGAGGGGATTTGGGGCGCAAAGGACGAGGATGACGGTGCTATGGACTCGGATTTCGAGTTTGCTAATGAAGCTGGTGAGGCGGATCTGGAGGAATTCGATGGGTGGGGATTTGAAAGTGCGAAGAAGGGTATCAATGGTTTTGGAGGAGACAAACGAACCGTAGATATCGACGAAATTATTGCGCGACGACGAGAGAAGAAGAACGGACCTGCCAAATCGGATATGCAAAAGACGGACGAGGATGTGGAGGAGGCCAGTGGATCCGATGATGAGGAAACTATGGACTTAGAAGGACTAGACCTGGAAAACTCCGGTGACGAGTTTCTGGCAGAAGATGGGTTTGGAATGGGCGCAGACTCTGCGGATGAAGAATCTGGCAGCGAGCAAGACGCCGAAGAGGACCTAGAGGATGGCCAGGATGGCGAACACGATTCAGATGATGATTCTGTTGCGAGTCCTGCTCCCCATCCCGACGATATTGCCATGGGCGATTCTTCAGATGAGGAAGAAAATGACGAGGACCCAGAGGAAGCTGCTCGAAGAGAGGCTTTCTTCGCACCCGAAGAGAAACCTGTCAAAGGAGCCAAGAAAGCGTCAAATCTATCATTCCAGGCAATGTCATTATCCAGACCGATTTTGCGGGGTCTCGCCGCTGTCGGTTTCACGCAACCAACTCCAATTCAAGCCAAGACTATACCAGTTGCCTTGCTGGGAAAGGATGTGGTTGGAGGAGCTGTCACAGGTTCCGGAAAGACTGGTGCATTCGTCGTTCCTGTTCTCGAACGTCTTTTATATCGCCCTAAAAAGGTCCCCACGAGTAGAGTAGTGATTTTGATGCCTACTCGTGAGTTGGCAATACAATGTCACGCTGTGGCCACTAAGCTCGCAAGCCATACCGATATCAAATTTTGTTTGGCGGTGGGAGGTCTCAGTCTCAAAGTTCAAGAAGCAGAACTCAGACTCCGACCAGATGTGATCATTGCCACTCCTGGTAGATTTATTGATCACATGCGGAACTCACCCAGTTTTACTGTGGATACTTTGGAGATTCTAGTCCTCGATGAAGCTGATCGAATGCTCGAGGCAGGTTTTGCTGACGAACTTAACGAAATCTTGACGACGATTCCAAAGTCGAGGCAAACTATGTTATTTTCTGCTACTATGACATCCTCCGTCGATAACTTGATTCGTGTTGGATTGAATCGACCAGTTAGAATCCTTGTCGACTCCCAGAAACAGACCGTTGGTACTTTGGTTCAGGAATTCATTCGTCTACGACCAGGTCGAGAAACAAAGAGAATGGGATATCTCCTATATCTCTGTGCCAACCTCTACACTGAAAGAGTTATAGTCTTTTTCCGACAAAAGAAGGAGGCTCATAGAGCAAGAATTATCTTCGGTCTTTCCAGTCTCAAAGCTACTGAACTACATGGTAGCATGAGTCAAGAACAGGTAAATTGTCCTTTATATAATCCTCACTTCAGTCACTGAACTGAGCTAACATCATCCCAGCGTATCGCAAGTATGGAAGCATTCAGAGACGGCAAGGCAGCCTTTCTTCTCGCTACCGATCTCGCATCCAGAGGTCTCGACATCAAAGGTGTCGATACAGTTATAAACTATGAAGCCCCTCAATCGCATGAAATCTACCTTCACAGAGTCGGAAGAACAGCACGAGCAGGCCGTGCCGGTCGCGCATGTACATTAGCTGCGGAACCCGACCGCAAAATAGTCAAAGCGGCCGTAAAAAGCGGTCGCTCTCAAGGCGCCAAAATCGTAAGTCGAGTGATAGAAGCCTCAGACGCCGACGAATGGGCCACTAAGGTCGACGAGATGGAAGACGAAATTGAAGAGATCCTCAAGGATGAGAAGGAAGAAAAGGCCCTTGCGCAGTTGGAGATGCAGGTGAAGAAGGGCGATAACATGATCGATCACCAGGAGGAAATCCAGGGCCGTCCGAAGAGAACTTGGTTCGAAAGTGAGGTGGAGAAGACGGCTGCTAAGAAGGCCGGACGGGCGGAGTTGAATGGTGTGCAAAGTATCCTGAAGAAGAAGCCGGGCAAGTTGAGTAATAAGGACAAGAAGAAACTTGATGATAGGGATATGAGGACCGAGGGGAAGGTATGGAAAAAGGGACGGGCTGAGAGGGATGGAAAGGGGGCGTTGGCACCGGTGAAGGGGAAGAAGGAGGTCAAGGGTGGGAAACCGACCGCTAAACCTGCTGCAAAGGGTAAGTTTGGGAAGAAGAGGTAGGTAGTTTTATGTAGATAATCTGGTCAGTCTCTATAATTTGAAAGAGTGATACCCATCTGACTTTGGGAATCATTGTGATGGTGGCTTCAGTCAATGTACCATTGGGCACAACCTTTTCCCATCCAATCTTCTGTATTGATTACGAGAAAAGGGATCGCACCCTGTTGAAACTGACAGTGATAGCTTAATCGAAGCCATCCAAATTCTCACAATCTTCTACTTTTCTCGGGGGCTTTTATGGGCTTCTAAGTTGCAAATCGATGTGTAATGCACTCATTCGATCTACGATGAGTGGGTGACTGCAGACACCACGATCAGTATCCTACTCTCAATCCATGCACATCAACCGCCAGGTTACGCTCATTAATTGGTTAAACGCCAGCTCCAAACTCTTCAAAATCCCCGCCATCTTCCATAACGCATACAAATCTCCTGTGGTCGCATGTAAGATCACTGCACACTATACAAACTCGTCCACTTGAGTATCTCTGAGCCCTTCCCTACAACGTCAATCATATCATTGATATCGGATATGTATTTCGAGCTTCCGGTTGCTTTCACGATACTTCGTTGGGCTTCTTTCGTGCGGATGTTCTAGGTGTTGCTTGATGGATGTGATGGATGTTCATACTCAACATCCTCTTTTTTTAGATCCAGCTTGGGGGAATTCGTTTTATATGCAAGGCAGGGATTCGTCACAAGAAGATTGCGAAGTCATTGACATGGAATCTGAAGCAGAACTGGTATTTGGGGAAATTATGAAATAAGTGTTCATCTATAAAGTTCTCTATGGCTGACAGAGTCTGGGAGCTTTTGTATGGATGCAACACAAGAAGAAGAGCAGCGATGTTAAAGGTCTAATATTGTTATCCATAGAGTAAGCAACAATGACTAATCAGCAAACTATGAGCTGGCGAAGAAAATCGCTGCACGTGACCTGGATGTAAGGGGTTCTCGGTTACAGTATTATAAGCTACGTACTGCCAAGGTTTGTGTTAAATAAGGAAAGCAGTAGGCTATAGGCTAAGGCGTGTAACTACATCAGCTATTCTATTCATTTAGAATAACTGAAACGATTTGCTAAAAATGCTCAAAGAACTAACGTAAAAGTTGTGAAGGATCCTAGTAAAATAACTAGAAAATATATCGCTGCATGCTTTTTTCAACTACCAAGAGCTAGTAAATGTTATTTTTGTATTTAAACAAAAAACCTGAATAAACCCACTTCAAAATTCTTTCCCCTTAACTAAGCGAGCATCTCGCTTATAAATTATGTAGAGGATTGAGGCCTTTTAAGAGCTCCCTTCTCAGTCAGTTCCATGGGATGTCACATATGTACGCAATCTAACAAGCATTATCTGCAAATGAGGGCTGTGACTTTTTGTAGTCACGCCTCATAAAGACGATTTGTCACCATCTTGCTTTCACGTGAGAGCTTTTCAAGATTTCTGAAAGAAGACAATTAGTTTGATGATCATATTTTTTCTTAAACAAAGGTTCTAAATGTCGCTCCGTAAACAAGCTCTTTTTCCATTGTTTCGGGATTTCTCAGATACCTGTAAAAGCTTTCTGAGAAGATCTAGTAGCCCAAGCCCCAAATCTCCGATTCTCATAGCCCTTCCTGGATAATAATTCTTGATGAAGCTGACTTAAATATATAATATGGAGCAGGATCGACAATTCACAAATGTGTAAAACGCTCACAGAATTTCAACTTGTCCCTCCATGAGTTTGTTGAAATCAAGATTGAACTTATTAGGCCACCAAAATTCTTCTGCCCGTAGAACTAGGTAGATCCCAGAAAACACACAGGTATGGCGTAAGCAGATGCTTGGGATCGACGTTCACGACCCATCGTAATGAAGACCTTTTTGTTTTGTAAAGCCTCGGAGAAGTTTGTGAGAACTTTCGCGCCGTTGGTGAGTTTTGATATTTCGTCAAGTTTTGTTTAGATTGAAGCACAGGACGGCGGTAGCCCTGGGAGAAAGACTAGTGGTTAAAGGACTAGACACAGTGCCTAAATTGTCTTTTCTGCATGTTCGGTAAATCCCCGAGCAATTTTGTATTCCTCCAAGGCAGCTGGCATAAACCTCTCGGCCGCAGCAAGTCTATCGGCTAGCTAATGATGGTCAGGCCAAATACGAGAGAGGAAAATGGCGTGTGCTTACTGGCGGGTGGGTTCTCAACCCAACTGACTAGAGAGGACGAGCTTTTCCTTGATATCTCCTGAGTTCGTAAATCTGAAACAGCCGTAGTGCTTGCCGAGCGCCTCGAGGATCGTACCCGGCCTTTGCTGCCATGGTAGCACCCAACTTATCGGCAATGTACTCTTGCTCAGGGCGCATCTGATCTCTCTCCTCGTTCGTCAAGTCCTTGAAAATAGCTTGCTGTTTTGCCGCGTGTTCATCAATAAGGTGAGATAGTTCATGTCCTATCATAAATGCTAGCATGTGGTTATTGGTGCACGCTCGCAGAAGACCCGTGGTAACAACTACTAGTCCGGGCCCCCCGAGGGGGGGTATCAATGCTGCATCACGACACTCTGCTATTGAATGTTCAGTCGCAGGTTTCGCGGTACATGAGAGTTTGACGTGAACCTACAGGCTGTTCGAAATACAAGAACTCGCCATTCCCCATGGTATTCATCCCTGATCTCAGCCCGTAGGTCATCAAATATGTTCCGAACTCTCTTCACATTTTCATCTCCCTCATTGGTGATAAGGCTGGCTGGGCGCGATCGGTTTCGTGAGTATTCGGATTTTAAGTACTGGATGGCCCTAATAAGTGTTACCAATAATGGCAAGAAATTAGAAATGTTCAGCCTTGATCGTCGAGTTGACGCGAATAAGACATCTCTTACGTGTCAGGCGTTGCATGGCGTCTGGGCCTGGCGTCCTCTGTTGCTGTTCGTTCCTCCTTCGTGACTTCGAGAAGATTTGTAAATGACCTCTTTAGATCCAGGATCGTAGTCGAGAGATATGGAATGGTGCCATCCTTTTGGAAAAGAGTACGGGATTGACCGTAAGTTCGATGTCTTCTCTGGGTAATCAAAGAAGGTCGAGGGTAGACGTAGACGGTGCGAAGTCTTGCACGCGAAGCCATTATGGTTTCACGAATTGCAAAATTCGTTGTGGCACCTGGCTTAATCTAAAGGAAGGAAGAGGGAAGTGAGGATGGTGTGGAGGGGTAAGAGGGCTGGAGGGGAGAAAGGCGGGGAGAAGAATTGCTTATTATCGTGTTGGTTGGATCCATTGGCTGATTGGTAACGGTTGTGCTACATCGCGTTGCGGAGGTACAAGGTACATTCCAGCTTAAGAAGTTGAAATACACCCCTACTGTCACACTCTGGCGGAGGCCAACCCTTTTCGGGGAACCCTCCCTGGATCTATTTCAGTAGCGCATTAGGATCCGAAAGATACGAATTAGCAAATCGAGAATATAGACAAGCAGCCCTTCAAAAGTAGCAAGGAAAAGAGAAGACAACACTCTGCTGATTAGTTTCCTTTGAAAGGCACCTTTAGAACCGGTAGCGCGAGGTGCTTGAACATAAATAACATCAAAACCCATTAATCATTAAATTAGGATTGTATCTAAACTACGCCGGCTCAACATGCAGAACCAAATTAGGCAATCCTGTGAAATTCCGAGGCATAGAATACGTAAAGTTCCAAAACTCAAAATCACTAAACACAGTTAGCAACTACTTCTCATCATAAACTCTCATCATACACCAAAGAGACGGTCAAGAGAAGACTTACTTAACAGTGCTGTAAGCACCACCATAGGCCCCCGCATAACCAAGAGTGAAATTAGAATCAACATTTCCCGAGACAGTAACATTCAAACCTTGAACGTCTTCCCATCCAACAATATCCTTCTTCATGGCAAATGGTGAGACGAGAAGGGAGAAGGTGGATGAGGCAGTGCCGTAAGGATACGTGAGATTTAGTTGACCGGGAGAAGCAACAGCGATCATTGATGGAACCGAGGTTCGATACTACAAAAGATTAATCTCCCACTCAAGGTGCTTAGCAGGAAATGACATACGGTAATCCATCCAATTCCATTCCCCGTGTCCCACTGAATGAGCGCAGGATTGAACGAATCTCTACTAGTTGCCGGACCTCCGATAACGGTCTCATTGAAGGTTTCAGCCCCAATGGTTATCTTCTCATCAACCCAGGCTGTTATGTTCCGAGGATACACATCGAAGGGCGGGGAAAAGGTGCTGGAAGTGAAGGTGTGTTCGCCAGTAAAATTCGTCAAGGCTGAGACAACGGCTTGAGGTACAAGAGTACTGTGAAACTCAGCGAGGATGGCGAACAATGGCGCATATGCAAAGTCGGCCGAATGAGACATTACTTGTGGCTGTTGTCATGTCAGATTTACAGTTGTTCTGGAGGTCTAAAATACTCTCAATCGAACACTTTAGAACCGCTAGAGGAACGATTTGAAGTAACTAATCACTCAGAGTATAGCCAACCTCCTTATCTCGCGCAAGAGTGTTTGGGACTTGAAATAGGAATAATACTACTTACCTTAGAGATCAGTGAAGACTTGTCCTTTCCAACAATGTTCCACAGATGCAAAGCTAAAAGACTGACATATCGATTCATATCATATCCGTAGCTTCGATCCCACGGTCCGGCAACATTCTTCAGGTTTGGATTCCACAGTTGGGCAACCGATTCCCAGGTATGTCGAATCATAGTAGGTGCTTTCTCGCCCATAATTGAATCGGTGGGCAAATATTTGGCCCACAATGTCAAAGCCCAAAGTGACACACCGGTATAAGTGCCACTGTTAAATTCAGAAAGGGTGTTGGCTCTTTCAAACATGGTCACTAGTTCCTTTGCATAGTTCTCGCCTGCGATGGTCATGTTCGAGTCATTGAGTCGACGGCCTGTCCAACCAGAGACAAATGCTCGCATGATTGACTACACAAATGTCAGAATATGTTGGACGTGCTCCGTGAACATCGCAGTACGTACGGGATTGGAATAGGCTGGGTACAAGTTATCATCATCTACACCACCAACACGGTATGAGTCTCCAACTGTCGCATTGTGTAACGATTCAAGGAGATACGCGGTAGTGTTCTCTGGAATCAAATGTCCGAATTCTTCGAGCCCCACGATAATCGTCGTCCCGACGAAACCCCGCCAATTTGGATCCCATGAATTGTAGATGTTCTTCGGGTAGTATTTCGAGCCGACCATTGGTTCTTCTGGCTGTTTTTGGTAGTTGCCATACCTGATTCGAGTGCCTTATTAGAATCCTCTCAAATTCAATTGGTTCCCGAGGAGTCACTGAACAGAGTATTCACATACCATTGATCTTCCGGATTTTTGAATTGACCATCGACAACGTTCGTTAAAATCTTCAAAGCTTCTTGCACATCCTCTCCCTCATTTCTAGCCAGAAGACCAACGGCATACCATGCAGAACTACGCGTCTCATGCCGCAAAGCCGACGATGCAGAAACATCATACAAATACCCTGCAGCAGGATCGTAAAAGTTGTCCATCCACGCCATCGATTCATTGAGCAACCCCTGGGCATTCAATGGCATACTTTCAACATAAGAGGTCGTACACCAGGCACTCCCAGGTAGCAGTGCCAAAGGTAAAACATTCCGGGCGAAAAGCATCGCAACGCAACAAGCAGAGCAAGAATTAGGAAATGGAAAACAAGACGAGAGCTTGTTGTTCACCAAAGCTCGGGGTTTGTCCTGCTTTTGAGGGTCTCTTTGCTCTCCACTTGTCAAGCAAACTTCCCCATTCTAGCAATTCATTCCAAGACCTCGGTTCAAATGACTAACCATGATCATAACGATAGAGAAGCTTATCCATTCGTACCCGCTTGTCGTTCCTTGCTAATGGGTGGATACTAGAGGTCTCTCCAATGAGCATTGTGGAATTGACCATGGGTCCCACGTTACGATGTTGCAGCAATTTTACTTTATAAAATATATCAATTTGTCAAAGGTGCTCAAAGATGGGGAAAGAGAGGTGAGGATGAAAGTTCAAGTTCCTCGTATTTCTTGGGGAGGTTGGTCGGAGAAAAGATGCTTTTGGACTCGCCTCCGAAGCTAGTCAGATAACGGGGCGGGGCTACCCCGCCTTTCGGATTGCTCCGAGCTGGAAAGGGGAATCCATGGTTCCTGAATCCTGAATGAAAGTACTCGAGTATTGTACCCTAATGGGGTTTTCTAGAAGTCGAAGAAAGGAAGCATCACTGAAAACGTCTATTTTGTTTTGAAGTCTTGGAGATCTCTGTGCTTGGAATAAGCTTTTTCTCCTTGAATTTGAAGCCAAGTCACATCCGGTATTATTTTCAGAAAAGTTGGGGCTACGACTCCTCTTAATTTGAAATTAGGTAGCCAGAACGATAGGTTTTCATCGGAATGAATATTGTAAGAATCGGACTTTTACCTTACCGAAAACTCAAGATTATATACCCTCTACCCCTTACAGCTAGTCAAGTTGACAGTCCACTCTCTCCAAGTTCCCGAAGGGGGCAGTGGGGAACTGTGAAAACTGCAAACCGAAGAAGGTGTTAATATTACTTAGTACTCGTAATTGATCCGAAAGAGGTGACGCAATCAGTATTTTTTCGGTATCTACTTGCTTTGAGAAGAGAAGGGATTTAGCAATACTACAGACGCTTATATATTAGTGCCTTGTCACGTCAACAATTCAACAGAAAAGTTTCTTAGCATATTGTAGTTCAATACCCGAGTATCAAGAAGTAATCTAAGAGTTAACCGGGACCGAGCAGCATTATTCTTGAAGCAACTATGAGTCATATCAAGGTCCCAAAACTATTGATTAACGGCAACTAGGCCAGGAGTTTTAAAGAGATGTAAATCCTTAGAACAAGCTCTGGATCTGGTAGAAGTAACGAAATCAATTTGTAGTCTAAATGTCTATCTAATACAAGTTACATGGCCTCAAAGCTACACAAAAATCGAACCAACCTTTCCAACATCCTTTATTCTTCTTTCGATTGCTCAGAAGTCTTGGGATCTTCGCTCTTCTCATTGCGCGTCTTGAGAGTTGCCAGATTCTTTCTAACTTTTGGAAGTGGCGTATGAGAAATTCTTTTTAGGATCTCGAGCGCTTCCGCATCTCTCGCATATGGGCACATCAAAGCTATTCTTCCATCCACAAATCAATTGCCCCTTGGCATTCCTCGAAGCATTCTTCTTAGGAGCCTGGCCATTGTTGTTTTCCTGTACAACCTTCATCTGTAGACAGGTAAGCACATATCTTGCCCAAATCAATGCAAATAGCGGAAACTTACACATTCCCATTTACCTTCATCCTTGGTTTCGGCCTTAGAGTTCATCGCGTCCTTTTCTCTTCTTGCTTCTTTAATGGCTCGCTTCTTTGTATGCGGGGTTTGCCCGGTTGTCTTGGCAGCAATGATTCTCTCATTCATGAAATCCTCGATACGGAAGTATTTTCTCTCTTCGACATCAGCTCCTAGATAATAAAGATCCCAGGAAGGAAGCATTGCAAGCGAAGAAACATTTATTGTGGAACAGCTTTTACTATCGCTGCTCTTTTGGCTTAAAGTAAATTTTGAAGCAAAATCGGCAAAGGTGGAATCTGAAGAGCTACCACGGGCTGGACTTTTGGCAGGAGAAGGGTTTTTATGCCAGAAAAATGGTATATTGGGCATCTCTTTGGAATATGCTTTGCCAGCCTTGGGGTTGCCTGCCTCTTCCCCAAGTCCGGCAAAACGGTTCCCTGTTTCCTTGTAAATGTGATTGTATTTATCGGATTGGAGCATTTTCAGCTTCTTCGATAGAAAGGTAAGATTCTGCTGTTGATTACAATGGGCATCCATGTTTCTTGATTCTGACTGAGAGTGTCTAAGTATGAAGCTTGGAAATTGCTGGTTGTAAGGTATGATGAAGTGAAGAAGATTGTCTGAGTTGCTGATAAGATTTTAGACGAGGGGAGCGGGTATCTTATAATCTCTACATCTTACTTGCCATGATGTTCTGAGTGGAACTAGGACAAATTTGATGTGGTCAGTATAAAAAGAAAGTGTACAAGGGTTGATGGCCTCCATGTCCATTCTCATATCGAATGGTTTCTGCCTTGAGTTTGAAACATTTCACACGTGGGATAATCATTTGGATTGGTTTCTGCGATTTCAAATTCTACTATGAGGAGTTTGGGAGTCTTCCTTGCTACCATATTCATATCCTAATCATGATAAGCGCTACACGAAAGTGTGTCGACCTGTATGAGTATTCTCAATAGAGATGAATCTCAGAAATGAAACACAAGAAAGCATGAGTGGTTTCAAGGCATTGTTACCAAGCAGTATGAATATTAACTCCCTTTTAAGTCTGAATGGACCAAACCATTCTTTGGGGCTTCAACAGAGAACAAAGAAAGTGCGTCGCGACTTGAGGCTCGAAAGCGCATCTACTCTCGGCCAAGGAACACAACTTGATGAAATGGTACTAACAAAACCTTTGTCGAAAATTGCGAGTCACTAAATATTTGGAAAATTCCATATTTCAGGTTGTCTACAAATCTGCCACAGTTGTGCAACATTTACACGGTTTGCTACACATTGCTTGTGGTTCGCTTAACCGGAAACACTCGGTCTTAATATGAAAGAATTGAACCTCAAACTATTGTTCTCGGATGACTGGATTTCCATATCCTACCACAATTAATAGAATGATTCAGAAAGTCTCGTCGCATGAAGCAGGTAGTTAGTCAACACATAGTATGCTGACTATTTGCTGTAATCTTTCCGCTCACCTTTGGGGTTTTTGTTCGAGGTCTTTGGCATTACGAAACTTGTAAGACCACAGCCAAGTCATCATATCTTACCTGGAATTTTAAAGTCATGCAAGAATCAGCAAAAAGTATCTTGAGCATTGATGAATGAGATATTTCCGCCCCGACGCTGCTCCCCGACGCTGCTCAACTAAAATGTCAAATTCAGAAATCGGAAGCTCAACGTGTCACCAGGAACCCAAATGACGAGGTTGGAAGTCTCATAGATGAATAAAAGAAAAGCCCACAGAACTGTCTAATAATACATTTTAAATTTAACTTGATTTCAAGTTAATAAAGCTTGGGGAAGACACAGTAAGGGATACGGTCATTACTCTGGACACTTTAAGAAACTATTGTGCTAGAATTCTCAAAGTAATTAACCCGATTGTCCTAAATTACCCCGTCTAAAAAAGATATCTCCATTCTCCATTATCCTAAATCGTTCGTGCAATCATTCTCGTTGTGCGAGGTTTTTAGGATAATAATATTCTAGACTAGGTGTGTTCAGAGTAATGTCCGTATCTCTTACTCTTACGAACAACGAATGCGTGAAGAATTTCGCAGAGAAAGTCACACATAATAGTGCTCAGACTGTTAAACTTTTATTCTTTACAAGCACGCTGAGAATAGAGGATATTTGGACAAGTTATCAACCGGTTGTTTGATGCAGCCAAGCCGTAGGTCGATCCTGCTCCACTGTATTGTAAGTGGCTGGGCCAAAGACGTGTCGCACGACCAACGGGCTTCCCCCAACTCATTTGACAGCCAGCGATATATTCATCTTCCGGAACGCATACACAACAAACACTCTCATGGATTTCGAGGTACCTCAACAGTCTCAAAGGTTGGTTTAGCGACATGTGGATCTATGATCTGCTTCTCACTTCCTACACTTCTACCCCGCGGATCCAGATTCCTCTTAAGTAGAGGGAGCCGGTGACTTTGTTTGTTATGCGAACACTAGGACACGACGTCCTACAGTGCTGTGCCGGATGATGACCTTGAGTGCGAATCGCAAAGATAACAAGGTATGTTTCTGCATCTGGGGGGCGGGGGAAGAAGCTGCTCAATGCTCAACCAATTTTCAACCAAAATAACCTGACACCCGAGGACAGCGAGCAGTTGCTAATATTCTGCTAGTATTGACGGGGAGAGGTGAGGCAGTGTTCCACATAATTTGTGATATGAAACAATGCTTCAGAGAGATCTATCTCGGGTTGTTCAAAAACTCCTCTCAGGCGCAATAACAGTCACGTGGTCACCCCTCCTTTAGTGCAGGTGGAGATAACCTGAATACTGCTGTAACGTCGACCGGAAAATCTCCATACCCATGATAACGAGCGTAAGGTTCATCCCCCTTACGTGCCTATCATGGGTGTTTTTGGCTTTCTCCAACCTTCAATATTAGAGTTTTGATGGGTTTTCTCATAGCAGCAGTGGTCTCGGTCCGATTTTCTGCATCTCACGTTTGCCGTTCCATTCATCCCCAGAATTTCGTATGTTGAAATCTTACTTCAGCGCATACAATATTGTTCACTGCATACTCGAGTACCACTCTACATGCAGTTGCCATCCTGTCGACGCACATGGGAGAGGGCCTCGGCTCGCGCGTCTTTGCGATTCGTCCCATCCTGGCATAGTACCACGTATAGATATTGGAATTTGCTTTCACCGTCCCTACGCATGCTGAATACGGTACCGGTGTTCAACCCCAAAAACGCTCATTGATTGATTACTTGCTGACAGCCAGCCGTATCTGGTACCCTTACCTATCTATCTTCTATCGATTTAGCATTACCCGGTTGGTGGCTGTTTTCCTGCCTGTTATCGGTATTCCCTAATCTTTTCGCTCGCTTTTGCGAGTCTCGCCTTTTCGTGCCGCATCGTAACAGGCTACTCCTAGTGGCGTCCAATTACGACCCCTTCAGTTTATCGTTGCCAGTGAAATGGAATTTGAACTGAAGGTTTTTGGTTGCGACCCACATTAAATTCCTGCAAGATTGCAGAATACACTTCTCTTTTCGCGTGCTTCTGGTGCGAGTTCGCCACTACGGATTAACACTATAGATTAAAACAAGTACAAGGGGGGCTGGCTTCATTAATTTTTACGATAGTTTCCAGTGCCTTACTATAATCCCCGAGTTGACGTAAAGTTGCTGGGTGAGAAAGTGCAGGATACGTGTGTACAATTTGGGAATGGGAGATCCGAAATTAATAACTGCTAAAGGCCATTTGTGAGATATATCAATGAGTTTCCTTGCTCCTTTAACTTCTGGAAAGGTTTCCAGCCTTCTCGTCAGCGGTGTTCATCTGGAAGAGCTGTTCATAGCCACCTGCTTAATCGAGTCTAACCGCCGATCCAGACAAACAAGTTCCCATGCATCAAAAGTCTTGTGATGAGCTTCCCGCGTTTAAGCTTCTGTTATCTGGATGATAGCCGTTGCTAAGACTGTTCAGTCAGTTCTTCAGCTCGTGTTTGCAAGCATCGAGCGTGTGTTTTTACGGTTGCATCGCATATCCCCAAAATCTGGTTGGTGGGGTAAATTCTTCTAATGCTTTGAAAATGTTTCCAGGCCTGGCGTCAGCCGCTTTGGTAACGTTAAACAATGGCTGATGAAAGTTACAGGATGGGGACGATCTCGAGAACTCTCTGCTAGCAGTGCTAGGTAGACATATATAGAGTGGCCCTGTCCCCATGTTTCTTTCCCCATCGTGACCAGCTGCATCTCTTGTTAAAAAGATCCTAATTATCTTCCATCATAATCATGAGTAAGCACTGATCCAGTCTCGGTTGTGATTAATAAACTAACATTCATCAAGAAGAAGGTGCAATGGAGGACGACATGGTCGCAGGACCGGAGCTCGTCAATGCTGTCGACCCGAAGCATCAGCACCAGCACCAGGCCAACTACCATGGTAAATACGACGTCATGGATATCAAAGGCCATATTGAACCCACGGAAGAAGAGCTTACATCTCTTCCCCGTGTGGCAGGGTCAATGCCATGGGCAGCCTATATGCTCTGCGCTGTGGAGTTTGCAGAACGTGCTTCATACTATGGATGCAAACAGGTTTTCAAGAACTTTATCAGAGGCCCTCTCCCTGTAGGTGGTAACGGAGCTGGGGCACCACCTCGTGGATCTCAAAAGACAGCGGGAGCATTGGGAAAAGGTACTGTTATTGCGTCTGCCATGACGGATGGGTTTACTATGTTGGCATACGGGTTGCCTGTGAGTACTCCAAAGTCACCGCTTCATGACTACCGCTAATTAAACCAAAGATTTTCGGTGGCTGGCTCGCCGATGCTAAGCTTGGACGATTCAAAACGATTTGCTTAGGAGTCTTTGTCTGCGGTGTTGTAAGTAACCTGATTTCTATCATTTCAACCTGTAACTTGCAAGAACAAGCTGATTCGTTCCCTCTCGCTAGTCGCACATTATTATGGTAATATCTGCCGTCCCAAGTGTCATCCAACAAGGGAAAGCCATCGGTCCATTTGCACTCAGTCTTTACATGCTTGCTATTGGAGCTGCTCTCTTCAAGGCAAATATTGCTCCAACAGTTCTCGATCAAAACCCACATACAAAACCACACGTTGTTACAAAGAAGAACGGCTCAAAGGTTATCGTTGACCCTGAGGCGACATCCGAGTCAATCATGTTATGGTGATTATTATCCGTTTTCTCCCTTTTGCTAGTAAGCTCGGAATTCTAACTTGAAAAGGTTTTACCTACTGGTGAACGTTGGAGGATTTTTTGGGGTTGCAACTTCATATCTCGCTAAATATGTTGGCTTCTGGAGCTCGTACTTATTGCCATGTATCGTTTATCTTATGCTCCCACCTCTGCTATATTACGTCAATTTCCGATTGATCAAGTTTCCGGCCGGAGGTTCAGGTAAGCTTTCTTCTTTTATTCCCAATCGGATTTTCCCTGTAAGAGGGTGCTCTTTCCAACGTCTCTCTATATGTTTCAATGCTCTGGATATTATGTTTGAATGACAATGCTGACTCAACTCTTTTCTTTAAGCCCTTGGTAACTTCTGCAAGGTTAATATCCTTGCCTTGAGAAAAGCCGGTATTCGTGGATTTGGCCGAAAGGGTTTCTTCGAAAGAGCGAAGCCATCCGTCTTGGCTGCTTCTGGAGACAATAGAGTCGTTACATGGGATGATCGATTCGTCGAGGATGTCCGCCGAACTATGAGCGCCTGTGCTATCTTCTTGTTTTTCCCAATTCAACAGTAAGTACCCGCTCACTTTCGCATTTGTTATCAGCTTCTCACCCCGTTTTAGAATCAATGACGGTGGTTTGGGAGCAGCTGCCAATGCTCAGTCAGCTGCGTTGACTACGAATGGTACTCCCAATGATTTACTCGAAAACTTGAATCCCTTAGCAATCATCATTCTTATTCCAATTATGAACCACGGTATTTACCCGCTTTTAAGGAAGATGGGCATCAGATTCGGTCCGATCGCTCGTATGACCTTTGGATTCGTTGTTGCCGCTGTTGGAGCTTCATCCTATGCTGTGATCCAGCATTTTATTTACAAAACCTCGCCCTGTGGAAAATATGCGTAAGTTGCCTCAGGTTCACTTTGAAAAAACAGAATAAGACTGACCTCATTACAGAAGCGATTGTGAGATTGGCAGTGGTGTATCTTCCTTGTCCGTCTGGCTCTATGGTATCCCAACAATCACAACCGCTTGCTCCGAAATCTTCATCAATGTTACCGCCTATGGAATAGCTTACTCCCGAGCCCCCCAAAACATGAAGGGCTTCGTTATGGCTCTGAGTTTATTTATGCAAGCGTGAGTTCAAGCTGAATTATTCTTAAGTGGCTCCTTAAACCCAGCAACTATCCTTTGCCCAATTCCAGAAATTCCTTGCAGGTACTGACTTTACCTATCACTTAGTATCACTACAGCCATTTCTCTCGCAACAGCCAATGCTATCCAAGATCCATATTTGGTTTGGGTTTTCGCTGTCCCAGCAATCGTTGGTTTTATTGCCGCTCCAATCTTCTGGTTTTTGTTCAGAGATCTAGATAAGGAGGATTTCTTCGTGGATATTGGGGATACTTTGCCTTTGCCATCGGCTACGATCAAGGATGAGGAGCATAGCAGCATTGATGAGAAGAAGAGTATCATTGATGAAAAGAAGATTGGGAGTGGTAATGTGAAGGAAATCAAGGAATGAGTAACACGTAGTTAGCTAAGCTAATAGTGATGGGCCTTAATTGATAATTGTAAAATACGAATGTACAGGTGAAAACACGCTAGAGAGTCCTGAATCGAATGTGGAGAGTTACCTAATTCTGCGTCAATACTGAGAATAACCGAACTCTCATGGCTAACACGTGACCATAAATCTCTCGTGACATGTTATGTGTACTATTTTCAGTCTGTCGGTCATTCTGATTTACTTTGATCTTTATCGAATCTCAAATCTCACTGTTACCGGTAATCTATCACTTACAGCTGCAGAAATTCTTGCTAGACTTAAAGTTGCGAGAAATGAAAAGGGGAAAGGTGTGCGAAGGATTTACAACTGCGGTTATAAACTAGCAGCCTAGCAAGGCTGGATGGACCCCATTGCCCCAATGCTGCTCAAGATTCCTTCATTATTTCACCCCTGCATATCGTTGATGCTTTACCTACGTTTGTCTTGGGAAATGTAGCGTGGTCGCTCGCTGGCTCTCGGGACTACCCCCAGATTTTCACGCCGGTATAAGTTAATAAGGGGGTGAAAATGAGGGTGGCGCTAGTACTACAGTATAAGGGCTATGTTGATGATGCCTTGTTCGAGGGGCGCAACCATAAAGATCGCACAAAACCGATCGCCCTCGTGATAAAATTGATAATTTTCCTAAATCCTGAAGCCTTTTCCCTGTTGGTGGCTCAGAATCTTCAAATGGAGTATAACTACCTCATTGTACTTTTGCTCAACATTTCGATTTTGCCGCGCAAACCGTCCTATCTGCAAATCCATTTTATTCCAGAATGTCCAATGGGACTTTATATTCAAATGAAGATGCCAGCTACACAACGCGCAACGGTCTAAACTTTTCACTTTATCAAGACCTGAACCAAATAAATGTTAGCGACATAGGCAACGGTGGAGCAGATAGCATTGAAGAATGCCTCGAGAAATGCTCCTTGCTCTATCTTAACACTTGTGGAGCCGCAGCCTTTGACGCCTCTGCAAAGAAATGTTTCTATAAGGACACCAATGTCACCGTCGCCGGCGCAATCTCTCACGGGAGTTGGACTCTCGGGGTTGCTAACCGGACACAACTTCAACAACTCCCTCCAACTTGCAACAACAGTGGAAAAACGCAAACGACACGAAACGGCTTGAACTTTTCGGTATATTGCTACCAGGATATGGCCGGCTTTGATTTATGTCCTGATGATGCACCTCAATGTCGAGCACAGTCTAGAGGAATGCCTCGAGTTTTGCTCAACGAGGCATCCGCTCTGCACAGGCGTGGCATGGGACTTCTTAGTCGAAATTGGATATCAAAACTGTTATCCCAAGAGTACTACTGTTCAAAATTTCGACAAAGTACGCAAGTACAATTCTCACCTACATTGTGCAAAAGTGCTCCTGCAAGCTGCTCCAAGCGATTGTCTTTCCAGATCAAATACCAATATTCTTGCAAACAATAATATCTTCACGCTGGCCTGTGATGAAGACCGCTCAGGAAATAATATAACAGTGTTGCATGCCGAGTCGATAGAATCATGTGCTGATTCGTGTGGAAGGATCTCGGGAGAGAACCCCAAATGCTTAGGAGCCGTTTTCGATACGAAAATGCAAGGTGGGCATGAGAATTGTTATCTCAAGTCTGCCATTGGAGGGCGTCTGCCCGATCAAGGGGGCTTTATTTTTGCTTCGCGACAAGATTCTGTTCCCTCCAACATTTCCAACGCCACTAACAACACAACTTCGAACACTTCTTCTCCCACCACCAATGTTTTGAGTGGCACCAGTACCTCAACCGCAGACCCTAATTCTGTTTTGGGCAAGAATACATCAAGCACAACAACAGTTATCGCCCCCATCGTTGGTGCAGTCTTCGGGGTTGCGATCACCCTCGCATTAGTTTGTTGGTGGTGGAGGCTGAGAAGGAGACGACAAGAACATGAAGATATCAGCATCACCAAAAACGTGTCAGGGGATCTAATTTCTCAGCAGGAGCAAAAGAGACTTGCTTCAAGGTTGCAAAGAGAGGCTTTTAGTAAACCGGAACTTAGTGTAGAGGGGCAAAAGTACGAGTTGGATAATGCGCCAATGCAGTTTGAATTAAACGGGGAGTCAAGACAGCATGAGCTGCATGAGAATCCTAGAGAATGAGAGATAGAAGAGAGCATGCGTAGTTAACATAATGGTTGATAACCCCTGCTAATCATACAACCGGTATATATGTTCTGCCAGGCGCTTGTGAGACGCAATAGTGGGAAGCGATCACGATGTAAAGTCATCTTCCGAGTCTTATTGTGCCATGAATGCTCAGCTAAGTTTGGCCAGCTCTTGAAATGCTTTATTGGATCCAGATCCTTAAAGCTCATCGTTCCCGGAGTGTGAACGATACATGCAAACTGGAATTGATGCCCACTTGTTTCAAGAAACAAATGCCATAATTTACTGAGCACCTCCTTCCTTTCGTTCCAACAAGTACCCTTTCCTTATTAACTCTTCCTCCTAGCTTCAGCCTGGGCCAATAACTGTGCGCAGACATTCTTGTGGACGTTCCAATCCTGTTTTTGATGTTCCTTTCCGCAATAGGCGATGACCTTGCAATTGGCGCAAAATTGCGCTTCTTCGACCTTTGCGCATACCCGGCACTTTTTTGCAGCGGCACCTTTTCCACCCTCGGTTTCTGGATGGGCAGCTCCCCACTCCCTCAATACATCTTCTAGTTGAGAATTTTGTTCCTGAATCACTTTATCGATTCCCTCCTCACACTTGGCATCCCCACAATGACCCAGCACCACAAATATTGCTTGTGGGTGCAATGTTTCATGCAACCAAGGGTATGGAGCGACACTGGTGGTAGTGCAACGTTTAGAGCAAAGTGGGCATTTCGGGTTTGATTTTTCGAGAAGAGTCGCTTCGTATGGAGTGGCGATAGAACTAAGGATTGTATATAATTCCTGCTTATATTTGGGGTCTTTTGCAATCAATTCCTGTGAGTCTTCGCGGACGAGTGAGGCTGGGATATCGTGGAATCCTACAACCCGCTTGACAGGGTTCCCGCACTTGAATTCAAAGCGGACTGATCTGGTGGCCATGATGACAAAAATTGAGGAAAAGTGGACGCGGTCTGTGTGAGAAGTTGGAATGAGAAATGGAGGAGGGGAAGAAGAAACTTAAATGTACATTAGAGTACGGAGTAGCGGTGTTGTCAACTCAGAGCGACCGAAATTTAAGCACAGGTGTTCTTTGCATGGCATGGCGCGACCAAGTCACCAAACCGTTTGACATTGGCATCGCCATAGTCATAGGAATGAGGTTCAGGTGGAGAGTGTCATATTAAGTTCCATTAAGCTACCTAGTCCCGAAGGACGTCAAGAATTTGATTGTTTACGAAGTATAGCTATAACCATATCCTTGTTCCAATTCTCCTCCGACTACTCAGGAACCCACGCAACGTCCTTTTCACACCCGTATCTGACGTAATACTACTTCGTATATTACAAAACAACCACGTTTCTAAATTATAGCCCTGTTACAGAACTATACTTTAGTCTGTTTTTAGCAGTTGCATCGACTTTTTTTTGTAACCTTATGTGCGTTTCTTTATTATAATCTAGAAAGGGGCAAAAAGTCGATTCTTGTGACCGCGAGCTAGCCCGAGGTAGGATAGCGGGGTTGGGTCTAGGCTACCTAGTCTTGGTGTTGGTGTATTACATAATCCTAGAGCTACGAGTACTCGTATACAAAAACCAGCCTTTTACCCCTCCCCTCCTTAAATCACAAAATAAGTACGCCCCTAGAGTATATAAAAAGTCGACACAACTGCTCAAATGGCAGTAAGGAAGGATTCATCTTCTTATAGAACTTAACCCTAGAAGCGTGGTTGTTATATTATTTAGGGGGGACTATATCGATTCTACGTTGTACTTCTTTTTAGTGTTCCGAGAGATCAAGTTTTAACAGTTATACACAGCGCCGTAACTTGCCCTACAAGTTGCCTAACGGACCTTCCTAAGGCGCCTACTCGGAAGTCTAGCAACTAAGGATTTGAACCCTACTATCCTTTGCAGAGTATAGAGGGGACCAAAAGCAAGCGAAGTGGATATAAGTAGATGCGACTACTGGGTCAAAGTAAGGCTTTAATGCTTATAAACGCGGCCTGGTTGGCTGAACGACTTTGTTTTATGGAGAAAATGTCGTCAAAGTGGACACTTTGACTCTACTTTAGATTGCATGTTTTTGGGTTCCTCTATACTCTAGAAGGGATAGCTGCCGTGAACTATAAACAACCCGGCTTTACTACTACCGTATCTTCCTTCCAGCCCAGAGTCACACCGGAAATTATTACGTGCTCTTGAATGTTGAACCGAGAATCGAAACTCCGATTTAATGAGAATAAGTCGAAATAAATATATAACCGAGTACTGAAAATCGAAAGACTAAAGTACATTTTCGGCGTAGAAGCCTAGGAATACCTTTCTACAGGGTCGCCGGAAATGGTATGTCTTTAGAGTGTCATATGAAATTCTACTAAGCTTCATAGTCCCGAAGGACGTCCAGAATTTGTTTATTGACAGCTATTACCATATCCCCGTTCCAAGTCTGATTCTCCGACAATCACGAGGGAGCTATATCTCCTACTCTTCTAACGTTCGCTCTTCAAATAAAACTCCGCTGTTCTATGGTTTTTCCTCACGATCCGAGGCTTTCCACATGCCTCTTTTAGGTCATTTATCTTGAGAATGTATGCTATCTAATATTTATGTTTGTAGGGGTTATTGTGTGAGATATGGCTTTAAACAATCGACGAGCTGTCACATATGACGATAGACTGAAGAGAATTGGGCATCCCGTCCGCTCTGCTATACCAAAGCCTCAGATCGGCAGATTAGTAGTTGGGTGGGTGACCACCAGCGGATACCTGCTGTTGTATGTTTTTTGGCTTTTTTTTTGCACCCACTTGCCTTGTAGGTCCTGTTTTAGATTTGGACCTGTTACAGTAGAAGGGTTCATGAAGAATATAAATTTAAAGAACAAACTTAATTTAATAGTAATGGAAAACACGATTATAAATAAATTATCTAATTAATTAAAGAGGATAGGCAGTTAAAGTTAGATACTATTACGTAGATTATATAAAGGAAAGTCTATATCGCCCAAATCTGAGTCTTTAATTTGATGTTTTGAATGAAACTCGGGGCTAAGCTGTAATATAGTTAAGCACAGTGTCTTGCTTTAACTGTTCGTCCTCTTTACTTAAAAGATATAGTAAGGCTACTCCTCCTTAAGACTCTATAACTACCCCTTATTGTTATCCAACTTTCCAGGGTTAAAACCTAGTGCTATGTGCTACATAGTAATTATTAGTATACCTTGGAAGCCCTGTTTAGTACCCCAACTCTTACTATACCCTAGCTATTTAATACCCTAAGTCGCTTTCGTAGTACTTGCTTCTAGTTATCTATACGCTTCTTTATATGGAATGTAGATAGTACATACAAAGGAGATATGAAGCGCTATTATTGTGGTCTTCTTCGCTAAGGCGGCAATGGTATGTGAGGCCTTCCTAAAAGTAGCTACTTTCACGGAGACACTTTATTACTTTCCTAGCTTCCTAAGTCTTAACCTACATTTACCTTTTTGTAGCTAATTTGAAAAAGAAAAACATAACGGCAATAACAATGGCGACGGAAGATATAGAATATAATAGCGAAGAAGGAGAGATGAGGCGGTAGTGGGTATATATAACGGTGATTATGTGAGAGTAGAGGCATGGCAAGGTACAAGCCAGCAAGGGCAGCAGCAGACAGCGATAATTCTATGGCTGATTTCGAATTGCGATAGGCACTCTGTAGTGAACAATGGTATAGTGAAAAATTTAGCTATGTTCCAAGGAAGACGTCAGTAATTATTCTTGAGGAGTGGTTACCTTATCCCCTCTAAGTCTGTCTCATAATTATTACCTTCAGTGACAATCTTGCTCTTAACGTCCCCACAAGAGCAAGTGGCGAAAAATGGGTACCGTCGCTTTTGAGAGACTTGTTTGTTTTTAAATTTTCCAAGCTCCTATTAGTGAATGAGTACTAATTTGCCATTCAGTATCTAGAGACAAGGTCCCCATTCCCTTCCGAGACAATCGACAATCGACAATCGACAACCGTCATTCTTTGTAAACCCCACACTTCAATCGGTTTTCTGCTCTCTACCCATCGCAGAGATTGGTCTCCTCCGCAGTTCTGCGCCATAGATTGGCAACCGTCAATTTTCACATCGCTTAATAATTTCGCGACGCTGCACCGACCTCTACCCATAAAGCCACTGCCTGTCCCACAAAACCATTGCCTGTCGCGAGTCTTTGAAATGGCGTCAGAATGCGTTTCCTCAACATATCAGAGCTATGAGGCGGGCGCTGAAAAGATTCTCCATTGGCTTTACGAGACTGCGTGGAAGTGCGGTTATGGTGCAGAAGTATTAGAGCAAACCGACGATGAAGACGACAACGCAGACAACACATCACACTCAGAACCCAAAGCCAAACGCAAACGCAAACCAAAACCAAGAACAAACCTGAGGAAAGGCCATACGAATAAAGCAAAGAGAGGTGGGAAGGCTAAGACAGAGAAAAGAAGCGCAACTGCCAACACCAAAACACCACAGTTTGTGCCAGTGCAGGAGTATAAAGCGCTGGCTGAAGGAGGTAAGTTGCATCTACAAAGCACCAAATTTGTAATGTATCTATTTCTGACTTGGTATAGTTGTATGTTTCAGACCTAAGGTGAAAGTCCCGTCCTAGGTACCCAGAATTCTTGAAGACGTTATAACTGGTCGGAAAAAATGTGCTCAATGGTTCTATCTACAAGCGAATTTTACGATGCACAACAAGATAAAAACAAGCAATAAAGGACATCAACATTTTATCGAAGTTCTGGAACAGGTTCTGGCAATCTTGAAAAATACCCAAGAACCTCTCAGAAAGAAGACTGCGGAGTCTATGAACCTCAACAATATTTTCGATGCATTAGACATTGAGCCAGATACTGAACATACTCTGACTGAGCCTAAATTACCCAAAGCAAGAGATCACAAATCCAGTTCCCCCAATATTTCATTTGAATCGGCAGAAAGCATTGAAGAATCATATTGGCTAGGTAAGCATCATATTGCATGTTTGGGCATTATCAATATCCCTCACTCTTCTCCCTTTCCAGGCCAAAGTTCCTGGGACATTCACACACATTGTTGTAGATGTTTCAAGAGAAAATTCGTCTTGCCAGATGATTTCTGCTGAGTTCAAGCCATTCTTCACTAGTTGGGTGCTTCAGAGCAACAAATATCTCCCCCATATCCTCAATCATTGATAAAACAAATTTCGAGTTTGAAAAATCAGACCAGCTAATCAAATATGCTTAGTATACTGTTTTTTGAAGACTTCAACATAGCGCGAAAACATCTTCGATTCCTTTGGACTGAATACAAACGCGGTGCCTCTGATCTTGCCACCGTCGCACTATTGACAAACACCGCATTCCAAACCTTTAAGCGTGCCGAGGAAGAACTTTTCGCTGACCTGCGCTCCATTCTTCCTCGCGATATTATGGCTGAAATAAAGGGTTATCCACAAATCCAAAACCTGCTCTTTACCGCCACAGCTATGACAAGGGGTTTACACCCAGATTGTCGGAGATCTCCCGATGACCCGTACAACTATGATCTGGATGAAATCGCAGACTGGACTGCTCTTCCCGTCTACCTTCTACTATGGACATACCTGCAAGTGATACAGCGCCGTGGCCATATTGTGCCAATATGCAAGCCTGAACATCGTGGCACCTTGAACCTCAACGGGGATCATCCAAATCCCGAAGAAAAGTACAAACAGGACAAGATCTTCTTATGTGAACATTTCATTCCTGAAGTTTTGCATTTGTAAGTACAATTTTTACGCGCAAGTCCAATCCTTCTCCTTACACTCAGAAAGAACGCCACATTCTGCCTCCAGACCCTGATAACAAAACTCTCTCCTCTAGCTCAACATGTTTTGACTAACTTCAAATACACACTAGGCGAAACATAAAGGGGTATTATAAAAGTGGCAATATCAAGCTTCCAGCTGAAGACGAACTTACCGGTGGAATTTTCGAAATGGTTGGCACCAATGAAATACCAATATGGCTTGTTCTAGCCCTTCAAGTGCAGTAAGTAGTGACAGTAACCAGAACGCTCTCTTCCCGTTGTTGGGTTTCTCCCTCCAGAAGAGCAAATAAAGTTCACTACTATGTTTACACTATTGTTGGACCAAACCGATTAACCTGCTAATACTTGGGTTTCCAGGCTCGATATCTACTACACGCTTCTCGAAGATATGGATCGACCTCATTCTGAGCCCTCAGCAGCTGCGAGTGTAGCAATGTTCACCGTCAAAGAATATCAAGATTTTTCCAGGAACATGTATACTTAAAGCTGGGACAAGTCTAATGACAATGTTAATCTGCTAAACATGCATCTGTGGGAATGGGAGCATTACATATTGACTGATTTTCTTGATGGCGAAAGAACAGCGGCTTATAGCGAATTCGGCTTATCGAAGGAAGGAGACTTCGTTTTGCTGAAAGCACATCCCGTTTTGTGCGGGTTGATGCTTTTCAGGATGAATCTTACCCTACAAGGTCTTGGCATTACGGTTAGTAATTCATGGCCGGGAGCGTTAATACCCAACGTTCTCCATCTTTATAATGCATGTTTAAGTGAGGGCCTGCTGGACAAACACTGGTAAGCTAATGTTTCATAATACTGTATTACCCCTTACACCTACTTCCATACTTTACCAGTCACAAACACTTTCAATCTTTGAGGCGTTACCACTTCCCTCAATGCCCATCGGGCCTAGAAAGCTTCTACTAATCACGCTTCAGGAGCGATCTGGAGGCAGTTATTCTTGCAAATTCTGCCCAACGAATCTTCAATGGGAATAGCCCGCAGGCCCCTCGAGAAGTAAGTTTTGTTCCCTTAATCCTCCCAAACAAGAAGTAAGAATCAGAGAGATTGCACTACAGTTGTTCTGGGCCTTTCTCAGCTTCTTTAAAAGGCTCTTCAGATCACGCTTCGCTGCATCTTACTCTATTGTTCTCTTTTCTGACTCGTTGTTTGTATTTAGTATCTGAGGAGATACATGCTTGCGACCGGCAATTCAGTGACAATGTTTTCGGCCAATAGAAGGTTTAATGATGCACAGTATTCGAAAAGAGAACCCCGCCAAATGTTGAAAGAGTCCGTCATCGCAGGCATATATTCCAAACAATTTTTACGCCACTCTGAAGAAAGAGATGAGATTCCTAAAAACCCAGTGTTCACCTTGGAAGCCATTGAGAAACTACTAGAAGCCGCGTCTGTTACGGACACTGATTACACGAATGAGACCCTAACCTCTTGCGAAGACGCCTCCGAGACGCCGCTGACGCGAAAACAAGGAGCAAAAACTCTACTTGCAAAATTCTCAAAGTCCCGAAAACTCACAACCGTTCAGCTTTTGTCTGCCTTGGAAGCCAACATGCTGAACGAAGCCTTTTCTTTCAATGTTGACTATCTATCACTCCACATGCGCTGCTATGAACTACTGCGCACCATCAAAGAGGAGATGGAACTCATCCTTATCAGCTACTTTGGCGCACTGAGAGATTACCAGATACCTTACATTCCCAGTTACATATTGCGATTTGTGGCTGGGAAGGAACTAGACACGTTTTCACGTCCCACCGAGGGTAATGGTCGGGGAGAAGTTTTGGCAGCGGTGAGCGCAATCATGATGCGTTTCATCAAAAGAGATGGAGAAACGGAAATTGAAAAAGTGAAAAATGCCTGTTGTAGTTTCAGCGGCATTGCGTTCGAAAAACCTTACGTTCCTCTTAATCTGAACATGTCAGACCTACAAGCTGCAGTAGAGGCTTTCAACAAACTTCCCCGACATAAGATGATACCAAGCTCGACAGCTGCCTCTCAGAAATTGAATCACTGGCAGTCCTCGTTGCGGATCATAAGTCGAAGACTCAGTTTCCCTGACCTAATCTATTTCATCAGTCCCAACAACCATCTGTGGTATCACGCTGTGCCCAATTATAGCATACGTATCAGCCGCTTGAAACCCACGGACCAAGTCGATATTGTGGTTTTCCTCATTCTCAAGTCATTCGTGAAGGGAATTTTGACAGGGCAGGATGCACATCTTCTCCCTTTCGCCCCATGGACATGGAGTTGCGATGATACAGCACTCACTCAGGGTATAAGAAGTAAGCTTATTGCTCTCGGTGTGCGCAGGGAGTTGTGCTTGGTTAAGAGCGCATCCGAACAAGAATGCCAAGAGGCTGACCATCGCTGGAATACTGAGAAGACGCTTGTATTGAATCCGATGATGTAGTTGGTTTACTTGTTATGGAGAGGACTCATGGCCCAATTGCGGTCTTATTGGTTTTTCATTCCTCTTGGCTTTTAGTCACAAATTGTATTTCCTTTTATGTCGTTGGAAGTTGGTCAGGCGCGCGCTCGGGCTTCTGCGCAAGTGCGAATCGTAAGACTTGACCTCCAATAGAAAATAGTACTGTAATTTCTAGCATATGTGCGATATACCCCCATACTTTAATAACTTTGATTGGCGAGAAACATAATATATCTCGAGGTGTGGTGTAGTTTTGACCACCTCCCTTTTTTTAAGCGAGAGATGCATTTCCTCCACGTTCACAGAGATATGAGGAGTTACCGCAAGTATTTTATGGTACCACCTGTAGAATGTGCGTTTGTGTAGGATTCTGAGATCATTTAAGTTATTGTTCGACTCACCTAAGTCAATGCTTCCAATCGTGCATTCTCTCGAGGTCAACTTAAGAGTTAGATGGGACACCACCAGATCAATATTTTCGAGAGTTCAAAGTGGTCGTCTGGAGTCATTCCCAGTATTTCTGATCCAATAAGACCTGGCATTCAATCCTACCTACAAATCTAAGTGAAAATTTGAACTGCATCGCGCAAGCTCAACGTCCATAATTGCTCTACATTCACCTCATACCCTATCCTCCATCCGTGAATAATGTTGTGGTCATTCAGAACATTCCCTGTGAGTCCGCTCCGTGAATGTCCTTTTGAATCTCTTCAATCCGACGGTACAATTTGAAAGTATGGTCATCCTTGGGATAGAAGATATTGAAAATATTCGCTCGGGTTGCTGGAAAGATCTTGATGTCTCCTGAAATGGATAGTGTTAGCGACATGGTACCCAATTATTTTACCTGAAGGTGCAAATAACTGTATCGATCTAGAAAGAATACATTACCATCTCCCAGGAGTTCCTTCAAGAACAATTCCATAACTTGCTTATCAATCTCACTCCATTCTTCGCCTTCCAGCCTTACAGGGGCAAACCAACTCATGGCATTGTGTACCACCTCTGCATACAAATCTTCCCCTCTAAGATTGTACCCCGGACCAACTGACTTGAGGACGTTCGCAGCATCTTGGGAAAGATTGTTGTAGATGTAGTCAGGCTAGAAGAAATTAGCATCTATCTCTTCATCTGATTGGGGCAATTTGGGCTGTAAGTAGAAATAACACCTGCTCCGCACTACAAAGAAAGGGATGAAATGGGGTTAAAGAGAAATATGTCATACATTGTCCATAACCAAGCCACCAAGAAAGTCGACATAGAATCGAGAAACGATTTCCCAATCTTGACGTAAGATTGAAAGCTCAGCAAGATTCTCGTCGAAGAAATCCCAGCTCAGTTCAGTACAAAGACGGAAGAATGCTCTGTTGAGCTCATCTTTCGTACAGTGAGAAGTGACACTGTATCTTGGCGTAGAAAGCAGAGATTTCAGGTGAGCTATGTCGGTTTCAGTCATGCGTTCGGTCTCTCCGGGGGCGTATGAGGTTGTGCTGGGATAGTTAGAAGGTGGCAACGCAGTGGTTGGCGCTTTTGAGCTCGGAGCTGTCGGCGAGGGGGTGGCATCTCGAGAGTAGCGATGCTTTTCTGGCCTAGGTGTACCAAAGGGTGAGGGTGTACCAATTGGGGATGGGAACTCGGTATTTGGAACTCGAAAATCTCCATTTGGAGAGCTGGTAGGCGAAGTACCCGAAATCGGCGTGTAAGATACCTTGGTGTTTCTAGGCAATTTCGGGATTTTCAAAGCTAGGGAAATCACTGGTCGCTTTTTGGACTTTGAAAGAGTTTTGCTGTTTGAGTTTCCAGAGGCTGATGTTGTGGAAGTGGAAGTTGTGGGTGTAAAAGTAGGGCGTGCGAATGCGGAGTTGAGACTTGGAACCATTCCCACTGGACCCTTTGCAGCACTTCCGGCATCGTAGTTCTGGAGCCACGCTTCGAGTGCCCCGTCATCGGAATTCGACGACTGGGTTGGGATTTCATCGTTAGAAACCTGGCCCCAGGACATCTTGCTTTCAGGTGCTCGGTACTATACTCTGTAGTGTATCCAGGTCGTTGTGTCTGATACTTGGGTTGATCGCTGGTGTCAAGTTGAACTTTGGACAGTGGTGAAAAGTCCTTTAATGCTTTCGAATGGAATGTAAATACATGTGGAAAGAAGAACTCATTTAACATTACAATAACGGAGTTGGAATGTGTGTGATTGTGATTTCATGCTGAGAGGAGAAGAGTTGTGAATCGAGACTCGTGATTGCGTCGAACTTCACTCAAGGAGTCATCGGATAAATTCAATGGGACGGTTTTTGTAGCAACAATCTTCTGGTCCAGATCCTGATTCAAGGTGAATTACGAAGAGGAGGTGAATATTTTTTGACTATTATACAGAGCAAGTTCTGACATAGATTGAAGGTTCCTCAACACCCTTCCTGCATGATAAATATAAGGACCCTTTCCCACCATCAAAATGTTTGGCCATATATACTGCCCAGATAATACTCAAGAGAACAAAATGGAAACAGAAACAGAAACAGAAACAGCCGTCTAGCCTCTCACAAAATCCAGTATCGAGTAGCAAAATCATCCCACATCGCTCTCAGATGTGTTACAATTTCTCCACGACCAACAAAATAAACCAGAGAGGAGGATACGGAAAAGTCTCCATCACACTCGTACCTCACGCTTCGGTGCTAGCCAAAAGTAGAGAGACTCTGAACCATCCATATGGAACATTGATCACCAAGGGCAGTCGTTGCTCGTCTACCCTCTCAAAATTAGCTCTGGGAGCTTGCCAGTCGACAAGTGTCAGCTATTCTTAGAGCAATATATTCACTCAATGGGTATTGGCCATGGGAAGAGCTGACATTTGCGGTCCAATATCTTTACAGTCCTGGCCGGATTGATGATCGCGAGTTCCATGAATTGCGTGAACTTTGCGATATTAACAATAAAGATCTCGCAAGCAGGAGACTGTGTGGATGCTCAAAGAGAACTCATCGGTACCACTATCATGACTACTGTTATCCTTGATCAAGCGGTGAGGTATATATCGGTAGATGAGCGTGATAAACTTGGATTCATATTGAAGGATTTAGATTGTACTGATAATCTTTATGTATCTCTCTGTGCCCTCTCACCCAAAGCTGCACGGGATCTGGCTAATCTAGAACCGTTCCAAATATTCGAGTTGCCAATTTTGACGCTTGACTTCTGTGTGAGGGGAGGTAGAGAAGGTTCTTCGTTGAATACGTTCTTTCAATTGGACTTGCCAGTTGTAAGTAGGCTAAGTTAAGATGTACAGCAACTGGTAGACCAGATAATGAACCCGCGAGTTGGCTAGTGGTAGCGGATGGTACTTGGTAGATTTTGGGAATAACGGAGAGCGCAAGGATTCCTTTCACAGCACAACCATGTACTGTGATTGGCTTACTGCTTGGCGAAAAAAACATCTCAACTGCGTAGAAAAAGTGCTAAAGGATGTTTTCCGCTCTTGATACCCATAACCTGGAGAGGTGCCCCAGGAGGCAGATTGATCGTGAATAGAAAAGCCAAAATCATGAAAATATGAATCACGCTTCCAGAAGAAATCAAGAGCTCTCTGAATGGAAAACTTTACACATAAAGGATGTTGAGGTCCTCTCATCTTCCACCACAACAATACCATCCTCTAGATCAACTTGAAGTCCATAGATGTCTTTTCCTCACCAATCTCTGTAGCGAAAATGCCCTACAACACTACTCATGAGAGTGTAAAGTCCACTATATTCTCCGAGAGCGGCGCTCGTCTAGCTTTCAAGCTCGGCGTCGCTCACTCACACCAACTGCTCCCGAAACATCTTCTCGACAAATGGATCAAGTTCCTAGCCGAAGATCTAGCAAGCGTCCACTTTGGAGATATCTTGCTTGAAGCCAACTATCGAGATATCAATATCATGTTACGAGAGCTGAGACGGTTTGTGGATGGACCAAAGGGGCCAAGCACCGAGCAGATTGAAGACGCGGAACGAGGTAAATACATACAATGGAGAAATTGAGAGAAGGTCGTAATAATGACTAGTTTGTGGTAGCGGCGCCCAATCCCAAGGACTGGAAACCACCGTTCCCGGAGAAGGCAAACTTTGATGTTTGGAAGTTTGAGGTCAGACAAGGCAAAAAAACATTTGAACCAAAGGAGAAGATTCTGAAGACAGACAAAAGTCCAGCATCATATGAGGTGGATTCTGATGCTGGAGCATGATAGATTACTCAGGTTGACTATATAGAGACTTGAGGTTGGGAGGAGAATGCTAGAAAATATGAGTTCGTTGGTTTAAAAAGCAGTATTAACGCTTTGTGGCACATTGAGGGACCTGCTAGTCTTTGCAAGGAAGAGAAGGAAAAGACAAACAGGATTGAGGAATTGTTGGAGGGGAAGTGGTATGTATAGCTCTGTTCAAGACGTGCTTTCGTGTTTCGGAGCCAATGACCACCAAAGACTTCTCATCTATTTTCACATAATATACAGCATGTTTTGTACATACAAGCTCTAATTCATCTTTCCACCGGTGAGTTCTTCGGCAATCTTTTTCAATCTCCCTCCAGTTATGCGTGCAGGGCCGGCGTGATGCTCGATTAGCTTCTGCTGCGTCCTGTTCAATTCCGAAAGCATGGTCTGCACAGTTGGCGGCTGCCCCAATGCATCCCAAATATTTGTTTCATGGCTGTTATGAACACGCTGGAAAGGCTGAGGAACAAAAATCCGGTCAATCTCTGCATTCAAATCCTTTTCTGTGGAAATGAATGTTCGGGCATGCATGTACAATGTGTGTAAGGCATTCCTTCGTTGCTCCTCTAGAGCAGCCTCCTTCCGTGCTACCCTCGCCTGGCTTGCTCCGACCCGCTGAGCCCTTTGTGGATCTGGCAATCGACCCGTACGTTGAATTTTGGTCAGGGCCTGTCTTACGGTTGGGCTCGTCAATCGTTCGTCCTCCCGCTGTGGTGCGTAAAGTCTTGCTTGCCGTTCTTCCGTTTTTAGAAGACTTCGATGGGCGACTTGACGATCCGATTTAAGCTTCCTGGCGTGCAGAGCATGTAGACCTTCACGCAAATTCTTCCTCCTCACACTTGCCAGGTCTCGTTTCCATGTAACATATTCGTCCTTGGTCTGCTTCTGCGCAGTGGGTTTCGGTATGGTCGAGGCAAAGTATTCTGATGTAGTTTTTGGAATTCCTCTGGTGGGAAAAAGATTCCGAGGAGGAGGAAGGATCCCCTTGATGTCTCTTTTGGGGGTGACTTGTGGTTGTTTCGTTGTAGGAATCTCGATAAATCGAGGGTTTTCTGGTCCGATCAGGGAACGGGAGGTAGTGGAGGAGAATGAGCGCGACTGAACTGAAGAATTTGGGCATCTAAATCGAGCGAGAGCCCCGATTGACGATTTAGGTATCGAAGAAGACATATTGAGAGGTGACCTGCGCCTACAAGGAGGGTCGCAAAATGTCGCGATACCTCTTCAACATCTGGATGGTGTTGTACCAGCTTCGAATTCTCCAAAATCCTTAGCGCCTGTTTAAGCGCGGTTCCGCCACAGCACGAGCCACAAGGGTGGGAAGGTGGGTCTTCCACGTCTTCTTCAGAAAATTTATCTGTCCGTCTCTTCTTATCTCCCCAAATATTTTCTTCTCTTCCAGCAACAATCGCGCATTGCGCAACCACAACTCACGATGGGTACCGGAAAGAAAGAAGGCACGCGCAAGATCCGCCAGGGGAAGGTGGGCGATGGCATGGCCAATGTCAAGGTCAAGGGCGAGAACTTTTATCGGTATGTTCGCTGGCTGATGTTGATGCGATGGAACTGGCCGGCGCTGACTGACTGAACCCTAGCGATGCAAAGAAGGTCAAGACTTTGAACATGTTCAAGGATGGCAAAGCTCAAAGAAACGCAGCTGGAGATGTCACAAAATCTGCTTCTTTCCAGAGTCGGCAGGTACCCACGGCACGAATAGAGCCCAACCGGAAATGGTTCACCAACTCCCGAGTTATTGGCCAAGATGCGCTCGCATCCTTCCGAGAGGCGATGGCAGAGAGGGCCTCAGATCCGTATTCCGTCCTGCTGAAAAGTAACAAGCTGCCATTGAGCTTGATTAGGGACGGGCAAGGAAAGAATGGAATCAAACAGCATCAAGCCAAGATGACTGTTGAGACATCACCTTTTGGTGAAGTATTTGGCCCTAAGGCGCAACGAAAACGAGTGCGACTCGGTGTTAGCACGCTTGAAGATCTTGCGGAAGACAGCGTGAAGTCTCAGGATACATATCTCGATCGACTCGACGAGGCCAAACTCTTGAGTGGCAACTCAGGTGCAGATACTGAACAAATCGGTGAAGCTGTCGCACCAGACCATGGCTACATTTCCAGTGCACGAGAGGCAATCTTCAACAAAGGTCAAAGTAAACGAATTTGGAACGAGTTATACAAAGTCATCGACTCGTCGGATGTTGTCATTCATGTCTTAGACGCCCGCGATCCCCTAGGAACGCGATGTCGAAGTGTTGAGAAATATATTAAAGAGGAGGCACCTCACAAGCATTTGATATTTGTGTTGAACAAATGCGATCTGGTGCCAACTGGTGTTGCTGTAAGTTTTACTTCTTCCTGTCTTCCGATCACATCCCTTCGTTCCATCGTTAAGTCAAGGCTCCTTCTGCATTTTTATGCTATTCGCAATGGAAGGTTGTCTGTTACAACTTTGGTAGATTGACTCCGGTCTCGCCGCTCTTGGTCTCCGGGCCTTTAGTAGATAGCTCACCGTCTTGGAGAGTCTATCGTAAAGAGGCCGGTTCTGTTTCGTTTGAGTTGAAGGCTACCCCCACACCAGTGGCTTGTAGTGGTTTTCTTAGTAATGATTCATACATTCTTTCCTCAAAGAAATCCCAAGTTTTGTGGCACTTGAACTGACAAAACCACAGGCTTCTTGGGTTCGCTTTTTATCAAAAGACTATCCCACACTTGCTTTCCATGCTTCAATAACAAATTCCTTTGGGAAAGGTTCCCTAATTCAACTTCTCCGCCAATTTTCTTCCCTTCACTCCGATCGCAAACAAATATCTGTTGGCTTCATCGGCTACCCTAATACTGGAAAATCCTCAATTATCAACACACTACGAAAAAAGAAGGTCTGCACTGTTGCGCCAATCCCTGGAGAGACCAAGATATGGCAATACATCACCCTTATGAAGAGGATATACTTGATTGATTGTCCCGGTGTCGTGCCTCCTAGTACAACAGATACCCCACAGGATATCCTGTTGAGGGGAGTTGTGCGTGTCGAAAACGTAGAGAATCCAGAGCAGTATATTCCAGCTGTCTTGAGTAAGACAAAGCCACAGCATATTGAGAGAACATACCAACTCAAAGGTTACAATGATCACACTGAGTTCTTGGAGTTGCTGGCCCGAAAGGGTGGAAGATTGCTACACGGTGGAGAGCCAGATGTGGATGGTGTCGCCAAAATGGTACTGAATGATTTCCTTCGGGGCAAGATCCCTTGGTTCACACCGCCACCTCTTTTGGAAGGTGCGGAGGAGAAAGCTGGCGTTGAAGGCCGCGCAGGCAGACTAGGTGAGATGGGCAAGAAGAGAAAACGTGACGATGAAACATCCGTCGCTGATACTTCCGCCGCCCCCGGTTCAACTGTCGCAGACGAAGAAGAGGTCTTTGAGGGTTTCGGCAGCGATGATGGTGGAGTCGAGATGAATGATGTGGCAGGCGATGTTGACGCCGCTTTTGGTCTGGATTCTGACGATGAAAGCGATGCTGATGAGGAAATGGCAGAGGTAGAGGCCGAGAATGAAGATGGGGATTCAGAGGCCGATGGTGCAGCGGAGCAGTTACAGGAAGAGCTACATGAAGATGCTGGCAATTCAAGGAGGAAACCTCGGTTGCCCTCGAAGAAGAAGAAACGACAAAAGACATAAACATAGTAAAATAATTTAAAGTTCAATTCCTGTCCAACGGAACTTTTCAGTCTGTTCGTCTCATTGCGCGCTATTGCTGTAATTGTGTTTGATGAAACACCCATAGTGATGTTATTCCGTAGAGTTCTGCTACATCTGCTCGCACCAGAGGTTGATTACACCATGGGAACGGTATAGAGGGTGCCCTCTCGCCAGGAAACGTTATTGAAGATAACCAGAACCGATTCCATACTCAGTGGTTATCTATAGCCTCTGCGCCACTTCCAATATCAAGGCATGAAGTTCTGGGAATATTTCTCTGCACCCTGGAAACTTGGTTGTTGGCACTACCTGCACTGGTGATGAACATACAAGAGTTCCATGCTATGCAAACGCAAACTGAAAGCGATTCAATACATAACGGTACTGCCAATAAACAAGTAATCTTACAGTTGTAATCCACAAGCCACCAACCACTAGCAAGAAGAACACAACCCCAACCAAATCTCAAATCAAATATAAAATGTCAATTCACAATTCTACAGCTAACAATGATATGTATCAACTTAATCCTCATTCACCCGAAACAAAGAAACCAGTAATCCCAACCATAGCCCCTTCCGATCATGTCCTCCTTATTCTAAGTCCCAGTCTCTCAACTTCTCAGCTTCAATAATGATTCTCCAAACATGATGTTCTATTCCTGAGATAAATCCCTCTTCTTCCTCGATCCCCCATGTCTAGCCATGATTGAAAAGATCTTGCTCTCATCAACCAGAGGACGAATCGTATGGATAGCAGAAGTCTGATGAATGACAGTCACAGCCGATACCCCTGATATCGTGTCCTTGGAGAGTAAACGGATTGCTCTGTTCGCCAGTACCGACGAGCCTGCATCCGCTACGCCATCGAGGCAGTCTTTTACGTCTGAAACAATGGTTCCGTCACTGCAAGTTACTTTCCCTGATCCAGATGTTCCAGTTGCTTTTGCAGCCGATGCTACTGACCCGCTAGTATGCTTGACCGTGGAACTTGCCATGACTGTTTGAAGTGCTCCGGCTGGCAATATTTTACTAGAATCATTGCAATCACAAGGTTAGTCAATGGCCCTCGAAAGGAGAAGGGCTAACCAAAGACTTACGCTGAAGGTGCAAATGAGTAGTAGACAGGGACATGGCCCACAGAGTGTGAATTGGTCGAATTGGTAGAGTTGTGGGGGGATGCATGTGGAGTTGGCATCGATGGCGTATCCGAACAATCGCTTTGACTAATTAGTTTACTCGTGATATTGGACACCAAAGATTTACATACCTAACTGTTGTCGTACAAGTTACCGTAAAAACATCCATGAAACTGAACAAGGTAACTGTACCTGCATAGATCGTACTATGCCAGGTCTCTGTGACTGTGCAAGTCTCAGTAACAGGTGCTGGGCATTCTGGTTGCATCGTTGTTGTCATAGTCATGGTCATCATCATAGGGGCTGGACAAGAAGTGTTGGCTGGACGTGGAGCAGTGGTGTTCTGGGATAATGGTAGCATCGATGGCTTCAGCGGGCTTTCAGATGTTATATTTTGTGGTTTAGTCATATTCTGTGGAGGTGGCGGTCGTATATTATTTGTAGGCATTGCCGTGCCACTTAGTGCTGAAGAATTGCCCTTGAGATCTCCAGAAGTATTGTTCATTGCTGGAGAAGTGATGTTTTGAAGGGAGGGTTTGTTTGAGGGCATTGCAACGCCACTGGGTACTGAAGCGTTATTGTTGCTCATCAGATTGGGGATCGAGGTCATATTCTTAACCGAGGATGGTGAGGTGGAGTTGCCATTCCCAGCAAGTGGTGCCATTGGAGTCGTATTCACGACAGAAGGCTTTGGTGTTCCATTTGAAGTGGGCGCTGGCGGAGGAGCTGCTTCTAGATAATTGGCGAGTGAAATCGAAGGTCTTGAAGCAGCGACATTACCTGTTGAGGTTGCAAGAACTTCAGCTAGTGGAGCAAGATTTGACACACCAGAAGCGCTGGCAAGAATGCTTCCTGCAATGCCGGTTGCAGCGTTGACGATTTGGTCTACCTCTTGAGAAGCGGTTTTGACAGCATTATCGACACCGGCTACGGCGCTTGAAGCAATGTTCCCTTCCACGGATGGACTCACATCCTCTTTAATCTGAGGGGATGCCGCTTTTTTGCCTCCTCCAACGACATTTTTTGCCTGTGTTACGCCACCATCGAAGAGAGTTCCAGCAACATCAGAAATGGCCCCCATCCTCTCGGCTAAGAATGCTGAACTTGTGTCTCTCTGTTGAAGGGAATTATCTGAGCTGTTTGGCAACATGTCAGAATTGCAACAATCAATCGGTGATACTCTTCGACATACCTCCAGGAGAACCAAGGAATCGAGTCATCTCGTTTGTTGAGGTCGGCATGCCCTTGCTTTCCTACAAATACTTTCAATCCCTCCCCGACTGTTATCACGACCAGGACGGCGATCCCAATCAATACTGCAACCGCGGCTACAGGAGAGCCGAAACGGCGTGAGAAATGCATTGTTTGATTTACCAAAAGGTGTCCGAAAGGAATCCCAAAAGAGAGTAATTTCGCAAGAGCGAGAAGTGAAGGGGCCAAAAGAGTGTGAGGGGATCCAAAATGGAGACCAAAATTTCGATGTAGAAGAAAGGAAATTGTTGGAATGAAAATGGATATAAGACCTTGGCCGACTGACCTACCGCTCCTTCCTTCTTGTTGACCAGAACCGTTGGACCTACCTTAATTTTGAGGAATAAGAACCACATCGTTGCTTCCTATCAAAGCAAAAGGATTCAAGATCTAGATTTTTAACTTGGAAGAATGGAAAGCGTTCAATTCATAAGACGTATCTACTGATTGCGCTTTTTGGACAAGCAAAACCCATTTTGCCAGAAAAAACAACCTTAACGCGCGCCCCTAACAGAACCCACATCTAGTACTTCTTACCAGCCCGGAGAACATCACCAAACTCCTCCAAAGGACTTCGGATGAGCTTAGTCTCCTTCCATAAGTTGGGAGTAAGGTATCCGTATGTGTTACCGACAGCGACGAAAGTGGCCTTGAGTGTGTTCTCGAGGGTCTTGGTAGAACCGGAAGAGGATGTGTAGATGTCATCGACACCGGCAAGTTGGAGAAGACGCTTGACGGCAGGGGATGCGACGAGACCAGTACCACGGGGAGCTGGGATAAGCTGAGGATGGAAATTAGTAGATTTTCTTCTGTCTGAATTGCAGCTACTTACTCTGACTGAGACGGATCCGCACTTTCCAGACTCCTTGGTTGGCAAAGAGTGAGGAAGACCCAAGTTGGTACCCCAGTAACCTCTTCGAATTGGCAGAACGCTCAACTTTGCGATAATGATAGCAGCACGAATGGCAGTTGCGACTTCCTTGGAGGTCTTGATACCAAGTCCGACGTGTCCCTCAGAGTCACCAATAACGACGATGGCCTTGAATCGAGTACGTTGACCGGCACGAGTTTGCTTTTGAACTGGCTTGATCTGTGGGAGGGCAAAATTGTCAGCGCTTGATTCTTGATTCCGCATATACATATCCCATCTAATCATTCTGCTTCTGCGCTGCTAGAGAATCTGCCATACCTTCATAACCTCATCCTTCAATTTTGGCAAGAAGAAATCGACAATCTGGTACTCCTTGATGGGCAGAGAGTGTAGGTAGATCTCCTCCATCGACTTGATCTTTCCATCCTTCACGAGACGACCGAGCTTGGTAACTGGCTGCCACTCCTTCTCCTCATTCTTGTTGGCTCCGCGACGAGGTCCACGTCTTCCACGTCCACGTCCTCGGTCACCACGATCTCCTCCACGGTCGCCTCGCGATCCGAATCCACCTCCGCGAGCAGCAGCTCCGCCTCGTGCAGCGTCAGCCATATTGAGTCGATTTGGCGGGTGTGTGGGTGATTAAAGAAGAATTGGGAGGGGAGTTGTGAATTGGTCGCAGAAATTCGAGAAATATCCGCCTCGGGGTTTCTGCAATTTTGGCATTGTGGGAGGCTAGCGAGCAATCTAGCTTCTCATTGGCCAGTGCGTCGTTCCACACGAGGGGCAGCAACACGTGACAAATGACCTTCCCCCCCGGCAGGTGCGACTTACTAGCTATAGGTGCTCTTGGGCTCAGAGTAATTTCTAATAGTAAAATATTACAAAGTGCTTCTCGTAATTGCTTTTTCTTTTTGTAATATTTATCTCAAGTATCTCTTTTCGCGATACAACACTTCAAAGCAATTTGTTGCCAATTTCTTATCCACCACCTCCCCATGGACAAGAAAAGTGGCATCGATTCTCCCTCTCTTTTTATCAGCACAAGTTGGTTTGAAATATTTACTTACTTGGAAGTATTTTTGACCCATTTACTTAGGTATTCTAAGCAATTCATTGATTAGAATAATTAGATAGTCCGAATCAACCTACGCTAGGAGAAGGGGATTCTCTACCACATTGCCAGCTAGCTGTCGTATCCACCACTAAGTCACCTACCTCAACTCTCTCAAGTCTAGAGACTTCTTGCAGTCTTCCCCGATCAATTCAGTGATCTCATACCAGTCATGTAGCGGTAAAAAATCACATTCGTCGCAACCTCAGACTCTTCTTATTAGGCTATACGGACCGAAAAAACTCGCGAAAACTTCCCCATGCGGACAACGGAAGGGTGCCCAGCTCGATCTTCACGATATCTGCGGCGAATTTGTTGATCTTTAATCAGGAAGAAAGAAAACAAACAGATCCCCGCAAAATAAGACAAATGATCATGCGACTAAGTCTACAACTATGTGGCAAACTCGCAATCATGACAATAATCAAGGGAGAATGACATTTTTCGCCTACCCCCATGACGGCAACAGTAACAAAAAGGTATCATATGTGCCAAGTCAAATAGAATGCACTGCTTTTTACAACCCCTCATTCGTTCCCTAAACGCCTGGTCCTCAGATCACTGCTATTTGAGTGATTCTTGAATATAACAATCCCATATTCGTACAAGGCGACTTTCAAAGTCAGGTCGTTCCCCGCCATACCCCACGCCTCTTCCCATCATTTCTCATTTCAATAAACTCCCTTGACCTTTTGAGCTTCGGACGCCTGGTCGTTAAGTGTGACGGAGATGGTGTGTCGATCCATCATTGATGCATCATAAACACATATGAACGTTGTATTGCATCACAAAACAATACCCGTACCGAGAACTAACAGCCACGAGGCATGTGAGCATGTAGCTACTCCTCTTTGTGATCTGCATATCGGAGTATGCATTTAATCTCGGTGTGCCATGCGCCATTCGCCATGCTTAATGCATTCATATCCAATGACAAAAATGATAATCATGTTCTGTTGTGCTACCATGAAAATGTCGTCTCTTTGTAAGATAACGTGCCATCCAGTCTCGTCACCGCTGAAGTGAGTTGTACCGCTAGCCACCGTTCTTCGGAGTTTATATGTAAATACGTAACCACATATCTTGCCGCCTCAGGAATCGAATCCGAGTCCTCTTGTATACCTTCTCCCTCGATACTTGATAGCCAAGCACAAAGACGAGCAACCGTGATTGTATCGAAACATAATCCTTCTCGTCGTGGTTTTGACCATAGCAATTGAATTGCTAATCGTCGTAACTTCCTGTCACGACACTTTATTGCTGTGATAGCGAGCGGAAGTACCGTTCCCATATCAAGAGTGTAGCGAGCGGTGTTGGTGGGCTCATCAGGTTTCGTGATAAGTGCTTGGGATTTGGCTATTATTTCTGCAAATAGAGCTGTAAACTCATCATACAGCATCTCAGAATGCTCAACACTAGATGCCAGTAGAACCGTCGCGAGGTTGTAGTAGATGCTCAGAATGTTGGTGGCGTCTGTCAGAACTGCTCCATTCTTGATCTCTCCTGCATAGACCGCTTGGAATGCCGCTCGCCATTGGTTGAGTTGATTTGAATAGTGACCATGTTGTTGCAGCCAAAATGTTGAGTTTAATATGTCAGGGTCCTGTTGAGCATGCCCAACCGATTTCAGGTAGAATTGTGCAATTCCTTGCATAAGAAAATCCCATGATTCTCTAGCTTCTTGGATACTGGAGAATGATTCTGTGGTGATGATGTCCTGCCAGTCGCACTCGGGCATTGGGAAAGGCGGTGGTATGAAGAGTCCTTGAACGTCGAGCCGAGAAAACATTCGTCCCAAATCATCCACCAGTCCATCCTGAATCTGTGACAATGAGTCTTGTGATAACCTTGAACTTTGGCCTTTTCGTGCGGTTCTCCAATCGGCCAGCAGCCTCGACCCACCCCGAAGATGCGTTAATGATCCATCGTAACTACCCTGGAGTGCTTCAAACGTCATAAACAACACACAAGATGTCAAAGATATTCTCAAGTGTCGTCTTCCGTCTGATAACAACGTCCTTAGAGCACCAATTGCTCTACTGTATTGTCGCAAGGCGTAGCTGTGGTGTTCATCCATATGGCGGTGGTCGATTTGGGGAAACCCAGAGAGGGATAGACGTGTGGGGAAGGAGGTTACCTCCAACGACTTTGCAAGAGCACCTAGGGCTATGGTAGCGAATCGAATTGGTGCATCCGAATGGCACAGCTGGAGAACCTTTTCCGTCCAAAATGTTGGATCAAACTCCCCACCAATTTCTCCGGCAGTTTTGTCACAAAATCGTTGAAAGAACCGTCGTTCTTCGGGAGTTCCTGGGATTGCCGTCGATGGTGCGTATGGCATGACAGATACCGGCCGTGGGTGGATGGCAACCGGTGTCACTTGTTTCTCGGCGTCGGTTTCAACTGTGTTGTAACCACCACATTCTCGGCCGAGATTTTGGCATCTAATACATCCAGGCTTTGTCTCGTCGCATTTCACCCGCCGCTGCCTGCGAGTATATCAGTAAGAGCCACTGCAAAAAAGACCTGCAAAGACCACAAAAGAAACTCTTCCGATTTTAGAAAGGGAAAATTAGACATACTTGCAGGTGGTACAGCCAGTCTTCGAGCGAGGACCGCTCTTTCGCAGCCCTTGACTTCGCGAGGACTGCTCAGGCGAGGCCTGGTTTGGATCCGCAAACTGATTGAAGAACTTGTAAACGTTCGGGAAGGGATTCCGCAAGGACATTGTTCTTGTCGTCAAGCATAAAGAAACGAATGTGGTTGCCACATCAAAGTCATCCAGAACCGAGGCGGGACGATACCCTCAACACGGGCGATTGATTACAGTTCAAATGTAACCTTAACCCTACGTTGAAGGGTCTGAGGTATTAATCGGCAGATTCGAACAATTCCACGGCCCGTGTTGCATATCCAGAGCTTCCGTCGCTATTTCTCTTACTCTTGTTGAGATGATGGCTCTGATGGTTCAGTGCGCTGCTGGAGAGCGTCCGGTTTGCTTGGAGCCCATGACAATGGAAAGGTCACCATGAAGACCAACAGATTATGCCACGCTGATTGCGCTCTATTGCTTTATGGCTAATCACTAGCAGTGTAGTGTAGTGTGATAGGATGCATGGGGTATTAATCTGGCTAAAAGCCGATCCCAGCAATATGTGAATCCAGAGGCACCAGGAGGGTTACCAGAAATCAGAGGCGATACTCGTCCGTACATGATGTGACTGATCCGGAACATGCCTGGCTGGACCTGGGGCGTAGAGTGGTGGAGTGTTGGCTGCCCTGGGGATTGGGGATTGGGGAGTGGAGTCTGGGGACCGTCGACTGGGATGGGTGGAAGGGGCCTTGTTGGAGCGTTCGCCGTTCCCCTCAAAAGCTCCCATCCTCTCCTCTCCCCTCCGCTGCCCTTCCCCATCCTATAGCAGCATACCTGGTCGTTACCAGATTTGAAGCTTTCCAGGATGTATTTCCGTCGAACCATTCAGCGCGGGGAAAAGCTGATGAGCAGGCACAGGCTTGCGGCGGACCAGCAAAGCGGCAGTATCTAATTTATGGTTCTGATCTCTCGTGCTTTTCTAGAACCAGGATTAGTAGTTGTTCTCATAGGCAGCAACAATGTAATAATTCCAACTCTTGGCAACAACAGTAATCAAACTAACCGAGCTAGGGGAATTATTGTAATTATTCCCTGGGCTTGACCAGCAACGTACCTGGTACCGGTAGAGCAACACGAAAAGACATCTACTTTACAAGTACTGCCGCTTTTCTGGTCGACGGAAGACAGGGGAGCTCACGTGCACCGGTACTATTCTGCATGCCCTGTCCTGTGTAGGGTTACCGTGGCCATTGATGAAGGGTCTTTTGTTCAGGGGGCCCAATATCTCCACGGCTTTACCATTCTCTCCGCATGTCTTTACACTCTACGGAGACAGACCTCAGAGCGAGTTCACTTTCCCCAGATTGTCAGTGGACTAGCCGTACCTACTACTACTAGTATCGTAGCGTCAGCGTAGCCACACGGGACTGTCACCATGACTGTGACTGTGCGGGGATCGTTTTGGGAAGTCTTCTGGACTTGCTGTCTGCAAGATACTCGTACGCTAAGCTGCGGTACTAGCACTGTACATGGAGATAGGTTCGAGGTTGGACTAGGCGGGGCGGGACAGGCTCATCATCCGGAGGGAGCGTAGAGCTGCCCGTCCTTGCTTCCTCCCGCCTGTTCGTTGGATGAAAAGAACGCTCCTGTGACCTCGTCCCTTCTTTTCTTAATTATTGAAGCTTCTATTTTGGCTCGATTTTGGCTGTATCAACATGTCCCCCAATATTAATTTTGGCAGCATTCCATCCAACGAACCGCTGACCTGCCAAAGCACTCGTCAACTCCCCTTCCCCAAACACGATTCGCTCCTTTCACAAACGTTGTCCCCCCGCCCGTTCCTCCTCTACTATCCTCTCCTTCTCGACTACCGGGAACCTTACTCATATAAACTTCAGCCGGCTGAGCCCTTCTACCGCTGGCCGTTCGTTGTCACCGCCAACTCTCTTTCTTGCTCCTAAAAAGTGTTCCGTGGCTGAGGACCATTTAAGTATGGTATGTCATGTCAAGAAGTGCTGGATCTCATGCGAACATGCTGGAGCCACACCAGCCGGCGACCATTATTGGCCCACTCACGACGGGTGCCCCTCCTATGCGTCCTTAGCGCTGAGAACCCCAACCACCCCCCCAGACTCTCCCCTTTTCTCGGAGACCCATACCGACGTGCCGGAACAAAGCACACTGTCACCAAAGGAGTCCTCCGTAGACCTCCGCAACGCGGAGGAACCTTGTCCCACTCGGGGCTCTGGCTGGCTGGATTGAGCTTTTCAACTGAGGCTATGTAGGATGTAGAAGAGCCTTCATTTTGATCATATCAGGTGGACACCGCGGAATGGAAAAATTCGAAAACCTCCTCAGAACACCCGTCAAGCAAGGCAGCGTTCGTCTTGGCCCGAATAGATTGTCCAATAAGGAATCGGTCCTTAGAAGCTTTGGTTGTCCTGTGCAATGCCTCCCCCCCTCGTCTGGAGCCGGCGCCAGGTCTGCAGTCAGCTCGAAGAGGAGTTACACGGCATGGCTATTCAGATATTCATGGTTCCATGGATTTTTTATGGTAGTGTGGTCAGCGGGCTGTCGCAATGTTTTTCACTTCTTTCAATATCGTGGGATCCACATGCAGGTCGTGAAGTCAGCCCAAGAGCCCTTCTTTCTTTTTTTGCACCATTTGTTCCTGCGTACTTGAAGCGAGGATGTTTTCGATCCGAAAAATCTGGCTCGCGTTAGTGTTTTCCAAATGGGAAGTAACATGGCAACATGCGACCTTTCAAGTAACTTCACCAGGTTCATTCATCAAACCAGTATTAGTTGAACTGTGTCTTGCTTGTTCCAGCAATGTTTCCAAATTGCCGTTTCAACCAGATTGATCCAGAAAAATTCATATTATCTCTGCCGGTTTTCAACACAGATCAGTTACAGAACTTTCAATACTGCGCGTCCCAGTGCCGTTGCAGCTGCCCCCTGCCACAATTGTCGTACAATAATCCGACATGCTGGTTAGCAGGTCACTGTTTCATTATTGGATTTTTGAACAATTTTCAGGACTTGATCCCCTCGTTGATCCATTTGATAATATTGACGGATCTTCTTCAGCGTGTACTGCTTGATATATTATTAATGTACTCGTACCGTGCCTTGAAAGCTTGTTTCCGGAAAACGTGTACTCTTCAGATGAAAATAGTAGGGTGTTTTACTCAGGCCTACGGTCCTCCGAAACCCTATATTTAGAACAGCCCCCAATCAAAAGACCAGATTATATAGTATGTGGAACTAACCCTTTGTCTATCAAAGTTGAGTTTATGAGGATGTGGACATCTTTACTCTTCCGACACTCAGCTTGAAAGCATTATCGTCCAAGAATCCCAACGTAGCAATGTTCCAGAAGCCGAAGCCGCCAACCAATCTTGAAAGCCCTTGTCAAGCTGATATTTCCAGGCCTCACATCTCGACGCCACTCTCCATGCTATTTCGATACCGTCAATTCTAGAGCGTCTCTATCCATGACGACATGAGAGCTAGCTTCAAGAAACTTTCTTCGCATATTTCCATTGCCATAACCCTATCGCATCCTTCGATTTGCATCCTGTAATTGCTCCTGGCGAAGCTTACTGGCATCAGCCATGATGACCCGGGAGTCAGCCGGATCTCCTCGTGACACTATCGTATTTACTGAAGGATGGCATCCCTTCAAGCCAATGAAGCCATTCGTGGCGCTTGAATATGGGCCGAAGAAGATGATTTTTGCGATCCTCCCGTGTTGTACTGCGTCTCGGGTGACTCGTTTTGGTGACCAGCCGCTATTGAAGCACGAGCTTATCGATTTTATGTTGTAGCTATTCGTATAAGTAGACTGTATCGCTTGTGTTGTGGGCGTGCTAAACGAGGCCAGAGTTGCGCTATGAGCGATGGCTTTCTGTCCAGAGAGGTAGGATTCCAGAAATCTTCAAGTCGCCCTAAAGATTATAGTATAAATCCGGAGTGCCCGAGTGGTGATAGAAACAAGAACATCTAGTCGTCCTTCGTAAAATGGCTCCCCTCCTAATTGCGTAAACGTGTTTTACTTCGTATCTTCTATCGTAGGTAGCTTTTTAAGCAAACGCCAAGCCCGGTCTTCGCGTCCGAGTGCGCCTTTGGCGCGCTACCGTGTCATCATGATTGCGGCCTGTCTCGCTACATAGCATGAAGTCATTGACATGTCGGTATTTTTGAAGATGCAATTCGTATTGAGTGCAATTTAGCTGGGGATTACTTCGTTTATTTTCTTGACGTCTAGAGCCTCGGAGGGTATATGGATTGGTGGAAGTTCTCAACGTCTCTTATTTCGTACCACCGCAGAGCTGCGACCTAACATCACACAACATTGAAATGCAAGAGGCTCGATTTTCTCATTTAACTATATTTATGTTTTCTTTTTCTAAAATTATCGATTTTGGATGTTACTGAGCAGACGTCTTGAATAGAAAATTTTCTACTCAAGTAACTGTTGTAAAATTTATTTATACCCCAGAGTGCCGCGGGCGTTATTTCCGGCAAAGGTTCACTTCGTAAATAGACTAATCTTCAGACACTCGGCTCGGACATATAAAAGCTTAGTTTACTTATAATGTGGTCTTTCCATTTGAAGTCTTTTCTAAAAAGCGGGTCTGGGAGGGCCGAGTGTCTAATAAAACACTCCCGCTCTTTATCTGAAAATACCCCGAAGGTTTTCCAGAAACAACGCCCGCGTAAGAGCGTGGTAATCAAGAACTACTGTCGAGGTCCACATTGTTCCTGGAATCTCGTTTGATATGCCGGGCGCCTTTTTTTTCCTTTTACACTTTTCCTGTTTTATATCTTCTTACTTTTCACTTTTATCCAGGAGCTGAAAAGTCCTTCATTACAACCTCGATACAAGGATGCTCGATATAAGGCCTCGCTTATTTTCTCAAGACTTTGGGTCCCAAAACTTTTTACACCTACTGTAGGAGGACCCCGCCATCTTCAAATATAAGGATGACCTTGTTCGCCTGTATACTTCTATGCTTAACAAACCTGGGCTCGTCATAATCGTATATTAGACTTTAACAATAAGCAGAATTATAGGCGATATAAGAACTGCTCTCTAGGCCTGTAGTGCGAAAAAGAAATACTCGTAAAACTCTACAAGGGACTGCCTTGGCGCGTGTTAACTCTGCCTTTTCGCGAATGCTTATACCTCCGTACACTGGTAGCGCATGGGCGTTTTCCCTGTAGACGAAGTGTCAATCGGTTTGAAGTAAAACGTCGCAATATAAATAACTCTTTGTTCCATCACGCCCGTGGCATAGCCACAATTGGCCAGATACCGGATGCCAGATTTGGCCGAATAGACAGGACGCGTAACTCGTGTTTTCATACTGTACTGATACTGTTGGCCGAACTGATTAGATGTGTGACCCGTGTTTTTCATACTGTACTGGTAATGTAGGGGAGTGAGTTTGGTTGAGTGGTATCATGTTCATGTCCGTCACATGGCCCGTGCTCTGCGGCTCCGCAGGGCGTATGTTCAGTACTCGTATCTGGGAGACTATTTACATACGTTTCTTCACAGGCACATTCTACTTCGAAGTATGCCCAACTTAATTCGGAAAAATATACCCCAAGCATCGAATAATCATGAATCAATATATAAGAGTCCTTCCAAAGACTAGATGCTCTTGTTTCCTGGTTGCTGTACTATACAGTATGATGTATGATGTCTTGTTAGAGTTGCGTGAAATTACAATTCCCATGATTTACGAGTACTTCGTAGGAGAACCTACTCGCAAACATTCGGACGTTTACTCGTGTTCAATTCCCGAACAGTGTGTATCCTGGGCTGTCCAATTGTCATCTCGGTCAATAAGCCTTTGCATCCTGGATTTCCCGGAAACGTTCGGACGGGGAACAAGAATTTAAACTGATGCATTTCAACTCTAACGTCATTGTCACCATCAGCCGTAGCGAAGTCATTTTGTAAAGCATGGAAACGGTGATCGGTCTCATATCTTTAGCGCATAAAACAAAAACTACCGTAGCCTTCTGGGCTCAGATGATCTCAACTCAAGAAGCTTACTTGTACTTCTAAAAATGGCTACGAGATGAATGAAAAACTCTAAGTTGACGAGCCTTTCCAACGTGTTATTATTACAACTTAATGATGCTCTCGTCGGCCTTGGTAAACTCCGAATTTGCTGTATATAAAGGCAGCTTAGCTTCCCGTTGTTGTCTCTTCACTGCCACTGCGATTGCCATCCTTCGCTTCAGTTCAGACAGTTCAATAAACAACCTTTCATCATGCACTCAACCACATTCCTTGGGCTTATGACGGCTGCCCTTATGCCTCTCTCAACTCTAGCATGCGGCAACTACCGTGCTGAGTTCACCAAAGATGGAGATCCAAACGAGCCGTCTATCTCTAAGATTCGAGTCGAATGGGAGGATGATTGTAGAATTTTCTGCGGCACCGACGGCCAATTCATCGAGTCTACATCAGACGACGAATGGATCGTTCCTTGCAGAACTCCTGAGATAGTTCTGGTAGTCAAAGCCCGCGGCAACACCGTTGAGTACCGCCGTAATGGCGGGTCAGGCAACGAGGAAAACTACACCTTCAACACCAAGAGTCTCACTGACAATCCTAAAACTGGCGGGAAATACTTTGCACACAACCCCTACTGCCCACCAACTGTCAATGGCTTCTTGGTGGCCGGCGGCCCGATCCCTTGGCCAAAAACTGGCTTCCAACTTGCGACTTGCCCAACGCCCTCCCCGACGCCAAACCCAAAGCCGAAGTCCAAAAACAAGCGAAGTCCTTTTACTGGTTAAGGAAGAGGGATCTGTTGGTGGAGAAAAGATTGTTGGAATACCTTTTTGTGATCGCGTGGACAAGGATTCATTATGGGATTGGAGTGGCACTGAAGGTCAAGGAGAGCGACTGATTACTATGCCCGATGATTGCTCTTTGAATTCATCGCAAGTCACAAATAAGTAGAATTCAATTGAAAAGACCTTTCCATATACCTTTTTTCCTATTGCGTGTGAAAGCATAGTTATCAATGAAGCATGAAGAAGTGTAAAGTTTGTCCCTCAAGCCTGTTATATCATCCATAGCTGTTATGACGTACAAGTAAATCACACTTTGTTTACTTCGTTTGGTAGCACTGCCAATAGCAACGGTTACGAGCGTTCCACGGGAGGGGTAGCCTAGTCAGTATAGCCAGCATAGTCAGCATACCCAGGTGCTATAAACGCGTTAAAGTTTTGATGCCCAGATTATGCCTCGCTAAGTTGAATCGAAACAATTCTACGAAGCCCATCACTTTAGCAAACTCAAGTAAGAGCTGTGAACAAGTGCAGTGCCAAACATTTACACTATTCATGACGTAATAGAGGTGCCAGTAGTCTAGGAATCTCTGGATTCAGATGACAGTTGATACTTTCTACAAACCGTTTTCAGATGGTAACGTTTTTCTACCAGTTCAGGCAGCCCCACGTAACGGCGTCATAGGCGCACTTTGTAGGAGTGTAATAGCAGAACTCAGCCCTTCTCGCCACCCCCACCCCCTACCACTAAAACAAAAGTTTCTTTTAGTATGTGGAGCTACCATAAAAATAACCATTTGTTTAGGGCGGGGAAAGTAGTATGATAAGATCTTCATCGCGCTTAACAAATCTAATAAGCGATAATCAAGCCGTATTTTATAAAAAGCCTAAATTTTATCGTTTACCAGGAATCCATGCTCCACAAACCAAACCCCTCCCCTTTGTTTACACAGGCAGTACTATGCCCCCCTCCCCCTTCCCCTAAATAGAAGGTAATTTTGTGCAAAGTAGGTACATTTTATGGGCTTTAGCGAAGCCTACTCTAGCTAATCAATTAAACTAACTGTAGCATGCTACTACAGCAGTAACTAGTTGGCCCACCAAATAAACTCGAATGCGTGTAGTTTTATCAGTAAAAACTAGAATTTACACTGCCTCCCCCAGAAACTTCAATTTGTACCCACTTTGCACGAAATAACCTCTTGTTTAAGGGGGGAGAGTATAAGAGACTTAGAACGCAGGGACTAACCCTTGAAGGGCCCACCCCTAAGAGCACACGTGCTGTATTAGAAGTTCGCATTGGTTTCTCGAGTCTAGACTCCTACTGTGAACACCTCTAATAATTCTTCTAGTACCTGCATAGCTTTCTGTCTCCCCAACATTCTTTCCCCGCAATCATCGGCCATTCTCTTTTATTTTCGGCGATTCTATCAAAGTCACTCTGCTTCCTAGTGCTGTATTTGACAGGGGCATATGTTAATCTCACTCATCATAACTAAATCTTCAACAAGCATTGTCACCCAATCAACCACAGTCTCACTTTTCAGTTACCTCATGATGGACATCTGACAGGTAAATACCCGGGCATGGAACCTGCGGATTGTCACACAGAATTTGGACTCGAAGAATAATGACTTGCATTTCACTCCGTGTCACGGTTCCAGATGTCAGCGTGGAGAAAGTCACATACATAAAGTGCTTAATCAGCCACAGTCAGCTTCACCAAATTTCAAACCAAGCATCGGATCTTAGCCCCCGAGTTCGAAACTTGCACTTCAAGTTGAGCCTCTTTTCTGTCTCAAAATTAGCACAATACATACATAAACCTCGTCTATGCAATCTGCCTTCACATGTGTTATATGAGCCCAAGCATCCAGCATCTAGTACCCGCTCCACCAGTAGCAGAACACCAAAAAGCGGCCCAAACGATCCTTTTACAACCCTTTCAGCCATAAGCTTGAATACAAATTTACCTTAAGTCCGTAATTGGCGGAAGCAATTTCTCCACGTATGAGAAGCGTCGACTAGGACGCCATCATCTCCACCTTATTAGGTGTGCGTTCTTTGGTCACATCACAAGATATGTTGTGGCCTGACCGCCTCGCACATCCCTTGCTGATATCGCCACGAGAATGCCTCGTGTTTATCCAGTGTCTGCGCCTCTTTTTCATTTCGTCTAGGTTAGGGTTCGAAAAGTACAACCTATGTCTTGCGACTTCTTGCGCTGCGTCGTATGTTACTTGAAATCTGGCGCCTCTTTACAAGATAGTTACAAAAACGATTAAAGTAGCTACCTTGAATACCTAGGTAAAACTAAGCCAACTGGTGGACTGAATCTCACTCTTGCAACAACAATACTAATTAAAATGGAAATTGAAACGATTAAAGTACTTGTTGAAACAGTAGACATTACTCCTAATTTAATTAGTAAAGATTAAGAGATATAGGTCTATAAACTGTAGTACTCATTCGTTCCAGCATATTAAACTCGAGTAGTTGAGTCGAGTAGTTGAGTCGAGTAGTTGAGTCGAGTAGTTGAGTCGAGTAGTTGAGTCGAGTAGTGGCACCTAATTAACTCAACTCGAGTAGTGAAAATCGGTATTCAACTAAACTCGCCGAGTAGTCGATCAACTCATGAATAACTCGAGTACTGTCGGCCCGATGCCCGGAGCGCACCCGGGCTCGTTAGCCGAACTCCGGGCGGGCGGTCCGGCTATTAGGACTTAGCGAGAGTTCCCCTGCCCTGGAGCTAATACCCTATACTCTATAACTTTCACTCTGCTAGTAGATAGAACGCTTGATTCAGTTTAGCCTTAGTGCTCTTACTAATTAGAATAGTATAATGCTACTAGCTATATTTAATTAGGACGTTCTACTTACTAGTAGAGTAGAAGTTATATAGTAAGGGATAATCTTAAAGGTTAGGAGCAGGGTCTCTTTATATATAGTTTGATGACGTTCTATACAATTACTCGAGTATTACCCGAATAGTCGAACCTACTACTTAACTTAACCTAATAACAGAAACACCTAATTCATCTGACTCAACTCGAGTACTACTCGAGCTAAGCTGATTAGTTGATTAGTTTTATTAATACGCTGGAAATTTCGTACATAACGTTCTCTATAGAAGTTTGAGTCATAACTCATAAACTAAATACATATCTATGAGATTCTCCTCGAGACATTTTACCTCTCTACTCGTACACGTAATCAATCCCAACCGACCCAAAGTGCTGATATTGTATTTCTAGTTCCCACCTCCTCCTAGTATCCTCAATTGAATGCTTTAAAAGCTCGTAATGCTCATCTTCCAAAACAAGGCCATGCTCGTTCTGCCAGCGCACGCCTTGAACCTTCCCCGCGGGTTCAACTGGTTTCCATTCATAACACCTGATCCGACGATACGCCGTACATGATTTCCCATTGACAAAAAACTTTGTGTCTTTATCTCCAAGTTGCTTTAGATGAATAGATAGAATCTTCCAAGTATTCCCATCTTTGACGTCACATTGCAACACGGCGAGGGGTGTAGACATGTCATTCTTGTCATCTGCTGGAATTTTCAGCAATCTGAGTGACAATCCGACATTTGTCATGGCATACGGTGACAGGTTCACCGGATGCCAAAGTCCTAACTCTGGCGTCTCACGGAAATCAGTCGGGGACCTTGCAAGGAGCCCGCTGCTCTGGTAGTCGCCACGCCAAGCAAAGATAGTCTGATCAAAAGATACCTGCATTATCTCATTTTGCAATCTTCTGAATGCTTTATGTGAGCCTTCGCCGTATATGACAGGCATGTTGACATTGAACAATCCCATCAAGCTACAAGCCATATCTTCATTACGGGTAGTTTGGCTCTTTGAAGCCCAACACATTCGTTGAGCGACGCAAAAACTTGGTATAGTATCTCTGTCTCTGAGGGCTCGCTCATCGATGTTCGTTATCTCGGTCACTAGGCTGAGCAAATTTTCCCAGTGGTCAATCAAGGACCAGTCTTTGGCGAAAAGCTTTCTTATCTTTGGTGCTAATAGCTCCTTAATTTAGGATCTTGTCAGCAATGGAACACTTAATTATTCTTAACAGAATCTAGTATCGGATTTTACCTGCGTTGTCCAACGTCGGGTGAACCACCGACTAGCTTTCATAAACGCAATCTGAACTTTATGATCTATCCCTCCCTCGGAAATTGGCCATACATCATCAAGGAAGATAAAACATTCTGCCGCATCATAATAATATGCATACATAGAGTTGATAGCCTCAGACAGTTCTGCACTGTTCCTCTTGTCGATACAGCATGTGTCCACCCATCCGTACTCGAATCCGTGCCTTTTGGTTAAAGCACAAAATTTTGTTATCTTTTGGTATCCTGCCTTTGATCTGGCTGTCTCATTGTTGCTCTCCATCTCGGAAAATGAGATCTCTTCGTTTCCCCAAGTGTGTGACAGAATAACGTACGGGGGAACCTGGGAGTCGAAAAATTCCTTCATCTCAAGAGTATGAGTATTGAGAAGTCTCATGATGGCTATATGATGACTTGGAATGATTTCAAAGAGTATAGTGGCTGTTACTTGATTCGGGTGAGGTTCGAGGGATGTGAGACTTTGTTTTTCTCTCTCTGTGATGAATGGTCGAATAAGCGCCGTAGCACACTGGAAAGTCGCGTTTCTGAACCACTAAGTAACATACAACTTCCGTTTAGGAAAATCTTGAACATGAAACTCCGATAATATCTACGAGAAAACAGAATGAATTTGTTCTGCCAGACTCACAAGGCATTACATCACGCAACTGCATTGAGACTCGATAAAACTATCTTTCATGATGAAACGTGCAAATGCTAAAAGTGTGTATGTGGGAAAAGATTTCGAATTGCCTATATCGAAATTCGGAAAACAATTTGCCTAGTATGCTCGATCGAAAACAAAGAAAGGTGACTAAGAGCTTCCAACGCCCTTCGGAAACAAGAAAAATGTTAAACAGAATCCTTCTCAACTCCTGTGTCTCCTTCCTCCAAACACCCACAGTGCCAGTATAGATCTAAAAGATAGTCAGCTTCCATTCAATTATCATGAAGAATCTTCTTACTTACCCAGCGTAAGAAGCAACCGCATTTGCGACTGAGTTACCGAGCTGATAGCAGTTGCCAATCTTGTAGTCGGGAGATGAGGAATCTACCCAACCCTGACCAATAGCCCCTGGAAGACTGCCACAGTTGTCAGGCGCGAAGAAGTACACCCACTGATGCGAGCCACCCCAGGCCGTGATTTTGAAGGACCTGAAACCCTCGGGCCAGGTAGCACAGGTGTTCTCCCATACATTGACGCCTTGTTGGACGCCACTACCGCAGTTGATGTCGCTGAAGGTGTCCATGACGAAGGCGGATCCAGTTGCAGTGAGTCCAGCCATGATGGCGATGGAGGAAGTGATTGAGAAACGCATTTTGAAGAGGAGAAAGATTTTGAAAGTTGGAAGATCTGAAATGATTTGATAGGGTATAGAGTGAAAGATGAAGTATGGACTGAGAGAAAAGGCTCGAGCTGCTGAAGTATCTGACACTGATGCGTGGTGGTGATTTGGAGTTGCGAGAGGAAGGGTTTATATACTTGACTTAACTCTACCATCTATCTATGCTCGCTTGACTCCCCCAATGCATTCTATTTTTGCTTGTTTGTTACATAGCCCGCTCGTTAACCGCAACCAATACCTGAGTTCTTCAGACGTCATCAATTAAGGATTCTCACAATCTTACGAGACATTGTTCCCACTTGACGTACGTTCGCTTTCATCCTCCAATGCTCCATTCATTATAATTTGTTGAATGGCCTAATAGTCTGTGGTGCCTCACTCTGCGCTGTCACTTGGCTAGATGCCAGGCTGACTGATGTATGGGGATCAGCATATAAGCTTTAGTTGACGTAAAATCATCATTTTTTGCCTAATTAGAGAGAAGATTTGCTATGAATTTCCAGAATTGTTCTTGTGCCCTCTGTCACTCTTGTGGTAGACCTCTCGCACATCCAGGCTGAGTGCACCTCTTGGATAATAAGAAACCTGGATTGCGTCTACATCCATAATTAAGGTATATTTGTGTCTATTCGTATACCAATGGGAAGTAATACGCTTTTCGCACGCTTTTCTGGCTGTATGTTTCTTTCAGGTGCGAGAGTTCGATCCACTATGCCTCTGTAAATAGTCCAACTGAGTACAATTACAGCAAACTCGTACATTATGCACCACTAACGTGGTTTTTTTCCGCCTACTGAGCCTCACCTAGCGCGCACTTTTAATTGGTGGTGCTGTACGACCTTTCACAGCCAAGCACATACAGTACTACAATGGTCCCAGCTCCTAGCTGGGCTGTGCCACACTCGACTCACGCCTACCTCAACAACTCACCCTCTTTTCCCAAGGGAAAAAAAAATGATGCAGATCATCTGCCGATCACCTATTTTTAACCAATCCCTCAATTATCCCTATTGATCTTTGAAATAACGAGTAATAGCAATTCTCTTGGGAAAATGTGAACTAAAACTGAAATTGATATACCTAATCGCAGAATCAATAATAAAGACTTTCTCAAAGGGCACGGAAAACAGCCTGGAATTAAAGCACCAAAATGTCTTGAAATGCTCTGATATGACTTGCCAAAGGTATTTAATAAAGTCTAGTTGTATATGCAGGGAGCTGGTAAATCGACTCCCCCCCCTCGCCTATTTGGTGGTCCGAGCTTTAGGTGCGTTATTCGCAACAACTCTACCTTTCTCTCAACACCACGCATTAAAAGCACGGAAACCCCCTTTTATATATATATTGTATATATATTATATAAGGAGTATTTTTTTAAAAAAAATTAAAGTTAATAAGTTTACTTTTGGGTAAGTAATTATGTCTTATGAAAAGTCCGTCCGTAGCTATACTACAATATTTATTTACTACTAGTAGCCCTATCTATAAGTATTACAAATAATAAATAATTAGAAATAAAATTAGTTAAATTAAATTGTACAACTAATTGTACAAAAAGCTCCTTCTTAAAGTTTACAAGAGTCTAGGACGCTTGTTCGCTCTTATAGAGCCTTCAGATAAGTGCTAGGGGACTCTTGTGACAGACGTGCTTCAGGTAGAACTCAGAACAATTAACACTCTATTCTTAGGACAAAAGACGAGGAAAGAAGGAGAGCTCAAGAGAGCTGGGAACTAAATACAGGTCGTGCGCGCTAGCGCCTCGCTAAGCGAGCATGTGACATCCAGCCCTCGTGACCATAACCGTCACAACTCTAGTAGTTCCGCTATATTTCACGAAGACGTTGTACGCGAGAAGTAGGAATAGCTTCAAGGTCTAGTTAAAAGTACATGCGCTAGTAAAAAAATTTTTATTGCCCCACTACTAGCTAGAAAGACATCCACTTCCCCAAAAGGGCACTATGTTTACTACTAAGTTAGGGGCAGTGAATTTCCATAAGATTAGGCGAGGAGGGGGGGAGTCGATTTACCTAACCCCCGGGGTCGATTTACCAGCTCCCGTATATGCACTAGCTACAGAAGGATAGACTAAAAGAATTTCCAAATCAAGTAATGAAGAGATACTGAATTGTGTTTTTTTTTGGCCCAGAAAAAATGGCAACCACTCTCGTATATCCTATCTGATATGAGTCATGAGGGGGCCAGTAAATAATTAACTACTAAGCATATACCATTGCTGTTTTTGCATCACAGCATCTGAGTTAATATGGGCTAGCGGTTATTCTATCACGAAGTAGTACGTATTTACTGCCTGTACCTTCTATTAATAGATAGCTCTTATTCTAAGCGAGAATTATGGGAGACTAGAGTATATTCATTTTCGTATTATAATGTTTTGAGCCAGTCATATGGCGATGTATTCTATTGTCCTATTTGTCAACTAGAACCTGGTTACCTTTTTATGTATTAAACCTATAAGAGTTATATTTTATTAATAAAAAATGATATCAGGGAAGATTAGGTAGAACGTGAAATTCCTACTAGCTAGCTAACTATCACCTATAGTCTATACCAACACCGGCAGATTTTAACCGGTGTAGACAAATAATAACCACATTTGACTTATAACGACGGCCACTAATAACTATATCCAAGGAGAGAAGCACATATTCTTCATGCTCCTTACTATACATGGATGGGGGTCAAAGTGATTTTGAACGACTCTCGTTCCGCAGCTGTCGCCTTCCTCAAGTCACATTTCGATTGCCTTTGGAATGTGAAAAGCAATTTCCCTGTTAGACTTACTACCTGGTTACACAAATTAAGAGCGGGAGGGTTTAGGGTCTTCCAATTAAAAGAATCCTCAAGGGTGAAATCGATTTCTTGTGCAACAAGAGACGGACTTGAACGAAGCTGACACAGATTCACTTCCATACCCGACGCTAACTTCACGTACTTAATAAGGATTGAATTCTCCCACTTCCCACCAGTGGTGCGAACCTAACTTTGACTTGCGAGCTTGCGAGCAAGGAAAAGTTCAGGTGAGCGCCGGAGGTCGGGACCTGAGATTGAAGCCATACTAAGTGGACCTGGTGAAGTTATTCACAACCCCCACTTTTGAAGTGACGTAGTAAGAGAAAAAAATACCTTACACGGGAAACAAATACTAAAGAAAAAGACAAAAAAAATATCAATTGGAGAATGCAAGAATCGAACCTTGGATGTTATTAGTAGTAAACCTTGAAATTAGCGCAGGTATAGACTTACTCGCGACCTCTCCCAGTCGTATGTCTCAAAGAGAACATGCTAAGGGAACATTATACCACTAAACCAATTCCCCTGTGCTTGTTTTTCGCTGAGGTGGAACTCGTTATTTAAAAACTTTAAAGTAAAGTCTGCCAAGACATTTCTCCGTGTGGTGAAGACCTTGAAAGTGGATCACAATTAGAGTTTTGGTGGTTCAATTGCTTGGAAGAACATTGTGGTTGGTTCAGTTATCGTTTTTGACAAGGAAAGTTTTAGCAAAGTGGATACAATTACTCTACAATTAAGTACACTTTTCTTCAGTAAAAGACGTGCTCGTTACCCTGTGCAGATACGGCATCCCAAATCTACTACTAAACTAGATGACTAAATCGCAAATCGTAAATCGCAAAAGTCATATATTTACTACTACTATGCTAGAGTGCCTATAGCCCCACCCTCGCTCAAACTTCGTAGCCTTGAAATTTTCACGTGTATACTCGCTACCCTTACTGTCGCACCCTTACTGTCGCAACCCCGCTGTCGCACCCCCGCTGTCGCCTATACTCACTGTCGCATATGGGTTGTACCCTAGTATGTTATTTAGAAGAGAGAGAGAGAGAGAGAGAGAGACAGAGAGAGAGGGTAGCGGAGGGGGACAGAAGTCGGGAAAAGTTTTTAGTCGTACGTGTCACTTATCCCTAGCCCCCGAATACTACCTTCCTAAGGAGGTTAGGCTAGCACGTGTTACGCTAACAATTGTTTGCTACTTGTCTGTCCTCTCTCTCTCTTACTTTCTCTTCTCTTACTTTACAACAACCCTTTACGACTACGACAGCGATAGTAATAGCGAAAGTAATAAGAAGGAATAGGGGGTATTTGTTTACTAGGAAAGGGGGGCCCGGTAGGTCACGTTATAACAAACCCTATAAGACAACCTAGGGAGAGGGGGTCGGGAGTAGGGGTATATAGCTAGTACGTACAAGACACGTGTAGGTGGGGGATAGGGGAATAGAGAGGGGGGATGTTATACTAAGAGGGGGGCGTAAGAGGGCACACCTGCTGACTTATAGTCTAGAGGACTTATAATTATACTATACAAGATATTTCAGAATAACCCGAGTTTATTATCTAGGTAGCTCTACCTACCTAGGTAATATAAAGTAACTTTTACTATTTGCGATTTACGATTTAGTTATCTGGTTTAGTAGTAGATTCGGGATGCCGTGGCAGACCTCTCTTAGAACAATATTATCCTAAAGCCTTATATAACTAAAATAGTTGTATAGAAGGTTTGGAACAATTGTTAACGCTTAATTTTCACTACCCTAGGTATCCTAAGACAATTATTTTACTTGTGCTTGAAGTCTAACATTTTATAGAGTGTGTACGGAGTAATGACCAGTTATCTTACTCACCACCTCACCATGGATTTAAAAATGACTTGTGAATCTTGAAATATATGCGTTTGTGATTTAATTTGTCTTACACAACCTTAGCAGATAAATTCCATCAACTTGAATGGAAATGCAGGTGAGTAATATGTTCACAAAAGTTTGCAGGTTGAGAAACACCAGAAGTGAATCTGATCTCTCCTCCCGAAATGTACTCCATCAATGTTACATTCACTTCAGATGAGCAAGAATGTTGCGTTCATATGTTCAGGCAACGGAAAGACCCAAATCTTTTGTTGGACATTGATCATTGGCAATTATGTTTATTCATTCTATCGAATCGCAATAGCAGAGGAGACTCTTGCGTTCGCTTCTCTCCCTCGATGGATACAGTACTAGCTGTGGCCGAAGTGTAATTCTAATTCTCCTCGACCAAGTGTGAGTGACACCACGCTTAATCTCAGAATAACATCCTCAAAACACCATCAGTTTACTAACTACATAATAAAAAAAGAACATCCCAAAGCCAAAGTCAAGGTAGCAGCACCAAAAATAGGACTAACCACGGCAGCCGCACTTTTCTTGGGATCTCCGCCTGTCGTTCCATTTGATTCTTTTCTGGCTCCTGGGCTGAGATTTGTGATGCCCTTCAAACATGTAAAATGAGCTTCGGGCTTATCAATGAGAGTACCATTTCCTGGGTAAAAAACTGTGAGAATAGGGGTGATGCTGTAGAGGGCTTCTTCAATGGTTGAGGCATTATAATCGCTCTCCAGTGGGATTAGCGTTTGGTCTTATAAGAAGCAGCAAGAGACATACCTGACTTGGGACAGTATTGACAAGTGTCAAGTCGTCGCCCTTAGGTGTGATTGGCCAGCAGTTGGAGGTCGAGTTCGCAGTCGAGTTGATTTTGGCAGGCGCATTTTCTCCCGAGAGTGCTGCAACAAATATTACTTTTAGGACTTCCCATTGCAAGGGGATGGGACAAACTTACGCAAAACAGTGAGACCATCCCAAGGAAGGTTGTCGCACGATTTGGGCGAGTTGTCTTTGAATCTGTTGAGAAGGGTCCGACATGCTTCTTGACTCGACATGCTAAAGCCATCTGCAATATCTAAGGCCGTCTTGGATAATCCATCAAGGCAAGAGGGATCGATGGCATCTTGACATTTTCCTGTTGAAGACTTGATGTCATTACCGTTTTCTGGGAACTTGACACCGCGAGCCTTGTTGAAAAAGACGGCGCATCCGCCGGTACCGTTGAGGTTGGTGCTTGGTGGTGTGCCGAGGTAGAAGTTCTTTTCAAAAGTTCGGCTCTTGTTTGGTTCGTCATCTGTGACTGCAACGCCTTCAGTCCATGAAAGTCCATTGAGAGCAGTTGAAGTGCCAGGAATTCGTGCTAGCCCGATGGTGTAGAAAGATTTATCAACGACGTTACAGTTAATGCTAGATCGATTCTCTTGCAAAGGGCAACCGATATCAGCACATCCGACAATCTCCTTTGGCAAATTCTGACCATGGACAACTGCGAAGTTTAGAGCCGCAAATGTCAAGGAGATGCGACGGAGAAACATGTTGAGAAGAGTGTGGTAGCTGCTGGATGACAAGGGTGTAAAACACGGTTGACTGTAGGTTAAAGACTGAGCGTAAAGTAAATGTGTTGAGTTTGAAGGATGGAATTGAGAGTGTAAGAAAGATTGGATACAGGAAGAAGTTCTGTAGCAGTCGAAAGAAATCTAAAATACCCTTGGGTATGAGGCGGTGTTGACCTGAAAATATACTTGGGCACAAGCTCCTGAAGCCCTGATAGGCTCAGCCCCTTGCGCCACCTGACTATGCTATTTTTACCTGTTCACGTGATTAACAGAAGAGATGACAGTGAATAGGCTTCCTGTTGTTCCATCCCTTTCGTTAAGAAAAATAAAACTCACCATTACCTAGGTTAATATTCTCAATCATTCTAGATTTCTGAAATAACAGCTAGTATCATCATAGTATGCTACTGAAATGATGAAAGTACTCACTGCCCATTTTAAAATTAGTATGACAGGTCAGAGATTGTCTGTTTATTATGGGGTACTCGTCAGCAACCATTTCTAAATAAGCGAGGTTTAGCGAGTCGGTGGCGCAGAGGATGTCAGCCACCTTCCAGAAAATGCCCCCTAATTGATGGTACCATTTCGTATATCGTAACTGCTCACCACATCAATAATGCAACACAAATGCAGCTTTGACCCCAATCATTAAAATGTGCTATCCGGAAATCATGTTTCTGACATTTGCATTGGTTTTTGAAGTGGAATGGTCACGCTGATTATCCTTAACTAAGTGGATTTTCAGCTTCTCATTATTCAAATCTCGGTGGATTAACCACTTGTATCTTCTACGTCGTACAATACGGTGATAGCCAGCGATGTTCATAGCCTCCACAGCCCGACCAGCCCAATAGCCGAGTAGGTCGATGCGTCCTAACCGCCATAACTCATTGGCGATGTCGCTAACACGTCATTCCTGCTTTCACAGTGCAGATTTCCAGCCTCGTTACAACCAAGATGAGCGCTTTGCATTGCGCGAAAAGGGATATTGCTGGGCTTCCATAATTCTGCTTGCAGTTATGTATAATTTTGTATTGAGAGGAAGGTCTGTTCTTTTTTCTTCTTCTTTTCATCTTAACATAGACCTTACTTTGCGTATCTTCTCCATCAAAGCTATATGATACCTTTGTAAGGCCATGCATAAAGTTGTTCCTTCTTTGAGCGCAAGATAAGGCGTTATCTTACTCGCAGGCCTATGATGTTGCTAAGCACTTTTGCATCCTACATGCGATTATCTGAGCTATTTCGAGACGACAACCTCACTTTCTGCTTTGATTTCGTTCTCTGTATCATGACGAAATTATGCTCTTAATCCTTCACGGGTCCGCTTAATTACCACCAGCACGAAGAAACACTTGAACAGTTACCAAGAGAGCCACGCTGACTTCATTTACCGCCGAAATACTTCCCTCAATTCAATGCAATGCATGTCTTCTACAGCTGACAGTACATCTCGGAGGAACGGGATCCTCAAAATCTAAATTAGAAAAGGATTCTACTGAGCTTTTAACATCGCAGCTTACAACGTGGTTAATCTCCACATTGCCAGAAAGAAAGATAAAAGATATGGATAGTCCGGATGAGAGGAACCACAACGACATCTCATCTTCTATTTTCTTTCCTCCTTCTTTCTTTCTTACTGCTTTTCATTCACTCACTATTTTTCAACACACTCATTAAATTTCTTCAATACTTTCTCTTATACACATTCGTTTCTTTCCAATAGCTTTCAAAGCTCCCACTCTTTCGTTCATATAATCAAAAATCTTTTCCGTGCTTTCAAGTCTATACAATGGCAGGACTAGTCGCCATCAATGTTATTGGAGTAGTTGGCGGACTACTCGGTATCTTTCAATTCGGCAAGGATAATTTCGCGGATAAAGGTAAAGGACCATCATCAGTGCTCAGAGTGCAGTGGGACTTGACGTTAAAGGAGGACTCAGCAACGGTGGAGGAGATCTTCCCGACGTTCGACTTTGGAATGAAGCTGGAGAATTTCTCGGAATGCACGCTGATCCAGGCAAGCTTAAGTCTGGAATAACGTCCGACATTACCATTAAACACAAGGATGGCAACGGACAACAGCCTACCTATGCCTTGTTCTCCGCCAACAATGGTGCCGTTTGCATTGCATACGTATCAATCACCTTTCCCGATGATAATAAATATGCTTGGGTAGCCGATTGGGCCCAAGAATGCAAGTCAAGTGCCACATGGTATTACTCCAATCTCTACGTAGATGGTGGAAAACATCAAGTATGCCTTCTCAATGGAATCCAAAGCTTCTTTATGCTAATCATTCAAACAGCCTCCATGCCTTTGGATTGACGGCAACGGTGACCAACCGCAAACCGGCTTCCAGCTCCACTGGCCAGAATTCAAGTCGGATTCCAACGGTCCACCACCAAAGAATGAGCAAAAAGCAAAGATCGACTATCTTTGCAATTCCGGCCCACCATTCAAGTTGCACTACAGCCGCGATCCAAGCAGTGTTAACTACTGGCTACCCAAGAGCAAGAGACAGGCTCATACCCGTGATTTCCCTTCCCCTATCTCTACCACTCAAGCCTACTCCAAGAACGGAACATTAGTTGCCCGCCCTCAAACTTCAGCACCAAAATACATTTTCACCGTCCCTTCCAATACAGCTGCCATCAAACCAATCAATGCAACACTACCAGCTCACAACCCTCACTTCAACAGACTCGTCATGAGTGACAGCCAGAACCATGCTGCCCGACGTCTCTTCGAGAGTAAGACTTCTGTTGGTCCTGATTTCATTAACGTGGCTGAGGGAATTTTCTGCTGCATGACCTCCAAGAAGACTTATCCTATTTGCGGACCTGGCAATGAGGATAGCTGCTTCAATTTGGAAATCAAGTCTTTGGTTTTTGGAGGGAAGGCTGCTAGGGATACCCCTTATACTGGAACGGTCGATTGGACTTCTTCTACCTCCTTCAAGGCTTAGGTAATTCTTCTCATGGGCATGTTTTCTGTTTCTGTTTTCTGTTTTCTCTTCTTTTGTATTGTGACCTTCCTTGATTGGAGTGGGGGATTGAATACTGGGGTTTAGTGATTTGTATTTGTAGTTTCAGGTAGAATTCAATTTAATTGGAGATCTTTTGCATCTTACTCCATAATTACTCGCCTAAGTCGCTTTGCAGGCCATAAGAATAAGGCTTGATGTAGGGATACTTTGTTAGATTTTTTCTCGAGTAATTTTGCTTCGGAAACTTTAGCGTAATAATAATTGAGAGAATATTGCTGAGAAATAATCCTCATCCAAACAATGTTCACTGATTGGTTCATACCAAGGCTCATAGAACAGAGTCCTGTTGAATGATGAGCCATTCTTTGCATGCCACTTGGGATTGAGAGAAAAATACCTATCCATCCCTGATGGGTTTTCCTTAGTCATGAGTTCTTCTCTGTGGCTCTGAACCATGATAACATTTCTGGATTGTATTCCAAAATGTTATGGGAATGAGTCGTCCAGAAGCGAATAGGTAGCAGGGGCTGACTTGATATCGGGACCGGGGCTATATCGGATACCGGGAGCATATCGGATCAGCAACCCCACCGGAACTTTGGGGGCGCGGGCGCGGGATCTTATCTCGCAAAAAAAAGTTATTTGTTCTGCATCTGGAGCTTCCAGAACGCGACGTCTCCCTCTCCTAACTCAACCTCAGCGACGCCATGGATATCCACCGCTGCCGGTTCGTACACTACCCCCCTTCGACGATTAATGCGCTCGCATTCTCCAAATCGCATATTACCGAAAAGGAGAAAACAGCTCCCCCAAGGCTTGCGGTTGGACGTGCTAATGGCGATATCGAAATTTGGAATCCATTGAATGGATCATGGTTGCAGGAAACGACAATTCGAGGCGGGAAGGATCGCAGTATAGATGGGCTTGTCTGGACCCAGGATCCAAATGAGGAGAATCATGGCAGTACGATAATTGGTAAATCGAGACTTTTCAGCATTGGTTATACCACAACCGTCACGGAATGGGATCTGGAAAAAGGTGTACCCTTACGCCATGTAAGCGGGAATCATGGCGAAATCTGGTGTCTTGCGGCGCAACCTCCGCTTGTGCCGGAAAAGAGAAAGGAAGGAAAAACTGCTGGTCAATGGGAAGGGCAGAATCTTATTGCAGGTTGCTCAGACGGAGCTCTGGTGGTTTACTCAACCAAGGACGAGAATCTCCAGCTACAGAAAGTTCTTATCCGACCATCATCAAAGAGGGCCAAGATAATTAGCGTCACTTTCAAAGACCGCAATATTGTTGTTGCCGGTGGTTCGGATAGTACGATCCGCATCTTCGATATTCGAAACGGCGCATTACTGAGGAGCATGTCATTGGGCGCAGGACCGGCTGGGGGACCAAAGGAAATTATTGTGTGGTCGGTCAAGGTGCTCAATGATGGAACAATTGTGTCTGGTGACTCGACTGGAGAATTGAGAATTTGGAATGGAGAACTATATACCCAACAACAGAGGATCAAAAGCCATCGACAAGATATTCTCAGTTTGGCAACAAGCGTCGATGGGGGGAGCATCATTTCTGGTGGTATGGATAGAAGGACCGTGGTATACAAACAAGTTGGAAAAGGAAAACTAAGATGGGCGGAGGCATCGCATAGAAGGTATCATAAACATGATGTTAAATCCATGGCGAGTTTTGAAAGCAGCAACATGAGTGTTGTCGTTTCTGGAGGTAATTCTGCACCTTCTCTGAGTCAAGCCTTTCTAACTTTGTAGGTCCTGATGCTTCACCAATGGTTATGCCACTCAGCAAGATTGGTTTCGAGAACCAGCGAGCGCTACCTTTCCTCCCACAAGAACCAATTATCCAAAGCTCAACTAAATTAAGATTGATGATGAGCTGGTGGGATAGAGAAATCAATATTTGGCGTCTTGGTAAATTTACAAAGCCAGTCGCGAATCCGGAAGTTGAAGAGGATCAAGTAGCACGGGATCGAAAATTAGTGGCCAAAATCTTGATTAAGGGTGAAGCAAATATCACCTCAGCATCTTTGAGTACAGATGGCAGTTTGCTTGCTGTGGCCACTGCCGAAGAGATCAAAATGTTCCAGCTTAGGCAGCGGAAATCAGAAGACGGGGAAGGTTTGAGAGTGTCCAAAGTCACCGTTCCTCTTGCCTTTTCTTCTGGAGCACGAATGGTCCAATTCTCACCCAACGGGCAATGGCTTTCCATCATCCGGTCCGATAGTAAGATTGCTGTGGCACGAATTATATCAGGCAACACTTCCGCGTCATCTGTCACTATCCACCCTCAGATTTCAAAGCTACGCCGCATCGATCGAGAAGTTTCAAAAAACATCCGTCTTGGAGGTCTTGGCAGTTACGATAGAACTATCTCTCAAATAGCCTTTTCATCTGATGACAGAATATTGGCTGCCAGCGACCTCTCTGGTTACATTGACACGTACATTCTAGCCGGAGACGAAGACCTCACCTCAGAAAGTCCTGCGTTCGAAGATGCCGCGTCATCTGAGTCTTCAGATTCGGACTCGGATAGTGATAGTGATTTTGAGTCGTCCAAGTCAAAAGTCTTGATCTATGGTCAGCAATGGACACGCAATCCATCCACCATTCTCCTTCCCCGTCTATCCTCAACTCCAACCATTCTCTCATTCAGACCCGCCACTTCCCAAAAACAGCTTACAAATGGCCTCACACCGCATCCGACACGCAGTACTCCACATCCCATTTCTAATACCGTTCCGACCACCACTGTAACCGAAGACCGTCTCCTTATTGTCACCGCTGAAATGTCCATCTTTGAATTCCACGTCCTTGCCGGCTCACTCACTCCATGGTCCCGCCGAAATCCTACCTCAACCTTACCAGATGACTTCCGAAAACTTAAGGATCTAGCCAAAGGCTGTCTCTGGAATGTCAACAGTGAGCGTTCCCGAGCCTGGATTTACGGAGCCCAATGGATGTGGATGATCGACCTAAGATTTGACTTCCCACTTCCGGATTCCAGTAAAGGAAACGGAAACTCCTCAGAAGATGGAGCAGTAAGTAAACCAACCACCAATAGACGAAAACGTAAACATGGTAAGGACTCCGGAGCCGGTGGTGCGATCCCAGATTCCCAGCTAGGGACCGGTATTTCCCGTAAAATGCAGCGTCTTATCCACGAAGAAGTGGAAGAGAATCGAGATATCTTCGTCTCTCCGTTTGATGATGAGATGGATATCGATGAGGATGAGTCCAATCCTTCGGCTCTTGAGAGATTAAGACGTGAATCTTTGGTTGGGCAGGAGAGGAATGAAAATAAGAGTTCGGTGTGGCATACTTACAAGTATCGACCTATTTTAGGTGTTGTGGTTCTAGGTGAGGAAGAGGGCCAGGGGATTATGAAGGGAAAAGGTGCCTTGGAGGTTGCTATCGTGGAGAGGCCTCTCTGGGAGGTTGAATTACCTCCTAGGTTCTATGGAGACCAGGAGTGGGAGAAGGGGGGTGTTGATAGGCTTTAGTTTCTTGTCTGGCGAAATTTTGTGTTTAATACTTGCTTGGAAGGGATATTTGAAAAAGCAGTTTTCTTGTGTTGCATTGCAGGGCGTTATTTACTTTTCTTCCTTTCTTTGGTTGTATGTGGATAAGTTATCTATAGGTAGTGGTGATGTTCGAAAATATCAGGGTGCTTTAAGATATATCTCTTGTCTCCAACCATTGCAGTCTATTAAGCCACCCAAGACCATCTGCCCACTGTGCATTTTTTGGTATAGTAAAGAGCAAGAAAGACTTCTCAACTAATGGAGCTAACCATTCCTATCCTAAACTCCGCTCAAGTTGTGAGAGATCTAATTGCTAACCAAAACGCAAGTGGTATCTGAAATACTGCGATAGCAAACATTGATGGTAATGGGAATCAAAGTCAAACCACAAGTAGTCTCCAAGCACCACTACAATAACAAACAGTACCGTTAAACTACAGAAAACCAAACCCCCTTCCATAGCAAGAATGAACAGTCCAAGCGCCAGTGGCCTCTCTAAATAACTAAACTAAATAGTCCTAGGATGAGACTTATTAATTATTCTCCATCTAGATACCAAAGTAACAAACCCACCTCATCAACCCCTCAATCAGTCCTCATAGAAAACGTGGGATAAGATAACGTTTAGTGCTACTGTCAACTTTAAACTCCCGAACTACCTATCCAGCCAAAAAGCCTTTCCCAAAAATCTTGCCCTGACTAATTTCAAACTTCAAACTTCAAACTTTAGCGTGAACACCACGTCACATCACATCTCATCACATCACACATTTCGCCTAGACCACCTACAGTAAAACCAAAATAAATTACCAAGTAGTGTAATTTAATATAGACTTGCAGTATTCGTACCGTCTACCCCACAAACAAGGTTCCAGGTTTATACTATATAAGTTTATATATTGAGGTTCGTGCGAACGGGGCGGGGTATGGATGGAACCTTCCATACAGAAAAGTATAAATGTGACCTCGTTGTAAGTAGGCGTTAAGCCCCTAGTCAAATCGAGTCCCTTACAGATTCTAGGATATAAGGTCAACGTTTCGCTGCCCTTACCCGATAAAGTGTAGTACTACAGAGGCCTAAAAGTTATAAGGTTTATTTTGTTATAAGTTGTAGGTATGGAAGATAGTTGGATGCTTGGGTATATAGTATGAAATATGATTCTTTACTCTGCTCCTATGAGCAACCTAATCCAGTCCTAATTCCCGCAGAATAAATCACGCAGACGTACTTACTAGACTATAACCGCCATTATAACCTAACCCATACAAGAGAACTCACTTCAACCAACCATCCAATCATCCCACCACAGGAAGTCTATCAAGTGCTTACATAAACACATTTTAGATTTTCTACTTATACAAGGAAGGTTACATACCCCGCCCCGTTCGCACGAACCTTAATATATAAACTTATATAGTAAACCCTATACCTTGTTAGTAGGGTAAACGTTACAATTACTACAAGTGTATAATAGAATAGAGCGATTGAGTAATCGATTTTTCATATTAGTAGTAAAGTCTTTTAGTATAAAGATAACAAGATTTATAATTTTATAAGGGATTTAGTAGGCTAAGTTAAGTAACGAGTTAGTATCTAATAAAGAGCACGCAAGGACGCTTTCTAATATAAATATATATACGAGGAGTTTCAATAGAACACGAACGCTTCCATTACTTAAGCTAGGCTTAATTAAGGACTAGAAAGTGGGATAACTTATAGAATAACTTTTGTTAGTACTAACAAAAGTTAATCCCTTCTTTGACTTTTAGTAGTGGTAACACTTTCCGCTAGAAATTTGTCCCCTCCCTTTTTAGGACGAATTTAACCGCATAATCGCTACTAGAAAGTAGTTGCCAAATCACGAGTTCTCCTACAAGTTTGACAGTTTTTCCTATACAGTTTGACAGCTAACCCGTTTAGGCGAACGGGGCGTTCCGTATGTTCTGGTGGCTCGGCATTTCCCGCTTTAGTAGGTAGTATTTTGGGTGTAAGTAGGAAACGCGTCTTTATTCTTACAATAAAGTCAGTAAACTCAACTACTATTTGAAGCTATTCACACTTGAACAATCTTACCCTTTTATTATCACTGCCTGCGCTGCCGCCACTTATCGAGCACTTATACTACTAAACAAGGTGCCTAACCCTAACCCAAGGGGGTAGGTGAGATCTTAATAGCGTAGGTGGTAGGGGTTCATGTTCCGCTAATCCTGACCCCTAGCCCTAACCCTAACCCTAACCCGCCCAAGTTAATAAAGCCACTTCTGTCTTTTGAGTACCCCAACACGCGGAATGCTCCAAACGCCTTGACTTCCTAAACGGGTTAGCTGTCGAACTGTATAGGAAAAACCGTCAAATTGTATAGGAGAAGTCCAAATCACTCTACGATCCAAGCACCATCCACACCACCAACCTTCAAAAAACAAACCTCATAACTTCCAGGCCCCTACTATACTACACCCCTCTAGGTAAGGGCAGCGAAACCTTAACTTTATACCTGTATCCTACAATCTGCAAGGGACTCGACTCGACTCACTCGACTCGGGGCTTACCACCTACCTACTCATACCTAACGAGATCTCTAAAAAAAAAAGAAGAAAAAAAGAAAAAAGCTCGACTCCTATACCATCCCATCCATCGCAAAAATTATGAATGAGGTATTCTCACGTACATACATACATACAAACACAAACACAAACCCAGATCCACACCCACACGTGGCCACCCCAAGAACCTTCCAAATCCAAATCCAAATCCCCCCTCTCCCGTCCCCCCCAAAAGAAAAGGTTCGGCACCCCAGGAACATGTACATTACAGCCCTCAAGAACCCCATATGCTACATGACGTATACAGTAAATTTACCTACCTATACCCCATAACCCCATCCTCCATCCTCCCTCCCCCCTAATCCCAATAGAAGAAAGAAAACGCGAATACGAAAGATCCCCAAGCGGCGTGGCGAGTACGAGGTATATTCATACACTACCTACCTACCTTACCTACCTACAGTACCAGTCCTAGTACAAGTACCAAGTACCAAGCTAGTACTTAGTATTTGTATATCAGAGTTACTTGGCAATCTTGTAGTATTGTGGTAGTATATCAGTAAGTAACTGGTTCACCGTCATCACTAGATAGATACTCTAGGCTCAGGGTTTTAGCGTGGGAGTTTGGAGAGGCACTGCACTGTATGTACGGTATTGGGTGTCATAGGGAAAATGTAAGTGAAAAAGGGGGATTTGAGGGAGTTGGGAAATGGGAAGTGGTTGGAGTTGAAGATAGACGCGGTATTTCTTTACTGAAAGAACTACGAGTACGAGCTTGAATTCCAAACCACAAATCTCACAAGCAAAATATGATGAAACGGAATCCAAGTAATCGTACAGTACTTCAAAAACTCCTCAAGCCCCAATAAAGAGGGCTTGGGATGTATTTCTTATCTATCTCTGCGAAACCACGCATTTCCAAATCACCTGTCCATCCATCGAAGAATAATCCCCTTCCATCCACCCATCTTCAATGGAAAAACCATAGAACGACGTGTCCAATATATAATAACAATATAAAACTCAACTCCCATCAACGTAAAATATCCCGATGATGAATCAAGTAAAAATTCCATTTCGATCCTTTCCATCCATAGGTATATAATGCACCCAACCCTTCCCCCGATCCAGCCATCCATCCTTTTCCAGAAAAAAAACGACAGAGCAAAAAAAAGTAATCATCTCCTTTGTGTCCAGAGTGGTAGATCCAGTCCAAGTGAATAAAACGCCAGACTATTTGCCAGCCCCTGCCAAGGCACAGTCTTATGAGTTCCCCCTTCCAAAATTCCTGGAGGCGCAAAAGAAGTTGACAAAATAAAATTATGTAGATCAATGACCGGAACTCCGCGACAAAGTAAAACTCGGGGGGGTTGCCTTTCCCCCAGGTATGCAGGTATGCAAAAGTTCGCGGAATGCGTATAACGTACAACGTCCATGTGTGGAAAAAAGTAACACATGTCGTGAGAAAATGGTATCTTCGGAAGTAAGGGAAAGTTATGTATTAGGTATGTGTTTATGGCATATGGTCCTCATATCGTGTCTTTAAATTTGGTTGCTTGTCGCCACTCAACCACGGGGAGAAGTGAAAGTGCCGAAAATTCTTGGAGTGCTTGGTCGCAAGGGCGTTGCCGTGGTAGCTCCTGTAATTCGGCTCGGCGGATTTTTGTAGCAACCGAACTATTGTTGAAGTCGGCCTCTGGAGTGGGTATCGTAATATTACTCGAACCTATTTCAAGGTCCACGTTGTGAAGGGTCTCTTGGAGAGTGGTATCGTCCACTCTCGCCTCGAGCGTTGATCCATTCTTGAGTACCACTCTGCCGGCCAGCTGGCTGCTCTGCTGGTAATTTTTGATCCTCAGAATGTTGTCGAGGAAGTGGTGACGCTGATTGTTCTCCTGGTCGAATATTGGCCGCGACAGATTGTGCGATTGATGAAATGACATATCCTCTAAGCTCCTTGTCCTCTTGAGCATCCTCCTTTTCTAATCGAAATCGTTCATCCTTGGGCATGTTGGATCGTCGAAGACTTCGAATCTCATTCATGATATAAAGCATAACTTCTTCCGGGCATCTTGTGCGCTCCATGGCTTGTTCTGCCTTGCGTACATATCGTCTCGTAACATCAGTTGCGCCATCAATTGAGAATGCGACACAGTAAGACATCTTCTTTCCCCATCCGTCGGCGTATAATCTTGGGTTGTCCCATGCTTCCTCACAAACGTCGATGTGAACCCATCGTTTTTGCTGCTCGGAATAAACCTCAGTCCAGACATGATCTTCCATATTCCATACCCATCGTACACGTCCTCCAACAGCGCGGCACAACATGCTGAAAACGTTGGCCCATTCTCCGCATCGTCCTTGTCGGGTTTGTAATAATCGCCATACGTCCGCATATCGTGGAAATCTCTCATAGGAGCCGCAATCACCTGCCGAGCATCGATATAGTTCTACTCTTAATGCTCCGTATGCCGACTCTTCGGGTGTTGGTGGTGTCATGCCTTGCGCAATTGTTGGTGATAGACAAGCGGAACATGGTGGGTTGTTGACCCAGGAGAAGAACGACCGTTTGAACCATCTAAGTCAAGTTAGAGAAGCCCCAGTTTTACCAGTAGCAAGAGACCCGTACCTTAATAATGCGCGAATAACACAATCTTGGTAACCCCATTCCGGTTTTCTTCCGTCACCCATACTCTCAGCTTGTGCTTGAAGGAGTTGTGATTCTTCCTCAGCTTCGCCATAAATTCGATCCAGCGGAATGACCTGTAATGCTTCGTCCAATAATCCCGGGTTCTCGTACTTGGTTGGTGTCTGTGATAATGAAATTAATAGATTTCGAAACTTGTGTGAGCCTGTATCCGCAGGTGGTGAGGGGACCTTTGGTTGGCTTCGTAATGATGCATAGGATGGGGGTGTTGATCTGTGAGGTGGTTGCTGCTGGCCCGGTCGGTATGCAGATGATGATGAAGAGGATGATGTCGGTTTTGAGGAGGAAGATGATTGAGCTCCCAGGTTGTTGGAGGAAGCCTGTTCTCTTGGAGCTGGCGACGTTGTCCGCGATCGTGAGTCGAGTTCATTAAGTCTCTTCGTCCGTAGCAAACCCTCGAATTGTGCCGTCAGTCCCTTGGCCCAATTCTGGTCGACATGTTCCCTATTCTGCGCAGAGCCGTTGCCATTTGATCGGTCCATCGCGTCGACTGCGAGGTAGATGTCGAGGCTCCCGAAGACGTCTCCCACTTCTTCCCGATCCTGCCACTTTCCTGGTTCCGCTCGGTCCTGGTCTGGTTGGGGTTTCTTTGTCTCTAATAATATCTCGACCTCTGGAGAATTTGGGACAGAATATGGCGAGTGGGTGTTGGTCGTGGTCGAACGAATATGATATTGGGTGTGGAGTGTTGGAGGCCTCATGGGATCCCACTTCAACTCCAGCACAGCCCAGCCAGTCGTCGCAATCGCCCCCCTCGCTAAGCGGATTCAGGCTAGGGTGTTGGTCGCAAGGCAGGCAGTCACCGAAATAGATGCGGATGCGCAGTTTGGTGGCTGGAGACGGGCAAGAAAGGCGGAAATGGTCGAGTTGAGGGCTGGGAGGAGGATGGAAGTATTTGCACTTTCAATCGACGTCTGGATTCGTGGTCAATACAGAGGTTGCGTTGCGGTGCGTTGCGGTGCGTTCAAATGTTGGAGGTCTCAAGGTAGTGATGCCGGCAAAGCGAGACTACGACGACAGGGGATTGCGTGGTCCGTACTCCAGTACGGGTATGGGCAAAATGTACGCGTGGAGGCATCGAGACAGACAGTGCCAAAGACCAGCGATGAGCCTGTGAAAGCTTCCCTCCTCCGTATACTCGCCCGCAGGGGTTGGCCAGCAGGAGCCACAATCCACCCTGGTCCACACTGGTCCACACGGGGCCACACGGGGCCACACGGGGCCACACCATAGGTCAGAGTGGACCCCGGTGGCTCAACCTTGAGTGCCGCTCGGCGTGGTGATTGGTGGCAGCTGATGACTAGTGCGCTGATGTTCGGATCTTGCGCTGCAGTGCGTGGCCGCCCTGTACAGAGCTGACGACGACTCTCACTCGCTTAACTGGATGCCACCCGAGGTTGACGGTAATAACGATTGCCCGTCATTGGCTGTAGGCTGACTAACCTAAAATCCCCATTGCCTGGGGGATTTCATCTTCTGCTACGAAGTACGGAGTACCTCCGTACAAAATCATCTCTGTTGGAGACGCTACGCAAAAAATGGATTTAGTTTTCAACATCCAGAGAATCACTACACGGAGGCGAGTGCAGCTGGTGTACTCCCTACTCAAACACACGACCCTCCGTACGCAAATCTGAGGTTTGAGGCTATTCGAGCAGTTTAACATCTACGGTACGAGTATCCATCTGGAACCTTACTGGATACGACCAGTCCGATATACGAGTGGATCGTCTCGAACGTTAAGCAACAGACTTTAATTTTACGATCCAACTGGTGCCATACCGGTATGAATAGAGTCTGATCCTGAAGAGGAATTTTTGGTCCCTCTTTATTATGATAGATTTCGTTCGTTCTCTCCAAGCCGTAGGTAAACCCATCACTTTCGGCGCTTCAGATGCCCCTCATGGTCATTATCATTATTTGAGTCACATATGACGGAAGGACCAGGTGTTCGTCAGCCTCGTCTGGACCCTGGTGTTGGTCCGTGGGGATATGGGGGGAAAAAGATGTGGAACTCTCTGAAACTGACTTGAGCCTCAGTGACGAAGCATCAAGCAACTCGTTATTACCTCGAAGTATCTTCTTACTCTAAACGAAACTGCTGACGTTACTTGCCTATTATCCCCCTTGGATTTCCCGGAATCGACATGTCCCGTGGACTTTGCAGGTAAAAATGCACTAAGTTGTCCTAGTTTCACCTGAGTGGTTTGCTGTACGCAATCAAGTCTCCGAGATCTGACTCGTTCCTACAGCAAGTACCGTAGCGAACGAAACAAACAGCTTGCTTTGGTCTGTTGATACTCTCTATTTGCCTTCAAGGCAAGAAATATTACGCACATTTCTCGAGGAAACAAATGGAGAAGATCACGACGCTGACCGGATATTTGCCACCAAATTACGTCCTTGTCAGCAATGATATACAAGATCGCCTCCAAAACCCGAGTCTGAACGATCAAAATCGGAATTCATTCGTCATTCAAAGGATCAGCCTTACACGGTTTTTACCTACGAGTGTCCTCTAGGCAAGATTCACAAGGTCTAAATAAGGTCACGACTCACTAGAAAACATCTAGTACGTACGCAAAACCGACAACATCTAACCGAAGTGCTCCCGCCAAGAAAAGAAAATGGTTCTTCTGATCTCCCACCAGAAAAAAAGTCAAAAAGAGAAAAAATGGGAAATGAGGCGTCACCTTCCGAATCGTCCATCACCGTCCGTCTTGGCCCATGTGACAGCGCACATACGAAAAAACCCATTTCCTCCCATCAATTCTCCATCATCGAGAAACTTGTTCCACAGTCCAAAAAACATCGTGAATAATGTGAATCATTACCTCGGATTTCCTCGCATTCATGGTGTTAGATAGGTTACGCGTGCGCGGGACGCGTACCCAACATAGCTCTTGGCAATCTATCCAAAGGCACGTTACTGGAAAAAGCACACGCAGCATCAAACTCAACCGGTCTCCCGAACCCATCCATCCCATCCTTTCTTCGGGGAATTCCTTCTTTTTTTTCTCTAAACTCGCTGCTAAGCGAGGTCCCTCCTTCGATTTGACTTGTAACCATGATCCATACTGGGGGCTTCTAAAACATGGTGTTCCTGGTTTCAGAATTCTTGTACGAAGGAAATTGGGACGGTGGAGTTGCTGTTCAAGCTTTTGGATTTCGTAAGCTGCATGAGGGTTCGGGATTTTAGCCAGGTTTGGCGGTTGGTGGTCTATATTTGCGCTTGCGAACTAGTCATATATCTCAGACGAGCGTGATAGGAGGATCTTGATTGACGACGTGGATGATGATGTACTGCTCTTGCGGTTCGGAGGCGTGAGGACATTGGCTTCGGCTGTAGGTAATTAAGAGGATAGTTAGATGAGAAAGTTACAACATACATCTATCGTTCTTCTTGACAAGACAGGATTCTCGCTTCGTTCGTTAAACGTCTAGCTCATCGTTTTGCAGCATGCAAAGCTCTTCACATAATACTTACAACCCAAGTATTTCGATACATTGCCTATGGTATGTAAATAGCATGGTAGATGTAGCTACCTACTTACTCAACGATCTTAAAATAAGTTTATAAAACAATACACGCCGTCTTTTATAGGTTGATATATCAATACCAGCACTTGATATTTCACATACCCGCTCATTTGATATGTTTATTGATAGTAAAACCACAAGATCCTACTCAGAAAATCGGTAACAACACTACCGTTCACATTATATAGACAGTAGAAAAAGAGCTTTGCTTTTGACAATTATCATCTGATATATGAGGTGAGAGATTCATATACAACTCTCAACCATCACCTTCCCTCTCCACTAAACACATCCCATCAACCTCCAACCTCCAAATCTCCAAATCTACAAACCCACATCCCCCCAACCCACTCCCTCTCAACCCCATCCTCCCCTATCCTCCCCCCTCCTACCCTAAACCCCCTCCTATCAGACACCACTCCCCACGAACATCCACATATCCACACAGCCAACCCACCACCCACCACCCACCTCCCAAAATTCCAAATTCGCCACCCATAAACCAGCTGACGAGGCACCCCAAAACCCCAAAACCCCAACAAATAACAAAACCCAACAAACTACAAACTACAAATTACAAAAAAAGGATCCACGTATACATACAACCAACCTCGTCACCGGTACACGTGGTATGTACAAATCTCTTCCGTTCGGAATATACTTGTATCCTTATTTTCGGACGACGCGTCACCTTGGTCTTGAGTGAGATTTGGTTTTGGTTTTGGAGTGGAGTGGAGGTGGAGGTGGGATGGGAATAGGAATAGGAATAGGTTGGTGGTATTTGGGAGGAGAGGGTGGGATTGTGAGCTTGTTTCGGTTGACAGTTGTGGATGAGAGGAGAGGATAGGAGAGGATTAGATTTTGGGGTTTGTTGGTGGGTGTTTGTGATGAGACGAGAAGAGACTCGTGGATGGATGGGATTTGGGATACATGAGGGACTGGGAATTGGTATAAAGGTGGATGTGATGATATGGGTTTTCTTTTGTTGTTGGCTGTGGCTGGGGAGTTCATGGTTGGATAGTATATACAACTGTTTTTCTCTTGTTTAGTCGGTCCTCTGGATGGGTCTTTTTGTAGATTATGGGGAGGGGAGCAAATGGCTTCCCGTTGTCATATTAAATTTGAAATGATATGTCAAGCTGTTAACTGCATTGAACCATCCTAGACATCTCTTCACAATACTGTAGAAATCCCGTCATCACTCCCCAAACATTTTGCAAATAAAGATAATAATATGCCAGACGTTTAATTATGACTATAGTAACGTATTCCACCAACTGCCTGCCTTCATCAATAAGTGCAAATCCCATTTTTGCTACACAGCTCGGGTAAGACTTACTCGAAATACTTCCTCAGAGCTTCCCAGTGATATCTCAGGGATATCTCAGGGATACGCAGAGCACGAGCATATCACTTTCCGACTGAGCTCCAGAGTGAGGAATTCCTTGTTGCTAAAGGTAGATTTTGTGGAAGCTGGATGTCTCCATCTACGATGTGGTTCTTGAAGGTGCTAGCTTTGAAATGTAGTACATTTGGTAATTTACTCGATGAGTGTGGGATATATGTAGATTGTGACTTGTAAAATAAAATCGATAATATCTGGTTAGACCCGATGGTCTAGATAGTCTTTTCAAATCATGAATGATATATTGGCACTCAGGTGCGAAGGATGAATCATGAAGACGTAGTTCTTAATGAATTTAAACTCCTCTGAGCACTTTGTTTGAACGGTGTACACTACAATGAGTTATTCATCCGGTTGTCAATAAGACACGCACCGTCGATATTCTTTGCAGAAAAGAAAGACTTTTTACTTTCATACTCTGCCAAAATAATTTCCTTCAGATTGTAAGTGCAATGCTAGATGCATCCCGCAATGTCAATTGCGATATTAAGAGTAGACATTCGTCTAGATAGACTTGCAGTATCTGTTAGAAAAAGTCCATAAGTATGAGTTCTACATACTTCAGTTGATTTAAAATTTAGTCAGCAATATGCATCCAAACCAAGCACTTATATAATAGGACTTTCGCGTGTAAGGGGAATCAACTGACTTCCATCTCTTTCTCAAACAGTACTTTGAAATCATCCCAAGAAGCCCTTTTATAGCATATTCCTACAACAGCCATATTTCCGCGGTCTTCGTTTCTAGCTTTCGATTAACGGCAGCACTTTCGTTCTTGGATATCACTACGGGTATTTTTGCATAAAGTAGAAAAGTCTGGTTTTCTAGAGGGTTGATGCTATGGAGATCGGTTTATGAGTTTATTTTTGGCGTTGGGCTTCGAGGTGGTCTCTTTATCGTTCTGGTTACATACTGGAGTTTGTCGGTTCATGATATGGAGGTGTGATGGGGTAGTGGAGAATATCTCCGTAATCGGCTGTATTGTGAACATCAGTATTGTATGCTCTCCTTGGGAGGTGCTTGGTGTGAGGCCCTTGGAAGGTAGGTAGAGAGAGCTTTAGGAAAAGTGGGAGTAAATAGCAATCTTGTGCTACCGTACCTAACTTACCAGAATGATTCCTGGCTAGTCTATGATTTTACAAGTATCTCGATAAGTGACCTAGCCACACGGTGGACAAAATAAGCGGGACCTTTTTTGTTCATACTGTACGTCAACATCGCTAATTCATCAAAATCATACATATTTTGATAGCGCACTAAATGAGGGTATGATGAAAACACACGGACAAAAAGGTTCCGCTTATATTGTCCACCGCGTGCCTGGCTTCCTAGAAAAATCTTCAATATTTAAATACAAAGTTCTAAGTTAATCGATGCCAAAAAACATGAAGCGAATCAATACTCATGAACCTGGAGCAGAGATGTTTTGTAACACGTGACTAAACACCGTATCAAAATACAGCCCCAAACAGGCGGTGAGTGAATGTAACAGTTTCACGTATTTCATGCATATTTTTCTTGCACTGTTTCCGGTTCTTCAACTTCTCTTCATATCTTTCATAGGATTGCACTACAGTGGTGTTGACCTCGGGAGATCGTCGGGACGGACTTGCACCGCCAAGATAGGTTAACAAAATCGCCCAAAATCGAAATTATCGGTGAAGCCAAAGAACGAAACAAAATATCGAGACTTGCCTCATTTCCCTATAATAATCTCTCAGTACTGGTCTCTCAAAATTTCTACGCCCACCAGTCGCAAGACTCCACGCATTACCAACATGTCGCGTAATCAAGGCCTTGCTGCCATGAGAAAAGGCGATCGATTCAAGGCCATCCGAGGCTATTTACCGCCACTGAATTTCATAACAATCCACTACTTCTACTTTATTTTCACTTGTCTTTTATTTTCGGTCATCTTCTGGGGGTCTTCTAACCCATCTCGCTCAATCACGTTCATAGATTCGCTTTTTTGCGTCGTGTCTGCAATGACGGAAACTGGTCTCAACACCGTCAACCTCTCTGAGATGAACACTTTCCAACAGTTCATTTTATGGTTTCTTATTGTTATCGGAAGTACCATCTTTGTCAGCATCTCAACGGTTTTGACCAGAAAGCGGGTTTTCGAACGACGGTTGCATCATGTGGTCAAGGCTCAGAGAGAAGCGAGAAGAGATAGGAGACGTAGTATGGGTTCCTCCGCTGCAGAAATTCCCGCGATCAAAAGACTCCAGCAGGCGAGAGCAACAGAAGAACCGGTGGACAAGAGTGAGTTTGAAAGTAGGCACTCTGGTCCTAGGGACCCGACTTCTCAGCCTTCCCAAAGTGGGTCGGTAGCTCATCAGCTACCGGGTCACGGGAAGGACGGTACGGACGACTCTGATTATGATACTGCAAAGCCAGTCGTTATGGGCGGAGCTCTTTTGGGAGAAGGTAATGAGGATATTGCACCAATTCAACGTGACCATGTCATGCACTATGCTCCAGCTCCCCCCTCTTCCGCTAGCAACAGAGTATTGAGCTTCGCTGGAGTGGGTGCCAACCCGAACTCATCGTCCTATAATCGTTCTCGAAACGGATCGAAACAACGAAACAAAAACGTCACGTCCATTTCCGAATCTCAAACTAGCGGACATGAAAATATCAGCCAGCTACACTACCCATCTTACCTAGGTAAAGATACCGAAGGTCGCAATGCACAATTTCATGACTTGACCAAGGAAGAGCGTGAGCATTTGGGAGGTGTGGAGTACCGAGCTATCACTTTATTAGCTTATGTCATTCCAATGTACTGGGCGCTTTGGCAAGCTTTGGGATGTGTTGGTCTTGGGGCATATATGGCTCACAATAAGGCCGATGTTATTGGCATCAATGGAGTAAATCCTTGGTAAGTATTTGAACTTGTGTATCATCGCAACTTTAAATCTAATTTTCCATTTGTCAACAGGTGGCTGGGAATTTTCAACGGAGCTTCTGCATTCAACAACTCGGGCATGTCTTTGTTAGACGCCAACATGGTTTGCTCGCCCCTCATTAAATAAGAAAAGACAACTACTAACATGCACCAGATACCATTTCAAACCTCTGTGTATGCCTTGATGACGATGGGTATCATGATTCTTGCTGGAAACACTGCGTCAGTCCTCCGCCAAAATGTCATCGTTCCACTAACACCTCGCTTACAGATATCCCCTCTTTCTTCGCCTGATTCTGTATCTCATGCTCAAGCTCCTTTGCTTGATTTGCCCCTCTCCTGACCAGCACCCGGAACACAAAGCAACTCTACGATTCGTCCTCAAATACCCTCGTCGCGTCTACACGAATTTGTTCCCTTCTGCACAAACATGGTGGCTCTGCTTCATGGTTGTTTGCCTCAACGGAATCGACTGGGTCGCCTTTGAGGTATTGAATATCGGCAACGAAAAGGTCGAGGTTATCCCTAAAGAATTCCGGATACTTGGTGGTCTATTTCAAGCCATTGCTGTCAGAAGTGGTGGGTTTTACGTAAGTTGACATCTGGACATTGCATGACCTGACCTCTTCCCTTCTTTGCTAAAACACGTAGATCATCTCCATGACTTCACTCCGAATTGGTCTTCAAGTCCTGTATGTTATCATGATGTACGTCTCCGTTTATCCCGTAGTAATCACCATGCGCCACTCCAACGTCTACGAAGAGCGATCCCTGGGAATCTACGCCGAAGACAAACCATACCGGGACGCAGAAGACCCCAAACTCAACGCCGTTGGCAAAATTAAGCGTTCCATCTCCGAAGCGACCAACAAAGACGTCGGATTCTCAACCTTGAGAGGCGTTGGCGTCGGCACACAACAATTCGTCCACCAACAAATCCGCGCCCAGCTCTCACACGACCTCTGGCTCCTAGTCATCGCCATCCTCTTCATCACGATCATCGAAACCTCGAATTTCGAAAGAGATCCGCAGGTGTACTCGGGTTTTAATGTCGTTTTCGAAGTGGTGAGTGGGTATGGTTGTGTAGGTATTTCGACTGGTCTCCCCGATCAAGCATACTCCTTCGCTGGCGGCTGGAAAACTGGTAGTAAGCTTATTTTGTGTCTCGTCATGTTGCGTGGGCGCCATCGTGGCTTGCCTGTGGCACTTGATCGAGCTGTTCAGCTTCCAGGAGAGCTTGGTGAGGGTGAAGAGGTAGATGAGGCATTGAGGAGGAGTTTGAGTGTGAGATGTCCCAGTGTTCATGATGCATGAACTACTCGTATGGATAGGAAGGGGACAATAAGTATGAGAGGGTTTTCGGCTCTTTCTTATTATCGTCTCCCTGTTCCCAAAGAGAGTACTTGCGGTATCTCTGAATCCCCAAAGGATACTAGCTGCATACCTTACTGGCAGTAGTATAACCTGGATATCGCAGAAACTTTCCTGCGTTGTTTTGGTACAAGAGAGAGCTTGAGCACTATGTTGATTTTTGAATTTGGACCTTGCAATTTCCATTCTCATGTTTCTTTTTAGATTTTTTTGACAAGGAAGAAAAGGAGTCGTAACTAGAATAGATTTAGATACCAATATATCTTGTCTAGTTCTTCAAATATCTTGACTATCATTTATGGCAGCTGCCATATTTCCCCGCCAATTATCGAGAACCCCGTGGTTTACCCGACATCCCTCTATCCTCAACGTCATCCCTCAGAACTACAAAGTTAAAGATCTCAGTTCCCCAAAACCATCATGAATAATACAATGACAGAATCCATGAACCCACTTCAAGACCATGAATTAAAAGCAACTATCCCCACAACCCCTCCACCTCTTTCCTTCTCTAGTCTCCCCCCCGGAATCCGCCACCAAATCTGGCGCTTCTCCCTCCCCGGCCCAAGAACCCTCGTGGTCTCCCCACCCACCGAGGCCCACGATATCTCATTCTCGCGAATTGAAAACCACCCCGCACCACCAGCTCTCTTCGTCTGCCATGAATCGCGTCAAATAGCCCTCACAAGATACCGTCTTGTCTTCGGGCACCCCAATCAGTTCGCCGACCTCCCGGGGGGAGACATCCTCTACTTCAGCCCAGACGGTCACTGGAAGCCTGTATACAAATGATTTACTGGCGGGAATAGGAAATGAATGTGTCACCGAAGGGATGATAGAGGTAGAGCAATAGACACAGAAGTGAAGGAATGTGTTGTGAGGGATTTGGAGGAGGTTAGATGTTTGGCGACTTGTCGACTGGGGTATGATTTTCGTACGGGTTTACGTCTTCAATTTGTCAAACACACGACAAATAGACATGCTACTACTGCTGGGTACTTGAAGCTGGAGACTCTTTTTGTTGTCGATGACCCAGAAGAATTCAGGGCAAAGAATAGAGGCCCTTTCGAGTTGGAACGGATGGAGGTTGGAGATAATGCTAGAGAGTTCACGCAGAGAAATGGATTTGAGTACGAGAAGCTGGAAGAGGAAGGACAGGAAGGTAAACATGAAGTGAGGGTTGTGTTTGCGAATCGAAAGAAGTTTGTTGAGTGAAAGAATTGGGAGGGCTTGATCTAAGTCTATCAGAAAGCTGTGTGGGTTTCTCTCGAGACAATAGTAATAAACATGCGGACTTCATTTGTATCAGAGCTCATAAGTACTTCTATGGGCGAAGCTAACCAATCTGACTTGAACTTAGTCCTGTCTGAACTGCACAGAGATGTCGTCATTCCCGCGAACATTTCGGCTCATCCTTTTCTTTGATTCCCTCTCGTCAAATGGTTCCTCCCCGGATCGCTTATTTTGGCGGAGAACTCCCACAGGAATTGTTGGATCAAGTGTTGGATTCGCGCCTGGTTCTTCTACGGATGCTTGGTTTGAATAGGAAGGCCCAGAGGAAGTATCCATGTTCATTTCATAATCGTCGAATGGCTGGACTGCGTATTGATTATTACCCCCGGGGGTTGCAGCATGATTTATCGACTGTGGTGTTGAAGTTTCGATTCTTTCGAATGGTTGCTCCACTGATATCTGGTCTAGATTGCTAGGCTCGCGAAGACTATTCACGTGCGTATCAAAACCATTCAGCAGCTCTTCAAAGGATCGATGATCTCCGCCAAGGAACTCAGCAGGAGGTATCGCATGTGGTGTTGAACTTTCGAATGTTTCCTCTACGGGGATCTGATTCGAGTGGTCAGGCGCGGGAGAATTACTCATGTCCATCTCAAAGTCATTGAGTGGCTCTTCAGTAGATCGATCATCTCGACCTAGGGACCCAGCATGGTTCATCGCATATGGTATTGGGATCGCGACTGCTTCTTTGGACATCTCGTATGAGTGGAAAGGGTCAGAAAGACTATCTGTGTTCATCTCATAATTGTTGATTTGCTCTTCTGGTGGTCGCGTGCTTGGATGGGAAGACTCAGCAGTGGTTGTCGTATGTAAGTTCATGGTCGAGGCTGATTCTTCTAATAGATTCGTGTAAATGGGAGACCTTCAAAGGATAGGTTATATATAGGGTTAAGGTCATACCGGTCATGTTGACATCTTGCTTTTTTGCTCCCAGTTGGTAACAGTCGGGTATGGGTGGCGGCTTAGGACCGAACCAACGGTGCCTCTTTGGTGGGAGAAATGCTAGGCATAAAACTCAGGAGATGTTCCCCGTTCAAAAAAGCAAAACTTACCATGAAGGAAATCTTCTGCAATATGCCACTGTACCAAGTAGGGCTGATATTTCAAACCTGGAACTTTCATCATTTCCTCCCCAATCTCATTCCACTTCTCTCGGGCCCAAGTGCGTGCTCTGCGATCCCTTTTGTTAAAGGGTAATGAGAAAACCTCCCCCATCTCCCCGACCTGGAGTTCAACCTCGTCAAACCAGTAGCCGTAGCAAAGAATCAAGTTTCCCATGAAATGCTCTCCGTCAAAATAGTATTTTTGATGCATGTCAAAATATCTTGGCCGAGTAGTCATCGTGGAAAAGTCGGGCGGTGTGGAGTCGAAAGTGTTTAGTTGTATACCCAACGGACCCAAGTTGTTGGTTGTGGAAGGGGTGACAAGGGCCATGGGGTTACAAAAGCCGCTGCTAGCTGGAGAACTTCAGTTTGTTAGGCAAAATATTTCACAAGGACCACCAGACCACTCTTGGGAACCAACTTTTCATTTTCATTTTCTTCTGGCTCTTGCGGCTCTTCTGGAGGGCCATATTTCCGTCGAACTTCCGCTTTTCGCTGATCGAACAATGCTCGACGAAGACCTCTTGGGACAACAAATGGAACTTTCTTTCGGTCGATTTGCATGATGTGACCTACACCCAACTCCATGCCTTGACCTTGGCTGACGTGCCTCCCTTTACCCTTGTCGACCTCCTCGCCGGTACCTTCGTTGTAGTCCATGTTGAAAGATGTACAGTAATGCGTAGGGGAGAGAGAATAAAGTAAAAATATGCACTGTGGATAATGGCAAGTAAGAAAAGAATGGTATGGTAATGCGTGTTGTCCTAGTTCTCGATGGAAAAAGAAAGAAATGGCATAATGGTCTTATCCTGAATCACTCTTGCCGTCTAGAACTGAAAATGCAAATATTGTTAAGCAGGTTTATGAGGGTCGTGACTTCCCTTCCTTGGCCTTTAGACTGACGTCTCATATTATACAGATAACTGTGCATTTGGTGGTCGAAGGGCAGGCACTCTCCGGGACGTGGGAAGATGTATGGCTTCAGGCATATCCACAAAGACTCTGAGTACCATCAAATCCTCAATACTTCCCCTCCTAAAGGATTGTGGGTGGTCACTTTCAAAATAACAATTTCACAAGTGCATCATGAACCAAATATATAAAACAACAATTTCACAAGTGCATCATGAACCAAATATATAAAACAACCAAAAAACATTATCTTGCAATGAAAAATCCAACAGAGGCCTAAAACCTGGTCGATTGCCTAGTAGGCCAACCTCTCAAAGGCTCCTGCCTCGTCCTAAGCTTCCTCAAATTATTCTGCATCTCCGCCTTGTGCATGTCATTACACTTCTTGGTCTGCGCCAACCATCTCATTCCCGCGATGGCACCCCCAATCATAGCAAGCGTTGCGACAGCTCCAAGCCCGATACCGACATACATAAAGACTCTGCCGAGTTGTTTGTCTTTGATGGGTGTACGTCCTGTTGGAGTTGGAGTGGCAGTGCTGGGTTCAGCCGGTTTGGTTGTGACTGGTGTAACGGCTTGAGGAGAGGGTGTTGGTGTTGGTGTTGTGGCTCTTTCTGCGAGGGTTGAGATATTGTTGATGTCTCTCTCGATGATGGAATCTTGAACCGATCGTGGGACTATAAGGGCACTTGATATAGTGCATAAGGCGAGAAGCGAAAGTGTATAAAGGTTGAACTTCATTTTCAAGGTTTGCCGGTTATATTTTGATAGTCTTTTGAATAGTGTATCTTGGTGTGTAAAATAGTCTTTCGTGTACTGTTAAAAGAACTTGTTGTGTATGCTCTGCTCGTCAACGAGTAAGAATATAAAGAGTGGGAAGTGACGGTGTATTGCTACAAGACCAGCTTGTGTACTTTTGAAGGCAGCTAAAGAGATTAGAAGATGCTCAGGGAATGTGGTACTCTTATACTCGTTCTATTATTCACAGTCTTTGGAGGCTTGAAATAGTCACCACCTGTGAGTCTTCAAAGAGAAGTGTCTATAATTAGGATTTTTTTCCAATCACAAGTCCATTGTTGACAAGCCACATAGAGCCGTGTTTGTTGAGGTGTTTTAAACTTAGACCTTGGTTCAAGCCCGCCAAGAGAAACTACGAGTTCACAGCGAAAACCTCTTTTAGAGAACAATGAATTTCAATTTGTTTGGAAAGCTAGGTGAAAATCTCCTTTACCGCCACCCAATGGGCCCCAACATTAAGCCATTATGTTGATCGATTGTCAAAACCAACGATCCACTTTTGGAAAATCACGCTAAATCCTTCCTTTATGTTTCCAAACACGAACAGTCCCTTGACGAATGCCCTTAGCGAACATTCTTAAAGAGCGACCATGGCGACCATAGCAATGCCGAAAATAGCACCGCAGCTTTGATATCCACCCACACTCAAGGAAGTAGCACCAGACGAAGATGAAGATGTTGTTGCAGACGACGATGCTGAACCTGTAGCAGAGCTAGCACGGCTGCTGGCGGCACTGCTAACCCTACTGGCTCCACTGCTCGCAGAGCTGCTTGCTGAACTTGCTGCACTGGTTGCCGAGCTTGCTCCATTGCTTGCTCCACTACTTGCATGTTCGCTTGCTGATGAGAGGGCACTGCTAACACTACTACCAGCACTGGCTAGAACGCTAGTAGCAGAGTCGACTGCACTGCTTAAGGAAGAAACGGCTGAGACGGCGGGGCCAGTGACCGATGGAAGAGCGGTGGCTGGAGCGGTGGCAGATTCCCCATTGAGAACACTGCTGACAGTGGAAAGTATACCGCTGGCGATGCTTCCCGAGGCACTGGCAGAGTTGAAAGATGTTTCTTGGCGCTTTTCGACTTCCCGCTGGTGAATTTCGTTGGCGGTGATAGTCATGCCAAAGGCGAGGATTGAGAGGAGAAGGGTAACGAGGTTCATGATAGACTTCATGTTGAGGAGGTTGAATTTGGTTTGGTTTGGTATGGTGTGATGTTTGCGAGGAGGAGTTGATGAGGTGGAAGTCTCGAGAACGATTGGAAGTTTTGATGAAGGTTGTTCTTGAGAGAGTTTGAGGTTGAGTTGAAATTAGTCTGAGCAGGTTGTGGGCTCTTGAATTTATACCCCTCAATCTTTGTCGTGACTGATTGCACCTGCATTGCCACATCCTGCAATGTGGCGGTAACCTGCAGGCTACGAGGACCAAAACAGCCGCATGTTTCCGCTCGAGTGACGCAAATGTGTGGGGTAATCTCAATGAGCTCTCAAGGTGAATATCAGCAGGAATGTGACCGACTTGATTCAACGATCGGCTACGGTGCCATGTAAATAGCTTGATCGAAATGAGACAATCTGATGTATTATTCGCAGACAGACATGTCAAGTATGGTACCCCTCTTTCCAAATTTGCTTTGCAGACAAGCCCATTTCGCAACGGATGTTTAGACATCAGTAGACAGCTCGTTTATTACTTTCCAGTCTGTCTCAACTTTCCAGTATATTTCCTGACCATCCTAATTTCTGGTACTCGAAACCTGGAAGTCCCAATACAATTGAAGAAACAAGTATAGGAGACAGAAGAGCCAGTTATTCACTTTCAGTTTCAATGTCTATTGTGGGGTAAGGCTAAGAGCTTTGTGGTGAATTTGAGAAGTAAATACTCCCCAGAGTATAATTTTGCTTTAGCCATCATATTTGAATTCCGAAGTAAGCGAGCGTTGTGAATAAAAGCATCTCTTCAAAATCTGAAATTCTTCTTAGTTATAACAGTTGTATCTACCCGGATTTAATCACTAGTACCTGGGATTGTTTTCGTAGCTTGGAGTGTTCCTGAATTGAAGATATGTCATCGCCCATAAATAGACAAAGGCTGGTTATGAGGTCAATTGGTGGCTTAAGTACACGTACTCGAAGTCAGACAAAGTGAATCAAAACTCGAGCTTCAACCTGTTTTATTGTCTCATTGTTGTCAAGTCCAACCGAAGCGAGAGAAAGTGAGGTGAAGAAAGGAGGTCAACGCCAAGCCTTCGGAATTAAGGTTTATCCGATAAGGCTGATACGGCAACCTTACTCACCAAACCCGCCGGCTGCGGAAAGGTGTTCACAAGTGCGAGTACGCAGCTACGAGTACAAGCTCCCAACAACAACAATTAACATCTCCAACCATGAGATTTTCTTCCTTATTACCGTCCGCGCTGGTGCTAGGTGCAGGAATAGCAGAGGCAGCTTCAGGATGGAATTTCGACGAGGCAATTATTTCAGTCAGCGCAAAGGGAGCTGCTGGAGCTGCGGGAGCATTTAAAGACAAGTACGTTCTTACCGATTTCACGGAAACATATAATTTCAATTGAGGCGCAATTGTACTGATTATTTTTCTATAGATTATCCGACCATGTTCCCCTCTCAAAACCAGTTACTTTAGGGCAAACAGAAACCCTCAAGATCATCCTAACAGCCACCGAGAACGGCGAGCCCAAAAGACCACACCAAGCTTTCCTGCTCCTCCGAGACCAAGATACCGGACTCGAAGAAACATTTCCCTTACAAACCAAAGAAAGTGGAAAGGGCAAGGTCGATTTTGTACGTTCCCAAGACACCCATTCGTTTTCGCGTAAACTAACAGGCAACCCTAAAGTCCCAAAAAGACCTCCCAATCCAACTCCTCACCTCCTCGCAACCCCTCCGAGCCACCCTTCTGCTCGCCTCCTTCGGCAGCACCCAAGCATTCGCCAACCACGTCTTCAACTTGGACATCCAAACCGACCCCAACGTCGCGAAACCAAAATACGAGAAGCCATTGAGATACGGACAATTGGGAGAGATCAACCATATCTTCAAAGCCGATCCTAAGAGCGGCCCAGTGATCATCTCGCTTCTCTTCACTGTTGCTGTTGTAGCTGCAGTCCCAATTTTATTTGGATCGGTAAGTCATGCGTTTTGTGAATCTAGGAGAAGGGATTCTTACTAATATGTGTATAGTGGGTACTCCTTGGAGCTAACCTTTCTCACCTGCCCAAAGCCACTGCTGCGGCGCCTGTCTCTCACTCGCTTTTCTTCAGCTCGATTTTGGGTATGGAGGGGATTTTCTTCCTTTACTATTATAACTGGAGTTTGTTCGAGATGCTACCCGTTGCTGGAGTTATTGGACTTGTCACCTTCTTGAGTGGAAGCAAGGCTTTATCTGAGGTTCAGAGCCGTCGTCTTGCTGGTGAGAGGTAAGAAATCGACAAGGCTGTTGGAGTTTTGATTAGGACAAGTAGGGTTCTCAAAAGCATTGGAACTTGAAAAGTTTAGAAGGCAGTGTATGCTGGCGGTATATTGTAAATGTATAACAAGAACTTATCAAACAAATACGGGATATTATGGTGGCGTTTACAGGATCGTTTTACGAAGATCCAAGGATTTAAAGACGAGTGCAAAGCACGGCTTAGAACTTGTCACTCTGGGATCCCATAAAGAGATGCCAGAGTCACTTTCCGTAGTCAATCACTGTGATTGTATTGGAATGGCTAGGATATCATTTCTTTTATTGCCAATTCCTTGACTCGTCCTGAACATCATATCTTCGTAAACACCTTCTTTATGATGTTCTTGATCCCAAATCCCAACACACCCACCTCAACCCATCTTGACCTTACTGAAATCCATTTCCGGATGCTAAAAAACAATCAGCCCTCTACTCTTAACTTGAAGCCTCCTCGCTTTTTCCCCATCTTCCCCTCCACAACCCAAACCACCCACATCCCACCCCACCGAACCCCCCAAGAAGACCACCCCCTCCAAAAACCCAAGCAAAAAGCAAAAAGAAAAAAAGAACACATACCTGCTTCTTAAAATTCTCCAACATATCCACCTTCTTCTGCTCATCACTCGTCGGTCGCCCCATCTCCTTCTGCCGCTGATCAAACATCATCTTCTCGACCATACCCCTCGTCTCGCCGTCCAAATCACCCAGCTTACTGCTCTCGGGCGTGATCTTGGTGACGTCGATCTTGGGCGCGCCGACGATCACGCACGCCCACCATTCCATCTTGTTGCTCTTGTCCAGATGCAGCTCGAGGACTTTGTTGCCGGATGGTGAGGTGGTGAGGGTCCATGTTGAGTCGGAGGGCTGGATGGGGTGGGGGAGTGTGCCCTGTTGTTTTTTGTTTAGTCGTTGTGTGAAGGAAGGGGATTGTGAGGGAAGGGAAGGGAAGGGAAGGGAAGGGAAGAGTATACTTTTATAATCGGCTCCTGGCCTTTGATCTGTAGCAGTAGACTCGTCTTCTTGATTTCCACATTCAAATCTTTACCCTTGAGATGTCCCGGGATCTCGACCGTGATATCAAGGTCCCCGATCGTTTGCGTCCATTTGTAGGGGAGCGCGGCTTGTTCTTCTGCTTCGCGGGCGCGGGCGGCGGCTTCTTCTTGAGGGGTTGGTTCTGTGGTGGTGGGGTTAGTTTTTTATATTGCTTGGGGTTTTGGGGTTTGGACTTGGAGGGGAAAAGGGGAATTGAAGAGGGGATGGGAGGAATGTACCTCTGTCCGCCATTTTGTGAGGATTATGGAGGATATTATGGATTTGTAATGAGTGTTTGATATCAATTTGTAACCTAGAGCCTTAAGAGCTCAAGATATCAAAGCCTCGCCAAGCCCTCGTCCACACCCCTACTCGAAGTTCCTTCAGCCTCGCCACCACCTCCAAAAACAACAACCACCATCAACACCACCCTCCCAATCCAACATCTCCACGCACTCTTCCCCTAAGTCCCAAACACACACACGCCCAAAATGTCACGCCCCTCAAAACCCTCCCTCACCGACAACCCCCTCGACGACATCTGCCCCGTCTGCAAATCAAACCGCTACCTCAACCCCTCCCTCCAATTCCTCATCAACCCGGAATGCTACCACAAAATGTGCTCCACCTGCGTGGACCGAATCTTCACCTCAGGACCAACATGCTGTCCCGTGCCTCGATGCGGGAAGACGCTACGAAAACGGGGGTTCCACCAAGCCTTTTTCGGAGACCTGAAGATCGAGGAGGAATGCGATATCCGCAAGCGCGTGGGTGATGTGTTTAATCGGCGGCAGGAGGACTTTGAGACGTTGAGGCATTGGAATGACTATCTTCAGGATGTAGAGGATCTGGTGTTTGATCTGGTGAAGGGGAGTGCGAAGACGAAGAGGAGGGCGGAGGAGACGTTGGAGGAGTACCGGGTGAAGAACCTTGCTGTGATTGAGGAGAATAAGAAGGCCGGGCAGGAAGCCGCGTCTTTGGAGAGGCAGCGGGAGAAAGCGGAGAGGGAGGCGGCGAAGCAGCGCAGGTTGGCGATGGCGAGGGAGGAGGAGGAGGAGAAGATGGATGTGGAGAAGATGAAGAGGAGTGCCTTGGATCGGCTGGCGAATAGTAATGAGGATGCGAATGCAATTGCGCGACAAGCACAGAAGGGGATCTTGAAGAAGACCTCTGCCAGGAGGACGTTGACGGATGCGCCGACGAACGAGTCTACGACCAGTGTGAGGGATTCCGGTCTTTCGATACGCGGTCTTAAGAAGAAAGTTGCCCCCGTGGTGGAAAAGGAGTACGATCCTTTTGGTGGCATCGATCTCACACCTACGCGATACATATTACAAGACCACTACGAAAACGACTATCTCGCAGGGTTCGTCAAAGGCCAGCCTACAGCGATGACTGGTGGTTACAGTTTACACGAATACTACGGGAGAAGCATGCTAGAGGCTTTCTCCGGACTAGGAGTCTTCATCGAGGATGAAATAGCCAGTAGGAACCAACCAGCCGCCATGGCTACGATAAAAGCGGAGGCGCGTGATGATGTCTTTTAAAAATCTGCTTCTCAAAACGTAATTATTATGGGGGAAAAGGATTGGAGTTTAGGGGGTCATAAGCATAGCGTGGATACACAAAATGGCGTTGTTAAGAATTTAAAAGGAACATGGGAGGCGTTTATAAATATTGAGATGGTATCAATATAATTTTCAAGCAATAGGCGACAGGCGAGACAACTCAGGTCGCCAAATTGGCGTACTGTAGAGCAAAAATATACCCATTTAACATTTAGCATTTCCCCTTTCACCTGTGCCCCAAACCCAAATACCATATCAACCTGCCAGTAAATTGGGTTACCTTCCAACACTATGAGTACATAAGTATACTCCTTCAAAAAAGCCTCACGACCCAGCAATCTATTGACATTGACATTCAAGTAAACCAAATTCCAATTCGAATTCAAATTCAAATCCCCTTGAATTGAATAGAATCAGGCAAGAACACCCACCTTCTCTGATTCGGTATCTATCAACGAATCTCCCCACCATATCTATCTCACACAAGGGCCCGGTAACCCATCATACATTCCTACCACCTATGCATTCCATTCTCATTCCCCCCAGAGTGTTAAAAAAAAAAATGAACAAACGGAAAATATCTCTCGTAACGCCTTGTTATCAATCCCCATCAAAAAGTTCCTTTTGAGATCGTCAAAATCAGGAAAACATATTTACAAAAATGCACACTCATTATTGCCATGCTTGTGCATTCGCGGGTCGAGGGAATACTGGGACCGTTTCAAGTTGGTCCAGCCCACCACCAATAGGCTGTTGATTATGTTGCCAGCCTGCTCCCGTTGCGTGGTTTACAAATTGACTTTGTCGGAAGGGATTTGTACTTCCTGTGGGTTGGGGCACTAATCCACCAGCGGTTTGTGGACGTTGTGCACCAGTACTCATAGACATATTTCTCGCAAAAGGATTCGTTCCTGTAGCCATCGCTTGTAGAGCAGGAGGAGGCTGGTGCGTGAAATGCTCCGGTATAGGTGAAAATTGCTGTATAGGGGTAGGTGACGTTGATTTTGCAAAAGGATTTGTGTTTTGACGATTTATAGGCGAACTGACGGGAGGACTCATTGGAAATCCCGGATTTGACATTCCTGTGGGCTGAGTGTTCATCATTGAAATTCTGAATGGGTTGGTGGTTTGTGGAGCACCTAATCCGCCACCAGTTTGCATTGCACCTAGCTGTTGAGGCTGTCCGAAAGACGCAGATGATTCTTGTGGAGTGGAGCCCAATGCTCCAGGTTGAAATGACTGCTGCGGAGTATATCCACCAAATCCAGCGCCAGTGAAGTTTGGTTGAAGTGGTTGAGGTTGAGGTTGTTGCTGATTCCCGGTAAATCCGTTGCTAAAGGTTGGTTGAGAGAATTGCGGGGGACTTTGGAATCCATTTTGTGGTTGAGCAAAGCCGTTTTGTGAGAGTTGTTGTGGTTGGGCTTGAAAAGGCGTGGCTCCAACATTGTTAAATGGATTATATGAAGTTTGTTGGGGTGCAATTTGTGGCATTGGTTGCATAGGTTGCTCTATTGAATCAAAAAAGTCAATCAAATCCGGAGCAGGTGCTTTCGCAGGTTCGGGTTTTGCCGCTGTGGTATCTGGAAATGCGCGTGCGGCTGCCGCTTTCGCTTCTGATTCGCTTTTCGTAGCCAATACTTTGCTAGCACCATTGGTAGTGACCTTCCCTCTCCTGGCTTCTTGTTCGGCTATGTACTGTCTTCTGTTGACTTCAAAATCTGGATCCAACAGATAATCCTCTAATTGTTTTCCTAGATTGACGGGTGCATGCTTTAACTTTGGTACCTCCACCCTCGTAGCGTGTTCGTACTGTCGAGCAACACTTAGATATTGGACTACGAAATCTGTCTGTTTTGTAAACTTCTTGTAAATTTCCATAGCTCGTTCCGCATCTGGTTTTGACATTTCAAAGAAGTGCCCTAAAAAAATGTTTAGTGGTAGTCAGTTTTCAATCTACCATAAACAAGCTCACCTAGCATATTTATCATGGCCTGGTTCATGACGTGGAACATGGCCAAAAGATCCAACACGAGCATCCGAAAGATTGTAATGGTAATTTCGTTTTCGGCTTCATTTTCGAGAACCTATTTATTTAGCAGTTATCCCAATAGAACCAAACCAGCATTTGTCACTCACATCACACTTGAGGAGGGCAGTAATCTGGTTCTGAACCACCTCGGTTTCTCTCAGGAGCCCTTTGTCAATTGACATCTTCTCTAACCTTCCATCTGCCCCTCGAACGTAATCGCATTTTGTGTCCCGATATGCTCTCGCTCGTTCGCTCAGGTAATTGGTATAGTGCCGGATGTTCCGCCCTTGGGTTTGAACTGAGCCATGCTCTGTTAGCACTTCTCAATCCAATTGCCTGTCATGACTGAGCCATTACACAGCTATGATTCGGGTGAACCCACCATCTGAGAAACTGCTTATAGCCAGCATATTCCTATGCCGTGCCAGGTAGGCCAATGTCACATCGGGCGAGCCCTCTCTGATCATCAAATGGACAGTGATCAAGCTCTTTGATACTACTGTCCATGTCGAGTCGCGCAATCGATTCTGTAACGCCCTGAAGACTTCCGCCACTCCATGTTCTCCCGAATGTGTTGCAATCAGTATGTGCTCGATATATCTATACGAGTTAGTCCCGGTTCGATCAATGGCACGTCTGGGGGGGCAGTTTCCGTACTTTGATTTTGGCGGGGCGGCCTATAAAGTAAGAGCATTAGCATTCGCATCCATCCGAAGGCCAAACCAGCAAGACCGTGAATGCTACCAACTCACCTTGATCTTGGTCGCCCCCTTGACCGACTTCTCAAATGAACTCATGTTGGAGGGTGGTGAGTGAGTCTGCTACTTGTGCCTAGGGCTTGCGACGAAGCCCCGGGGGGTACGGGTGGTCTTTTTCTGGATTGCCGTGCTTGGCTGAGATGGCAGATATGGGAAGAGGAAAGGTGGAATTAGGGATTAAGCAAGCGTTGAGAGGTAGGTATTATTCAGCCCGAGGTGGAGGTGTTGGGTGGAGCAATGTGCGATCGCGTTCGTCGAACCCAGAATGCAGGTTCTGGTTCGTTCGCTGGCGATCTGGAGTTTGAGTTCTGGCGTCGGGGCTTTTTGGGCTGAATGAAGGAGCTGGGTGGCAGTGGCCGTGGCCGTGGCAGTGGCAGCGGACCGGGAGCTACGCTTGTTCAGTTTGGCAGCACGGGTACTGGCTCACTCGTCCCGAGATACTGTACGGTACTGTACTGTGCTGTAATGAAGCGATGCGATGATGCTATGCAGGTTGGGTACGTCTCCGTAGGTTGAAGCCCCATAGTCCCGACGATCTCCTGCAATTGGAACGGCTAAGAGAGTTTGCGGTGAAAATGAACAACTTGGCCCTGCATCTTCGTCATCGGCCTGGGAACATCTGGTCGAGGTCACAAAGAAGACTTTACGATGGACCAGTGCAGCTCAGTGACCGGGGTTCCCCAATCATTCATGTGAACATTCACTGCACTGCGCACCTCCCTGCATCAGGAACCGGAGCGGCCTTTGGGCGGCCTGCGAGTCTGCGGCTACAGTGTGGGAGAGGCTACGACTACAAGTACGGTACGACAACCCAAGCATCTGGTATCAATGGTTTGTATCAATGGTATCGATGGCATCAGTGGTGTGTTGGCGCTTTTGATTGTCCTTCAATGCCTGGTGATGCCCCGTGGCCGGCGCGTCAGCACTTCCGCGTCGAGTTGCAAGGAGAAGCCGCAGTTTGCTCAGAGGGTCTCCCAGTCTCCAAGCCAGGCTCCCAGGCACCCCGACCCCAACCTGGAATAGCACCGCCGTTTCCATTTTCCGTCAGTGCAGAAAAAGGCGGATATGGATGCATTGCGAGTCGTCTTGGGCATCATTCCAAGAATATAAAATTGCACTCAGCATGCTATCTACTCTACACAAACCTCGGCGACACCGCTACACTACAGAATCGGTAGAAGCAAACGTTGCAGCATTCCGACATGATCTTTCCACACTCGTAACTTGTAGCCACTCACAACGCCACAGAATAGTGCAAAACCGGACCGCACATACTCTGGATGAAACCTGCTTGCTCCTCTACACCAAACATCTGGTACCAAATGAGTAGTCCGTACTTCCTCGCCCTCAGAAATTAGACGCTGTACCAGTACCAGTAACAGTACCCATACAATCCGTGCCCAGCCCGACCAATGTTGGCCCGCCATATACATGTACAGGTGCGAGTACGATTGGCGGGTGGACCAGGACTTGCTGTCAATATGCAATTGCATCCCAACCTCATCTCGGAATACCATAAGGAAAAAAGGGAAACGAAATCAAAGAAAGCCTTCCAAGCTTCAAGGGTCAGAGATGCCGTCATCGCGTTCGTGTAAAAACAAGGTTGGTGTGTCGAACGCTTATTTCACTCTTCCATCAGCCTTTGCAATTCCACCACTTGAGCCCCGTGAGGGGAGAGTGGAAAAGCTCCAGCCGACGGAATTGTACTCATATAAACACGCTGGCTTTTCATCATATCTGCAGGTAAAACATTAGCAATGGTTCGTAATGGGAGCTGTGGTGGGATAGAGGGATAGAGGGAGTTGGGGGGGAGGTAGAGGGGGTAGTACGTACAAGTTTAAAACTTGGAAGGATGGAGAAAACAGAATTTCAAAATCGCGAACAAATATTTGAGTCTTCCGCGCCCGCGGAACATGCACGTGATCGAGGTACTCCGGCACTAGTCCGCTTTGAGATAGCTCCCAGCTTTGGAGGAAGGCTCCGCTCCGCTCCGTCACTTCAACATGGCAAGGGTCGGGATCAATTTTTGTCGGGACCGTGGAATTGCTGCAATGGAATTGAACTCGCAATGACCCGACTATCAATTGCGGCGAGATTTACTTGGAGAAGAAAACCCCGAGTTCTCAATCCATCTTCCGTATGGGCAAAAAATGTACCATGCCTAGCCAACACCACCATCACCAGTCTGCAGCGCAGATGCTTCCATCATAATGTTCCTAGCTTTGCGCCCGAGGGGCAGCTGGAGGCGACGAAAGAAATGGAGAGACCCAAGTTCTGGGAGGAATACAAAGGCACTTGTGTGTATGGGTCGCGATACTTCTGGCCTGCTCTAACTTCTTCTTAGACCATGTCACACCTCCAGACTTCCCTTTCGAAAACCAAATCCCTCTTGCTCTCCTCGGCCAGGAAATAACCACGGTTGGACATTTGTCGAGACTAGTACAAGGAGGCCCGGAACTTTTTTTTGCAACCATCAGCAAAGGAGCCGGCCCAGAAAGCATCCAATGTGTTTTGCGCGATCTCGAATCAAATAAAAAATTGCACTCGATTCGTTTCAATAGTGCGATAAGTGTCACAGGAACCTTGCAGCAAAGACACTTGCCGAAGAACAGGCGCCTTCTAGACCCAGTGCCAGTGGCAAGGAAAGGTTATGGCTTTCTGAACGAGGTCGAAATAGTGGTGAAGAATATAACATGTCTAAATTCTTTCGGAGAGGCAATACCCTCTAGTATAAATCATGTATATCCGGCAACAGCCAGGCATTTACAAATTCGATTTGATCAAAAACTCCGGGATTCTCTTCTTTTCAGGTCAGAAGTGACCAAGTTTGCTAGACTAGAACTGGGCGACTTCCATGAAATCGAGACTCCAATTCTGTTCAAGTCTACACCAGAAGGAGCCCGTGAATTTCTTGTACCTACTAGGAGGCCGGGCTTCACTTATGCCCTACCCCAGAGTCCTCAGCAATATAAACAGATGTTGATGGCGAGTGGCATTAATAGATATGTTCAATTTGCTCGATGCTTTCGTGACGAGGATTTACGAGCCGATAGACAACCTGAATTTACACAGGTATTGTCTTCTTGGTTAATCAGATTGCTTGTGACTAATGATGTGATAGATTGATCTTGAAATGGCATGGACAGATGGTGAGGGTGTAATGCAAAGAGTTGAAAGGTTCATCAAAAGTTTATATGGTCGATTTGCCGAACCTGAGACTATTCTACCCCCATTATCTGAGGATCCTTTTCTACGAATGACATACGATGAAGCAATGTCCAAGCATGGCTCTGATAAACCAGATCTTCGCATACCGGGTTTGGTGAGTCGAACATCAATTATTGCAATACAAGACTAACCATCTTAGATCCACCGCGTCGATCATCTGGTCCCAGCACAACTTCGCAGCATGATCACTCCTCTCGAAGATCCAATAATAGAAGCTTACAAGATCAATCTTGACGAAACACCAACCCCCATCAAAACATTCCTCAAGAAGTTTTTTGCCAGCACAGAAAGAGAAACCTTTGCAAAGAACCCTGATGGTGGACCTGGTATATTCGTTCACGATCCTTCCAAGGTGCCACTTGAAGGTCTCCAAGCATTTGGTTTCGAGGGTGCCGAAGCTATCAAACAGTTTTACGAAACTCTATCTCTCTCACCAACAACACCAAGTAACCCCCACGCCGAAACACCTTTCGGTGACGGTGACCTTCTCCTCCTCCAAGCTCGTCCCAACCTCCCTCACACCGGCGGTTCGACAGCCCTAGGAAACCTCCGACGTGCAATCTACAAAGCCGCAATAGCAGCAAAGCTCATCTACGATAACCCCATCCATCAGTACCTCTGGGTGACGGATTTTCCCATGTTCACCCCAGAAAACAGCGTAGATCCCGGACAAGAAGGAAGTGCAGGATTCTCAACTACACATCATCCTTTTACGGCTCCTAAGACGGCGGAGGATGTCGATTTACTCCTGACGGACCCGTTAAAGGCGAAGGCCGATCATTATGATCTTGTGGTTAATGGGGTGGAGCTTGGTGGGGGAAGTAAGAGGATTCATAATAAGGAGATGCAGGAATTTGTTATGAGGGATGTTTTGAAGGTATGTCTTTCTCCCTTGTCCCTTTCATTTCTTTCTCTCTATCTTCTCCCAATCTATTTCGTAAACTAACACAACCCCAGATGTCCCCCCAAAGAATCCAAGACTTCTCCCACCTCCTCCAAGCCCTCGACGCAGGCTGTCCTCCTCACGCCGGTCTCGCAATCGGCCTCGATCGCCTGATTGCCGTGATGCGTGGTGTGGACTCGGTCCGGGACGTCATTGCGTTCCCGAAAAATAGTAAGGGTAATGACTTGACGGTGGGAAGTCCGAGGAAGGTGGGTGGGCAGGAGTTGGGCAGGTATGGGTTGTGTGTTGCTGAAGGTAGGAGAGGTAAGAATGTGGTGGTGGAGAGAGTTGAGCGAGAAGGAGAGGGGGATGGGCATGGGGACGCGGAGGCGATGGTGGAAAGACCGCTCTCGGAACCTGAGGGGTTGTGGAGGTGAGGGGATGTGTTGGGTTGTTTTGGTGAGGGGGTTTGTATGTATGTTTGTATGATATGATATGATATGATATGATATGATATGGATCCATGAATTAGACGTCTAGACATATTTCAACTTATTGATACCCTCTCCCCCCTCCCCTACATTCCCTATACATCTCTTCCACATCTCCTCTCCCCTCCCCTCCCTTAACCATCCAACTCCAACAAAGTAAGACTTACCATATATATCTCTCTCGCTACCATATAACTCCCCCCCCCTCCCCAATAAATCAATAACTAAGAAAAGAAAAGAAAAAAAAGAAAAGATATCCGTCTGTAGGAATACTCTCTAATAGGTACTGTGGATTAGGTATACTACTATATAGTGTATATGATTATTGAGAGAGTTGAGAGAGTTGAGAGAGTTGAGAGAGTTGAGAGAGTTGAGAGAGTCGAGGGGGGAAGTGGGATGTGGGGGGACTTG